TGTTGGGTGGTGTTGGTGGGGTGGCTGCTAAGCTTCCAGTGAACTCCAGCATCTCCCTGGCGAGCTGCTCCTTGAAGACTTTGTAGCTGAAGGGCTTTGTCTGGGTTGGGTTCTGCCAAAATTTGATCAGCTCTTTGTTAAGAATTAAGGAAACTGTTCAAAACAGCAATGTCCACAAAGTGTTAAAAAACAAGGAGTCTTGCACCACTTCATGGTTTTGTGGCGGACACTGTAGACGCCAAGCAGTATATCAGACAAATCTACACCACCCATGTGCTGATTGTACTCCAAGATGCAGTCCAGATCAGGTATTTGTCAAGACCATTTTGTTTTACCTACAATTCAGCAACTTTTTGAATGTATGCCTTTAGTTTGCCACAGATGGATTGTCATCTGACTTTTCCTCCCCAGTACTGAGCTAATGTCGCACAGGAAGGTATGAGACCCCACTTCTGCAAAGGAGCAACTCTGAAATACCAAAGTATGTCATTTACAGTATTTAATGAGCTTTTTTGATTTTATTAATTTTTTTTTCTCCATTTGATCTTAGTTCTGATAAAAACACAATATAAATGGAATAAATAATCAGCAGGTTTTCAATCTAATTAGTATTTTTTATTTTCTTTATATTATTGCCAAAAATAGATGCTAAAGGGTCTGTAAATAACCAGTGATAGATGGTTTTACCTGGTGTCATGTAATGGGTGCTGACTATTAGTTAGAGCTGACATTTCTGTTTTTTTTTAAATAGAAGAGATGTATCATATGCTACAGGAACAATGACCAACCACTCAGCTGATATGGCTGACCTCTGGCCTACCTGAGGAAGGTGAGTATCTGTGTTGGAACCCCCTTTAGTTATGAGAGATCACAGAAAAAACAAACATTTTTTAACCTTTGTTTAGACTGCCACCTAAATTCAAGGGATACAATTATGCCTTGGGAGGGGATGCTGTTCTGTGAGATAAATGAAGTGAGAGTTGCAGAGCAGGGGGAGTGATGTTTTCCTGGCAGGCTTGGATTAGATGTGGTTCCATAAATATGCTGGGCAGCTCGGTATACTTTGTGCCCATTGGTAAAAATAGGCCCTCTTCCCAAGGGAAGAGATGACGTTTGCAGCCTGCCTGCATCATCAGCCACAAGTCAGTTTCATCTTCATACTGGAAGAGGTAGAGACAAAGTGTGGGGGGAGCATTAGTGATCACCATGGTGACACATGCATAGTGACGCAGGTAAAAGCAGAGAAAGAGAGAGAGGTGGTGATTGGCTGGCAACTGCAGTGGTGTATGGAGAGGATGTGTGGGTGGTAAAGAGGAGCAGGAGGGCTCAATAGCCCAGCATCGAGATTAACACCCACACCCGCAATACACACACACACGCACACACACGCACAGTCCAAGCCTGTTATCACGGTCAGCAATTCAGCCTAGCAATGAGATATGATTTAGCACGCTCCTTGAGCACTGACTTCACAGGCAGTGGAAAGTAGCGTTATTTCCCTCCCTCACAAATGCCATCTTGGATATTATGCATGCATGCATTTTAGAAAAGCAAAAATATTCCCCCCCACATGAACTCAATGTATCCAGCAGTTTCATTTTAGTGTCACTAAAATAGATCTTTTGCCATTTAGCTGCCTTGGCTAAGCCTTAGTGCTGAATTAAATTAAATTTCAAAGGTTAATCCACACTGTAGCTGTCTCCTTTCCTGCTGTTAATTCCATTGTATCTTTCCCCTTTCGACAGTCTTTCCTATTTTGGTTTACTCACGTAACATTTTCATTTTTCCAAATTAATCAAAATTAAATTTGATAGGAATACTAGCATGTAAAACACAAAGCTGCAGTATCCCATCAATGTCTACCATGACAGAAAAGAAAACTCAGTTTACAATATTCAAAAATTTTACATTTCTCCTACAAGTACACTGTGGTTTGGTATTTTCTTTCTAGATGGATAACTGAATGAGGTGAGGTGACTGGTTATATTTATACAAACTGACACCAGTCGTGTTCAAGTAATTGATTTAGCTTAATACCAAATGGATGTTTTGGATTTAAGCTACAAAGTATCAAAGCTCTTTGCTGACAGCTGCTGGACAAGTTGGGGATAGCACCCAAGATAGACTCAATGGATGGCAGTAGTTTTTGTTTTGTTGTAGCCCCCCCAGCCCCCCCAGAAGAGGCATCACACACTACAGACCACTGGAAGAACTGGCATTTTTCTTTAGTGACACTGCTTTCTCTGAAGTCAGACCATTACTGTGCAATCACATATAATAAAGCATTGATTCATTTTCTTCATATCAATGCTTTTGTCTTTGTTAATTTGGTTTATCATCTCATGGCGACTTACACTCTGTGGCCACTTCACAAGCTAAAATTGATCTAATGAGATCTTACTGTACTTCTACAAAGTCTACTTTAAAGGTAGGATAGGCAGGAATCCATTAAAGAAGCATCTGTTTTTGTGGTGTATATACAAAAAAGCTTTTAATATCAGTCAATAGCTTATTGAGTTTATGTTATTGATGACATTTGGTAATATCACAATATCACTGTGTTCTCTTCTGTCTTTAACATCGTTGAGCGGTCCGCTTATTCTAACTTTAGATAAAGCCGCTCTCCACCTCCCTGACCTGATTGATGGTGAGGCGGACGCTGCTCCCTCGTGTAGTGAGGCTCGCTCTGCGCCCTCGAGTAACGTGCATGGGCCCAAACAAAGTTAGCGTGCTACAATATCGGACAGTAGAAACCAACCAGGAAGTACAGAAAATTTTCTTAATCCTCCTTTGGCCACGACTGCCAACACCAGCAAGAAAACAAAGTAAATACTGGAGACTCTGGGGGAATAACGGGCGCTTATAAAAGGGGTAGACCGGACAAGAGCTAAGAAGCCGGGTCAACATGAAACACAAATGATGGGAGATGCTTAGGGATCTTATGGACCCTGTAACCTTTCTGCTGGACTGGTAAACCGCTTTAACAAAGTAAGCCAAATGTCTGTAACAGAAGTGTCTCTTGTCCAACGGGACCTGCTGCCTGTTGTAGTGCCGCTAAACTGTTTACCTCGGGTCCTGGAGTATATCACTTTCTCCTAATTGTAGAAGTCCTACAAACATTGTGTTTGCTGGTAGTCTGTTGGCATCTACAGTAGCACTAATACTGTTTACTTTCACGTTGACTGGGCCCCATTTGTAATTATCTCAATTTTTCACCATATCTGTGCCATATTTGAATTTAATTGAAACAATACGAGCGGGCAGGAGCGTCTGTTTGTGGGTGGGGCTTGCTGGAGCAGATAGGGAGGGGAGAGAGGAGCTGAGAGGAAAACGGGTTGGGAGGGGTAGAGTTTACATTCAAGATTTCTCCCAAAAACTGGCACTTCCTCAGATCCTGCCTACCCCACATTTAATGGCGACTTTACTGTTAATTTTTAAACTTTCTCAATGAAGTGTTGGCATTATATGTCCCTCTGTCTTAATATGACATAGGGATATATTATGCCAACATTTAGATTTCCATCAGTTGGATTTTTGTAACAGCCCCTTTGGTATATATGTCTAAAACAAATAGATTACAAGTGGTACTTCTGAGTACTATCTGTCTGATCAAATTTAATCTCAGATAGTTTCTTATGTGATTTACCTTCTTTTCCTGTTTTGTAGCCTTTTACAATTTTGTGTGCAGTTTTGGTATGACCAGATATATGTATAATCTAATCTATGGCCTCCATATTCCCCCTTTACTTGTGCTATCTTTTGCCAAAAGAGATAAAGTAGGAGAGGTCAGCGTGTCCTCAATTCATTCCTACTGCCATCTTATGGCCATGAGTAAGAATGTCAGTTTGTAATCAGTGGTGAAAATGAACTTAAGAACTGTATATGAAACTTGATGTTCATAAATCAATCATGTTACTAATGTGTTTTTTCTTTAAAGAGGTGGTTGTACAGTCCTTAAATTAAAATTAGCACATTAAAGATGTATTCTGTTTGCATACTTTCAAAGATTTCATTTTGTAGACAGACAACTTAAGAATCACTGTTGCTCAGGGGAATTTATATAAAGTTTGTTATGACAAAAAAAATCCTTTGATCAATTATAAACATCTGATCATCAGAAAAAGTTATCTTTGTGAATATTATTGAACTCAGTATTTATTCTCCTTTTTATTACAGTATTTTATTCTATCCATAAAGAGATTGTTTCAAATGTAACTTAAAAATACCTAGGTCTGTCTTGGGCCACTGCTGGTTGAACTGTGAGCTTTTGGAAGATTTCAAATTGAATTCCCGGAATAGATCATGGTTAAAGGAAAAGCAGGCACGCCTTTTACTGTAACTAGAAAATGAAAGTAAAGCAGGGACTTTAGTAGGCTATAAAACAGAAGCAATCAGCTTAGATTCTCAGATTCAACCATGTAAGGAAGCAGAGAAGGTAAGGTATGTTGTTTGTATAAAGTATTTTGTTTTACTGACTAGTTGGTGAATGTTATAACACTGATTAGAGTATGATGTAATGTGTCTGTAACAATCTATGTTAGACCAAACACACCAAAAACATTTGTTTAAGTTTCATTTAACTTTGAAAAATACTTAAATTTCATTAAAGTTTGGAATATTTGTATAATTTTGTCAGGCTTGTCAATACTTTTCAAATTCTTTTGAATAGTGTTCAGTTTTTTAAGAGTTTTGTGAGCTGTGCTGTAGAAAAATTGTCAGACAGCAAGAAGGAAGTGCCTCTGCAGGCATCGTATTCTTACAGGAGGAAATAGTTTTGCTGTTTAAACCGATAAGTGAAGCACAGTTAAGCATGTAGTAGTAGCATGCTAAATTAAATGAGGACAAATTCAAGGATCATTTTTGTTTGCTCTGTTCAGAAAAATAGATTTAAGGAATAAAATCTTTTCCTGAAAGAGGAATAGAGTCTGTTCATGATGTTCAATAGGTACAATGCAATGTTTACCTTTATCCCCAATATTATCTCTCCAAATAGGTGCATCATGTTTTGCCCTGACTGTGGGAATCAGGTGGAAAGGTCATACAACTTCTGTCCTAAATGTGGCTTCAAATTATCTGACTTGACACAAAAAAGGGCAGAAAGTGAGTTTACCAGCAGTCAGTGTTGTTTGATGTAGTTTCAGTGATTGGGTAAAAACACATTCATAAAGGCTTGTTCAGTAGCATGTTTGTTAAAGTTAGAAAGGCCCATTGTAACAATTAATCATTTATTTTTGACTAGATGTTACGATATCAACACATAAATCTTCAGCCACAGCTGAAGAGAAGAACCAAAAGACAGATCAAGACCAGGATCCGAAAGATGAACAAGAAAAGACGGTCAAAACTAAGGTAAGGAAGCTAAGAAACAATTACTGCATTTCCACAATTTTCATGCTCAATTATATGTGTATAGATACAAGAAGTTAATCAAAAACATACAACAGAAAAGCAAACAACATTTACTCCCTCTTGCAGGAAATGAAAGACTGAGTAGCCTGTATGGTTACACCCTCATTCTTGTACAGCAGTAAACAAGCTCACAAAGGGCAAGAGTGATAAGAATCAAACTGAAAGCAGTCATTGAAGCAAAAGAGAGAAAAAACTTCATGTTACTCTCTTGATAATATAAAATGCCTTTATTTTAACGTTATGGTCATGTAAACCTTAAAGCAAACTTCGACGCATCAAGCCTTCATCAGGAAGTAAAGTAAGCAGATGCTAGGTTGTGGTAGGCCCTTTTAAAGGGGTGCTTCTCCAACAGGTAATTGCCACTTGGCCCTTGAGGTTTGACTTACATCTGATGACAACTAAAAAACTTTCCAGCAGATGGTGTTATTCAGGTCAATAGAGGCTTCAACAAAGTTTTTGCCTCAAAAAAACATGAATAACATAACTCGATACAGATAAAATTGGTGAGAACATATCACCATTCTGCTTTCCAACATTTTTACGTTACCTGTAAGTTTTAAAACTTCAACTCAGTGCTTACACAACATCCTTCCTTTACAAGAATACAGTGTAATCCTGTTCCTCATTTAGTCTGGGATGTTTAGTGGCTTGGAATTTTTGAATCCAGAAAGCCTCCTCTTGGTTCAGTTTCCTTTGTCTGTCACCTTTTCTGATGGTCAGAGGGATATGGTCAATGATTTGTAATGAAGTTGGGTTGCTGGAATTACAGGGAATGTTTTGCCACGGAGAAGTTAATATTTCCAGTTCTTATTGCATATTTGTGTTCTGCCAGTCTTTCCTGTAGGTGTCTTTTTGTTCTGCCGACGCAAAACACTTGCCACATGGGACATTCTAGCCTGTAAATAACAAAGGTGGTCTTGCAGTTAATAAAGTGGTTGATTTTATACTCTTTTTGTGATGTTGAGTCCAGAAATGTCTTTGTCTGTTTAACATTGGCACAATGATTACAGTGACTGCATTGAAAAGAGCCTTTTGGTTTTTGTCCTATAAACTAAGGACAACTTTGACTGTAAACTAGTTTATCTTGTAGGGTCGGAAGTTCGACAAGTGCAGGCTGTGGAAAAATGATGATAAATTTTGCTTCACTCTGAATTATGCCCCAGTTTTTATTTATTATCTTTTTGATGTTTTCTGCTTCTGTGCTGAATGTGGTGAGGAAAACTGGTTATCAAAAAGACAAGCTTCAGTGACTTTGTTAACCCCATTCCAAAGAGCACCTCAGACAAACTCTTTTTGAGTCCAGGTAGCACTCCTTTCCTTTTGTCTTTTGAAAGCAGTCATTGTTATGCAACCATTTTTTTCTCCTACGTGCATTCTGTCACGAACATAAAATAGAATTTAATCTCTGCATGAAAGATTCTTTGTTTTTGTTAATGAAGGTTATATGTCTGACTAGTTGATGGACAAAGCCATTCTTTGTAAATGTGTTTTCTTTTGAGCCGGTCATGACAACAGAACACAGTCAAGCTAAGGTTTCTTAAGTTTGTCTTCTTAGCTTTTGTACCTTTGTTTAGTAGTACCTTTGTTTAGTTTTTGTACCTTTGTTTAGTGGTACCTTTGTTTAGTTTTTGTACCTTTGTTCAACTGAGTAGAAACAGAGAGGGTGGGGATTTGGTCAAGAGTCTAAAGTTAGAGTCTTACCTGGGCTGTCTGCTCTGAGGACAACAGCCTCATAGAATACATTGTGCTCATGATTTAACTGCTAAACCATACCAGTGCCCAGAGTCAAACTCAACTAGATATCAAATATAGACTTTGACAAAAATGTGATGCATTGAGAAGCTGACCTTTCAAGATAAACCTTCTCAACAAGCTCTCTAAAATGCAAGTGTTTGTTGTTGTTAGTGTGAAACGTTTTATCAGTTTATCAGTTATCTATGTCATTGTGACTGTTCGAATCCTATATTGTTAACTGACCCAAATAAAGGTTTATAGTTCCCTCAGAGATCTTTTGCCCAGAAGTTAATAAAACTTATTTGTACTTCTTATAGGGGCAGTCAACTAGCAATGAACCAGAGCCAGCCAGTGATGGTGTTTCATCACAGGACAGATCTGATAACTCTGCTTGTCAAGCCACATTGGAAAGAGAAGCAACACCCTTTGTTGACAAGGAAGACAGTCTGATTGCTTCATCTTCTGATGGTACTTCTCAACCATGCAGTGTGGCAGTTTTTTCATTAAACTTACCACCAACCACCCCTAAACCTGCCACTGAGGAAATAAAGGTCCACCCAGATGGCAGTACAGAGGACAGCCCTGATTCAGTTCAAAATACTGCCAACAGGCCAACTGACACTACCTGCGCAGCATTGTTTGACAATGCGTCATCACAAGCACCAGCTCAAACAACAGGCTCTGTTTCATCTGAGCCATCTGATCAAACATCTCAAGAATGTGACAAGAAAGAAGATGATGAGACACAAAATCTGACTGATGGTAAAAATGACACTTTTCATGGGCATTCAACTAACAATGACCTAGAACCAGCCAGTGATGGTGCATCATCACAGGACAGAACTGATAACTCTGCTTGTCAAGCCACATTGGAAAGAGAAGCAACACCCTTTGTTGACAGGGAAGACAGTCTGATTGCTTCGTCTTCTGAGGGTACTTCTCAACCATGCAGTTTGGCAGTTTTTTCATCAAACCTACCAACAACCACCTCTACACTTGCCACTGAGGAAAAAGAGGTCCACCCAGATGGCAGTACAGAGGAGAGCCCTGATTCAGTCCACAATACTGCCAACAGGCCAACTGACATTCCCTGCGCAGCATTGTTTTACAATGTGTCATCACAAGCACCAGCTCAAACAACAGGCTCTGTTTCATCTGAGCCATCTGATCAAACATCTCAAGAATGTGATAAGAAAGAAGATGATGAGACACAAAATCTGACTGATGGTAAAAATGACACTTTTCAGGGGCAGTCATCTAGCAATGACCTCGAGCCAGCCAGTGATGGTGCATCATCACAGGACAGATCTGATAACTCTGCTAGTCAAGCCACATTGGAAAGAAGAGCAACACCCTTTGCTACCAAGAAAAACAGTCCAATTGCTTCATCTTCGGAGGTTACTACTCAATTAAACTTCTCTGTTCTTGAGGGCTTGGACTCTTCGTCACCTGCTACAGAGCTAAAACCTGAGGCTCCTAATATCAGTACAAAGAACAGCCTTACTACAGTGCAGGTTGCTGCAAACAAGCAAAGTGAAAATCCTTTTGGGCAGTTATCCAACTCATCATCATTACAAGCAACTACTGGTGAAACCAGCTCAGCTGTCCCAGAAACATCTGAACAAAGACCTGAAGACTGTGATAACATGGTGGGGCAGTCAGCTTTTGAACAAGAAAATGGAGAGAAAGTCCTTTTTGACAGACAAAATCTGCTCAAGAGGGGGAATGAAAACCACAACAAAACAAAACAGCAAACAATTGATAAACAAAATGGTGAGACAGAAGACCAAGCAGCCAGAGAGCCTGCTACTTCACATCCTTTGTCAAAGGGAACATCCCAAAAGACTGAGGTACAGTCATTCAAAGCCTTTTTATGTTTACCTGGTATGGATCAAACTCCAGTAGGACATCAGGAGCGTTTGTCAGTGCAATATCCTGCTTATTCTTTTAGGGTTTTGTACATTCTTAAACCTCTTGTGTTCTCACAGGCATTTAAAACTGAATCAAAGGAGAAAACACAAACACATCTGGCAGAGGGACATGACCAATCACCAGGCAACAGGGTTCTAGGGAAATACACATCACCAATCCCCTCCTGCCCTCCTAATCAGGCTTGTGATGTGGAGCTGGGTGTTGCAGTGGCAGCTAAAGACTTTAAAACACCCAGTAAACTTCAGGCTGCACAAATGTAAGTATTTTGATGCGATAGATTTCACTGCAGATTTTTTGTAATCCCATTGGATGTATAATTTTTTAGTAAAATGTCAACACCAAATGTCACCTAATAGCTTTATTTGGTCTTGCTTTTCAGTATTTACCACCAACTTAAAGATAACTGAATGTTAAAAAAAATATATATTTCTAAAAAAAAAAAATTTATATATATATATATATATATATATTGTGGTTAACATTTTTCTGTCCTTCTTTCTTAGCTCATCGAGCAGCCAGGACATGTATGTGTACTTCCATGCTGTCACACCCAAAGATTGGGGTTCAGATGATAAAATTTACTTGATGTCTGGAAAGTTGTTTGGACAATGGGAGAGAGGCATTGAAATGTCCATTTCAAGGTAGGCCATTAAAAAAAAAAAAAAAAAATTAGTAATACAAAAAAAACTTTTCTTGAGTACATGAGATCCCACTGTGGTTATTTTTCCTGTTTTGCAGGAAGATTGAAGGCAACAGATATCTTGTTGAAGGACAAGTGCTGATCCCCAAAAATCTAATTCATGAGAGAATACCCTACAAATATGCATTCATGCATAGTAAACATGGCTTTAAGACTATGTATGAGGCAATCTACCAGAAAGATGGACATGAGTATATCAACAGGTGTCTTTCAATCAGAAAGGAGTTGTTAACACATGAAGGTAGTTGAATAAGTTTGTTTACACTTACAATTAATAGCAACTTCTATTTATGTTCACAGATTTAAGCTGGACACAGATACCATCAGTTAAATATTTGCCAGCATAAGCAAACTGCTTTCAAAACATGCTTGCACAACTTTTGACATTTAAATGACAAGAAATGGCATTTCAGGATTGGTACAAACAGTAACTTTGTGGCCTTTTCTGAAATTGTTTCTGAAAATTATTTAGGACAACTTCTAAATCCTGAAAATTAAACCATTTATGTGTGGTTTGCTACGAATATGATTAGATTTTTTGGAATTAAAACATACCAAACAGTTTATTACATAATACAAGTTTAGGGATGTATGGAAGTGAGAAGTGTCAAGTGAGCAAAGCTGCTGTGTTGACTTGAGTTTAAATGATAGGATGATGGTGTACTGAAGTTGTCAGTAGTTGCCACAAATAGCTTGAAGTAGCTTATACCAGTTATCTGTTGAAGTTGGTGCATACTCTCATTGCCTTTTATGGCCTTGGTTCTTGAAACCCGCAGTCCATTCGGTCAAGCTCAGTCACAACAGAGGAAAGCTTCAGAGAACATAAAAACAGCATGCAAAGCATCCCTTCATGTGTGCTGTTGTAATTTGTAGGGGAGTGGCACCAGTATGACGATGTGATCCATCCTGAGCTGAAGACAAATTACTGGCAAGGACAGTTTTCAACCAAAGAAATTGTGATCCAGGGGAGAAACCTAGCTGGCAGTGTGATGCTGAACACCATTTTTGAACTCCTGACCACTTGGGACCAAATAAATGTTGACAACTTCTTTGTTCTGCTGCATCAGTTCTTTCATACGTACAGCTCTCCTGTACTTCATGATGGTGAAGAAAAACAATGGGGATTGCCATATGGTATTGATCAGGTAAATATCATGGTCCTTTTAAAAACAGAAATGATTAGTAATAGTTGTTAATTGATTTTTAAATAATAAGCGTTTGTAGTTATATGTTGGATGTTACTTTCTTTTACTTTTTCTAGGTGAAAACTCTTCTGAAAAATGCCCTTAGAAAGGACAAGGAATGCTTCTTATCCCCACTTCACTTTGGAGTTGTTCGGTTGCTCATTTACAACAAGTATCTGATAGAGGACATGAAAGAGCAACTGTCCAGTCTCTGTGATCTGCTATGCCTTACATGGAAGCCTCAACATCATTTCAAAGACTTCTGGAAAAAGTTTGCACAAGCTTTGTCAGATAAAGACAGGTAACTAACGGCAATAACAAAATAAAAGTTAACAAAATAATTCAGTCATAGATTTCTAAGAGACAAAGGGATTTCTGGAAATTGTTTTAGAAATAGCATTTATGAAGATGATGGAAAAAGCATTTAGAAGACTTTGCCAGTTGATCTCATACTAATCAAAAATACATCATCAGCTTTGCATCACCCTTATGTTTATTTATTGAGATATAGAGTAGTCAAGAGAATGCACCTTTTGAAAAATACTGACTCATTCCAATACAGCCATTGTACTATCGTTTAAAGGCAACATTACAAAGCCTTCACATAGGCAATGATAATATTGCCTGTGCTGATTCTTAATAATTATATTGCTGTTTCTTAATACATTTTTGTCAACCTTAGCCCTGATAACTATCTGCACTGTGTTTTGAACCTTGTTCATTGAAGAATATTTCAGCAGTCAGAGGTAATGTTTCAATAAATAGTTTACCAATGACAGTGTAATGGAATCAGATGAAGACATGAATAGAATACTTTTAACAACTTAAAACATCATGGACTGATACCTTTCATGCATTAGTAGTGTGGGTTTGACCTTGGGAAGCAATTGAAACCTGTTTTGCAAGATTTTCTGTCCAAAAGATTTTTAGATTGCAGATTATATCTTTACACCATACCTTCCAACAACATAAAAAAGACCAGACATTCACAAAGCCTATGTCTAATGATTTTTTCCTGCTGTGAAAATAGTCAAAATGACTTCTCTGCTGGTTAAGAATTGCAGGTGCTGTTGAGATGCTTTGCAAGAATGCCAAAGAACACGGTGTTGAAAAGTGGTTCTTGGTCATTCCTCTGATTCACCTACTGAGAGGAGAAAGCGAGCCATTTGAGCCAGTTCCACCTAACCTTAAGCCACAGTTTGACCCCTGGACAGGCTTGAAGGGGAGTAAAGGGACAAATGTCTACAGGGGCAGCTCCTCAAGGTATGGCAGTGTTATTCTTACAAGGACTCTGTAGACCATTTGAGATATCAGGTGAAATTTTAAACACAAACTTCTCATATATTTGAATATTATTATGTCCCAGTCTACAGAGAGCGAGTACACATTAAAATTCAGCTGAGTTTGTTTTTGTTCTACCTCATCCCTTACCTTACTAATATCCTGATTTTCTTCCTCCACCACCTTGTGACCATTATCCTCTCTTGGGGTCAAAGACGGAATTTCATTGAGATCCTGGAAAGACATGCATACCTGATGGACATTGATCAGCTCCTTTTTCGCTCCTGGATGCCCCTGCTCGATTTGAACGAGTTGAAAAGCTTTGCACAAAATGTTCAAGTAGGGGTCTTAGACATCCTCCTGTACCTGCGGTTCAGTGTAAAATCTGGTATGACCCCCTCGAACTACACGGTACGTGTGCCTGAAGCGGCTGCATTTGAATTGATATCATAGACTAGAAAAACAGTGTCACAATGTTTAAGTGGTTGCTCATGCAGATATGACTATCCAAATGTACATTGTATGGCTAATTTCAGCATTTTCAATTCTTAAAAAGTGTCAGAGCTCATTGTCAGAAAACAAGCCTCATTATTTTAAATACAGTACTTGGTCAACACCTAATGGACCCCTAATGGTAGTAACTAGATGGAGTTATAATGGAGCATGAAATACCTAGGTAGGTATTCATGACCGAGATACTACCACAACTGTCATACTACAACAGTACCACTGCATTTCATCAAATTTTATGTTTGGCTTTTCTGATTACAGGCTTTCAAAGAACTGGCATCTTATCTCATCAATAGACTTTGCAATCGCAATGAAAGGTAAAAACATAAATAAATAAATCATTATCTTTTACATGTCATCAAGTCGAATCAGTGCAGGGATGTCAATGAATTTTGATATTAAAGAGTGTAAAATTCTTAACTTCTTTGAATCTTCACACTGACACAACAAATGTCTTTTTTAGTTTTGATGAACTTCAAGGAGAGTGTTGCCTGAAAATTGCAGGAAGTCTTCTTGGTGATATCAGCCATCAAGCAACAGATCCACAACACTGCGATGTTCCTCTCAAATTCCTGGATCTATTCTGTCTGATTGCAAAAAGAAACAACCACACTGGTTCTCAGGTAAAACTCACTTCTCTGTCTATTGGACAGGCATCTCTTTTGTGTCTCATAGTCAGCTTTAAATCCCCAAATTACATAGTTTTAACTGTAATGGCTTTACCATTAGTGAATGAACTTTATTTGACCACAGCATGGAAAATTGTGAAGCTGTAAAATCACACAGCTAAAATCCTTAACAGCTAGAAGTTAAAAATAACAATGTGGGCCACTGGAATCTTCATGATTTAGTTTATTGATGAAGAAAATCTCTAATGAACACTTGAAATTTGGGAGAGGTTCTATGGTTCATTGCTTCCAAAAATTCCATGCTTAAAAAAATTCTTACATATAAGATTTTAATAATTCCACTTGTGCTCAAAATTCCAGTCAGCAGAGAGGATTCATGAAGAATTATTCTGGGACATATTAGAAAGAATGAGGGAGTGGCAGAAAGATACCTTCAGGCAAAAACTACTAACTGCATGGACACGGTGTTCTGTTCCCCATGAAATCCAGGTAAGGTGGAATGAAAAAGACTGGTGTTTGTACGTTATTTGATTCTGTGAATTGACTTAAAACTAGTTCCTCTTTTTCTAGTGGGGTACCCAGTTAATGTTTTATAGAATAATTTTAATGCCACATTATTTGTCTAACCGCAGGTATGGGAGAAGTTACTGTCACTTCTGTTTCATCACGAAAAACACACAAACTCATGGAGAATGGCCTTCACAGAGGATTTTGAAGGAAAACTAAAAAGAGTAAGACAGATCTTTTGATCATGGTTACAGACTTTAGAAGAAGAATTTACAAAGAAAAACTGATCTGTGTTTGTGTGACAGGAAAAGCCAGTTGACCAAATTGGAGTATACTCCAACAAGATAAAGGAGCTGAGAGAGACATGTCCACAGCTGTGCAGCATAATGGAGAAATGTGCACTGGAAGCCATCACAGTTATTTGCCAGGTATGATTTTGTGATCGGTTAATAATTGGTTAACAAACACTTAAACAAGTGATGGGTTTGATAAAAAGTATTTTGGCAGTCAATAACTATGAAATGCTCCTTCAAATAATGTGCTTGTAAGAAATGACTTACTGGGACAACTGAAATTTAAGAGCAAAAATCATAGTTTAACCAAAGAGACTCTTAATCCCCTCTTTAGCTTTGGAAGATTTTTTAAAAAGTACATTACTGTTTTCTTGAAGATTATGAGCTTTTTCATGAATCTCTAGAACAAATACTGTACATGCATTTTACTTGTTTGTACTGGTGCTACTTTGAGTACTTGAAAGTTTGGCTTTTTTTTTTTCCACTTTTTTTTTCTTTTCTGTGTTCAGGATAAATCTGGCAGAGCTGTTCATGATTTACTGAAGAAACATGACATTACAAAGTTTGGGAGGCTGATGTCTGTTGTTGTGCTGGAAACATGGCCCAAAGATGCAAATGGACATTACACTAAAGAAGAGATCTTGGTATTTGAATACCTCCTCAGATGGCCAATGATAAAAGCTGTCTTCTGTGTGGCAGGTAAGTATTGGTAAACTCTTGTAACATTTGCTTGGAACCTGTTGCAATAAAATGCAATCACTGACAAAGGAAACTGAGTTCTATCAGAGCTGTTTTTGGCGTAGTTTAAAACTGGGAAATGATTTTTCAATTATTTGGAATATATGACTCTAACCATGAAATATAATCTGTATTTTTATTTTTGTTTATATTTTGTCTTTCAGGTCAGGAAGCACGGCTAATTGACAGATTGTCAGATGAGGCCCAAAATATAATGAGTTTGGCGAGTTCAGCTTTTAAGTCTGTGACACAGAAGTTCTTGAGTGGAGAGATCCAAATGAAAGTTTTGAGCCATATCTTCCAGAACCAACAGAAGTTTGTTGACCTGCTGAAATTAGGTTAATATGAATATCAATCTTTAAATCTTTCTCTCTTCAACTTTTTTCATCTTTCACCCTCTTTCTTCTTGTTGTTTTATACGATTATCCTCAACTCAAATTTTCAGATAGTGAACTAGTATCTGATCATCCCTTAAAGGGGACCTGCCATAAAAATGTAATTTTTTGTGTTTTTTGTGTCAGATAAGGTCCATATTATGTTCGTCTTATGTTGTAAATGTGAAAGCAAACCGTTACGTCGTTTGCATTCTGTAAAGGTTTAAAATAAAGGAATGGGTAAACCAGGCCAATTGAAAAAGCAGGTCCATCTGACATTGCGTTGACGTTGCTCATTATTATTCACGAGCGAGTCCTCGTTGAGCCGCGCCCATTCTCTCGTTCTCGTACCCAGTCACAGTGAACGTCACTCTCCAGAGCGAGACCCAGCTACCACTGTATCCGCTATGGGGCTCTTCCCAACGACCGTTGTTTCCTTGGGTTTACTGCCGGGAAAATGAACTTAAAGCTGGGCAGAATGAATGAGAAAACACCGCTGGAGATCTCCGGCTTCTTCTTCAACTTCCACCTCCTCTTCGGATTTGGGGTCTAAAATATATGGTTTAATACCTGCCATTTTTAGCCTTTAGCATAAGGTGACCAGACGTCCCCGATTTCCGGGGACAGTCCCCGTATTGGATGACCTGTCCCCGGCAAAAGCTGTCCCTGAAAATGTCCCCGATTTAAGCGTTTCATGAATGAGAACAAAAATGTTGCATGTGGGCTAGAACAACGGTTATTACAGTAGCCGAATAGGTAGGAAGCACAAGTAAGCAGTCCTGAACAACAGTTCTTACGGGGTTATTACAAGGGGCATGCGCTGCTACTAAATAGTACCGAGACTTTGTCTGTGATCACACAGACCCTGCAGCCCCTGCACCGCTGCCGCCGCCACACCAAATATCCCCGGATATCATTACAGACATCTGAGCACCTTACTTTAGCACACATTAGCATATGCTATTAGCATTAGCATAATAACAATGGATAAACCAAAATCCGAACCTCCACTGCTGAGCCAATCAGAGCACAGCAGGCTTCACAGCAGCGATCCAATCAGAGCAAAGCTCATTACCATAAATGTTAATGAGCCAAAACCAGTTGGTTTTCCTGTAAGGTTTTTTAGGTATACTAAAACAAACCATCAAATAACTTTTCAGCTAAAATTATGTTGCAAACATGATCAGAAGACATCAAGGATTATGAAAAAATGATAAAAATGGGTATGAAATTTTGGTGGCAGGTCCCCTTTGAGTTTTATTAGAAATTGAACTCAAAGCATTTATCTAAAACATGAAATCTTTCTATATATAAAATGATAGAGTATAATGTCTCTCATTTTCTTTAAAAAAAATCATGTATTGTTTGAGACCTAAACAGGATAAACAATTTAGTCTTTCTTCAAAAGAAGTTTTTTCAATCTTTCTTTTTTTCACTTTTTTGGCCTCCAGATTTATTTTATAAAAGTCTTTATTTTCCTCCAGATGGACTTTGTGATGATGGTCGCTGCAGAGATGACAGAAACATTAAAGATTTACTAAAATGCCGAAAAGACGAAGCAGAAACTATTCAAAGGGAGAAAGAGCTGGTCAAGAGTCTTATACACATCTGTGAAGAGCTTCCTCAACATGTCAGAGGTAGGCGGCACATGCACATTGAACACAGAAATGATGTTAAATGTTCCACTTTTCAAATCACAGTGTGAGAAAACAAGGCTGTTACACTATGCTGAAGAGTTAATGAGTGAATGATCTTAATGTTTTTTGTGTAAATATACCACTGTGCTCCTTAACGGGTCTTACTGTGGGTGCTGTGGGAATATAGGGTTCTGGAACCACTATTAGCTATCTGGTCTCTGTATAACCAAAGGGAGAGAGCTGTGTCTACATTTTGGCACGTCAATCAAGTTCCAAGTGTATACTCACCTGCACCAGGGTTGCCCCTTGTTGCCATTTTTTAAGTGTTTGTGATTTTTATCAACAGAATCTTAAGATGCAACAGGCAGGTGTTTTTTTTTTTTTGGTTTGTTTTTTGTTTGGTGGTGAGGCTCTGACCTCCACATCTGCTTTTTGTAGTGGATGTGTTGGTTGCAGTTGGTCGCTTTCGCTGGGTGGAGAATGAGTATTTGCTCCACATTAGGGATGGGAATCGAGAATCGGTTCTTGTTGAGAACCGGTACAAATGGTTCAATCTATAAACATAATTTACATGTTATCTTAACGATTCCCTTAACGATTCCTTTCTTCCGGGTGCCTTGAAAAATGGTCTCGCGAGTGCCATTCTACGCGAACGGGAACAGAGACAGAGAAAAAAACATTGCGGACGATACAAAAAGTAGGCAGAAACGATCTAAAGAGTGGTTTCATGTTACGAAGAAAGACAACAACAGTGCAACGTTTTTTGGTTTCCAGACAATCAAAGATTGTCCTGTGTTTCTGTGGAGCCTCACAGACACTGGATTGATACTTTTACTTTACAGTTTGGGATGATTCAGGTCGGTTTAACTGTAAACTATATTTAAGCAGTGTTTGTTGCAAAATGAACACTTCAATGAAAGGGAAGCAAACGCGAGATATAATGTTTATGTGGATTGTCTTGCACTGTCTCGGAGTAATGCATTCAGGGCAGCCTCAGATAAAAAAATGCTGTATTGCACGCACAGATATTCAGAGAGCCTCATACAGGAGAGAGCATGTAAAACATATGAGAACTTTAACACTTATATTGGTGGACTAAATGATTTCAAGGCAAAAAAGTGTGCGGCTTCACTTATACTTATTTAGATGAGCAATCTAAATACAAATACTCTCATAATTAGCTCATATCCACCATACAAGGGAACCCCAAAACTACCTGGCACGCGCCACAAAAATCTCCCAGATTTTATAACCCAGATGTTGGCAGGTATGCAAATAGCACTTCTGTTTGATTATTTTTAGACTCTCACTGAAGATGGCATACACCTTTTCTGTTATCAGAGACTCAATAAAATTTTTAGTTAATGTGAAAACCTATAGTCTGCTTTTTTTTAATCGAAGCAAGGCATTGATAAGGGAATTGATAAGCAGAATTGATAATGGCATCAATATCGATTAAAACTCTTTGTTACTGTTAAAGTTTGTTGAGGACAGAGCTAAGAAAAGCTAGACAACTAAAAAGTTGTAGGTCTGGGAATGTGAGGCAGAGGAAACAGCCTAGGAATTGAACAGGATTTGGGGAATGTCAAGATATAGCAAGAAAAGGGGAACTGTGCAGCGGATTGTGAAAGGCAGGACCTTAATGTCTACATTTCTTCTAAATTTTGAAAAAAAAACATTTTCTCCACAGTCAACTTTGAGGGTTTGGATGAAAAACTTCGTCAGGACATTGAGATGATGAATCTTAATGAGTTAATGGAAGTTCAAACTCTTGAACAGACTTCTCATACAGCTGAGGTCACTTATTTCAACTTGTGTGGCATCACCCGTCAAATGGCTGCAGAACTGGAGGCCATCAAAGATAGTGTAATCTTCAAAATGTGCTGGAAAAACCAAGTAGAAGACTTGTCACAAGAACAGGGTGATACAGAAGAGAGTGAAGATCTCAGTGAAGGGGGAAAAGTCTACACTCTTGACATGGTTTACAGCAAAATATTCAAGAGCTGCTACAACAAGTACAAAGCTCTATATGAAGGTCTTAAGAGTGGGGAACTGCCACTGGAGGAAATAGACAGCATCCTTGAGGACTTTGACGGAAGATCTGAAGATTTGCCGAGAGATTTGGGCATGATGTGCCGAACAGATCCAAGTGATAAGAAACAATGGATCGAAAAAAGAGTCCACCAGATAGAGCAGTACCGTGATCTTCACCTTGCAATGGATTCTGCCCAATTCATCATGGCTATAAGGAACTCAGTATGCCCAAAGGGAGACTTCCACTTGATTGAGGAATTGCTGCAAATGGTATGTTTCTTAAAATTTAATTTTCAGCGAGAGCAGACCTTTCCTTAAAAAATCACCCAGAAATAGCTGCTATTATATATAAGACAGTAGCAGGAGACCCATTGAAATGCCTGACTTGTCCATAATTGTGAAGAATAAGTTTTCTTGTATACCTGACTAGAGTGCATTGCTATCAACAAGTAACAAATTATTTCAATATTTTATACATTTTATCATTAAGACTAAATGAATGTTGTGCTTTGATGTGAAAATACTCAGACACTTAATACTACAACAATCTGACTGTACGATAACAATAAAAAAAGAGTCTCAACATTTATCCAAAGTCAAAAACAGTTCAGAGGAGGGTTTTTGAGTAACTTCCTGTAGTCACAAAACTTTGTAAGATTAAGATGTAAATTTATATGGCATCAAGACTGGATTTTTTAAAAGTGCAAATGATTAATTTTCAGACTCAAACAGACTTCAAGAAAAACGGCCTGAACTGTATGAATGACAGCTTCATAAAAGCAAAGACGATGATGACCGACATTACTGGAGATCACAAGCAATGTCTTGAGGAACTTTCTCTGAGCCTAGAGTTTGTCCAGTGGGTTAAAAAAGAACTCAAAGGTACTGTCAACACTTTTTTTCTTAAACAAGACTCAAAAATTTGGAAAATGTTTGGCTATTTAAATACGTTTGTTGTTGCAGATATAAATGAGCTGAAAGTTTTCACCGACCTCGCATCCATCTACGCTGGAGAAAATGACATGGAGGTGGATCGGGTGGCCTGTTTTCATGATGCTGTTCTGGGATACTCGTCTTTGTTATATGGACTGAATGAAGATTCAGACTTTACTGCCTTCAGCGGGTGCCTGTCCAAATTGTGGAAGGCTCTTGAAAATGATAAAGAAATACCAAGGAAGTTGGTGAGTCATTTCTGTCCCATTAAGTAAATAAATGACCGTGAATGCTGTAATCATATTACTGTTTTGTTCTTTTTGGTTTTCAGTGTGGGTGGTGGTGGTGGGGTAACAAAAGTTATCTTTCTAGATATCATTTATAATGTTAATTTACTTGTGCTAACCACCAGATCTAAATTAGATTAAATGTGTAATCTTTTAGCGGGATACAGCACGCCATCTGGTATGGTTGAAGACGGTAAGGGAAAGCCATGGATCTGTTGAATTTTCATCCCTCATGCTGGCATCATCCATCAATGAGAAGGGAGTGTACATCATCAAGGCCCAAAATGAGAAAAGGGTGTGTGATAAAATGCTTAATGGATACTTGGACTGAATGCTAAAATTTAAAGGCTAAAGGCTATCAGGATAACTAAAACATGATTGTCGACTGTCCTTTGAAAAACTCAGTTTCTTAACCTTTTATTTTTTGAAATATTTTTCAGTACCAAATATTGGATTATTAAAGGTGACATGTCATCATAATCTAGAGAGAGACAAGAGTCTTAAAAAGGATACTTATACATGATCAACTTCTAATTCCAACAACTTCATGTGTATTCCTTAAGAGTCAGTTTGATTGGAGCAGCTAATGATGAGCACTTATTACTAAGACAAATTCAGCAACAGTTCAGCAGAATTTACTACATTACTTTGTAAAACTAATCATATTCACAGAGCTGTCCTGTATCCTCCTTTAACATTTTGATGTTTCTCACAATAGCTCATTTTAGAGACTTCTCTGATGCTGCAAATAGAGGATGGAGATGGGGAAAATATGAGATGCTCTTATGAGGACCTGAAAGAGTTGCAAAATAAGCTTATGCTTATGTCTGGAAGAGGGGAGCAAAACCAGAGTAAAGTGGACTGCTTTGTGGAGGTGTTGTACACTGAGTTTACATTTTGAGTGTTTTTCTTTTTAAAGGAATTTGTAGTTTAACTCTGCTTTCCTCCAAAATGATGGTGATTAAAATAGAGTTTGCCTTCTTTATTCAAATAGTGAAAGTGATCTCCCTTTTTCTTTTCTTATCCAGGTGTTTGACAATGTACAAAGACTTGCCAGTGTGTTTGTAGACCTTTATTCAGCAGGGAATCCACTCTTCAAGTGCTGGGAAGCAAAAATCTATTGCCAAGCTCAGAGTGACCCATGCATCTCAATGGAAATTCAGTTTTGCAAGACACTGCGTCACATCCAAGTACGTGGAGATCTGATTGAACAACTTGCAGCACTTTCCCAGAAGATGGAGTCGTTTCTTGAAGACTGGCAAAACTTCATGGACAAACAGAGATCTGACTACTACTACTTAAACTTTTTCACAGCAGAACAGTTGTTCTACCTGTGCAGTGCTGTTACCAAGACAAATGTCGATGCAGAAATAGAGGCCAAAGCTTTGATGATGTTTTCTTTCATTAAACCAGACTGCACAACATCAGGTGTCTGGAGGACATGGAAAAAGTTTCATGATCAGTTTGAGCCTGGCAAAAGGATGAATGAAGGTATTCCCTTCAAAAGTCGCTTTTGGCACCCTGACACTGATAATGGTCATTTTTCCACAGCCAGTGTGATTCATTCAACAGCAGGCGGTCCAGCAGACAGTGCAGTCCAAAGTGCTGGTTTGAAAGAACTGGAAGAGTTTTGGATTGGTTACATTGAGAATGAAGAAATCTTTTTCCATGATCTTTTGGACATAAGAAGTCTAGGATGTCTATTAAAAATGATGACTGCCACAGAGGACCAAGTTGAAATTGAACCGGAGCAATTTCTGCTCTCAGAGACAAAAGACAAATCACTCAGACGAAGCCTCCCCAAAGGCCTTTACCAAAACCAGCCAAATCTCATCATTTGCCCACATGATGATGTCTTAACATCAAGTATCTGCTTGTACATGACCAGTGAGTATGAGCCACTGCCAAGTTATGATGAGGTTCTCTTGTGTACCCCTACAACCTCTCTTGAGCAAGTTGAACTTTTCCTAAGGAGATGTCTCACACCTGGTGGCATTGGGCAGAAGATTTATGCAATGCTTAGGGCAGATCAACTAACCTATGATGTAAGCTGCGCAATGGAGAAGTGCTATCAGAAGCTGCAATCCCTGTTGAAACATGATTTCAGACTAGTGATCTTTTGCAGCTCTGAGAGGGAGCACACTTACATTCCTACTGCATTCAGCCAGTATAAAAGAGACTTTGTGCCACAAGAGTCACTGGAAAAGATGCAAAAGTATTTGTCAAGGCATTACACTGTGTCGTCAGAATGCAAGAATGCTTTGTTCAAAGGTGACCTTTCTGGTGGCATTGTTGCATCCCAACGTGCAGGAGTAGGTGAGTCTTACATGTACAGTAGCTGTTCTTATTGAATTACTGACTACCAACCCCAGTGTTATGAAAGGGAATGAAACGGAAAGGATGTCCACATATCAACAAAAAATAGTATTGTTTAATGTTTGAAGTGACACTTTTTAAAACAAAAACAGCCATTGGAGAAGAATCTGAATGAGAAGTACCACTCTAATATTGAGGACAGTCATATAAGTCAAAACAGCAATAGAGTGTTTATTCAGAAAAAGAAAATGCTGGATCAATTCAATATTGTTTAATATCTTGGAAAATTAAAATCGTGTGCTGTTTGTGATACTGCCAAATGATATATTGTTATTTATCTTTTTTAGGCAAATCATTGTACGTTCAAAGACTCTATGAAAAGCTGGAGAAAAGCGTTCAGCAAGGGAGTGCATTAAAGAAGTGCATCCGAGTAACTGAACATGAGGTCAATGAACACAAAGTCCTCCGGTCTTTGTATGACACACCAGAACAAAGAGATGTCATGGTGTTCCATTTTGATATCACGTCCACGGTACGTTTTGATCAACTTACACAATAGTAAATGTTATCCAGATGTTATAATCATGTGGTTTTTTATATATATATATATATATATATATTTTTTTTTTTTTTTTTTTTTTGTTGGGCTGTATAACGTTTGTTCCAGAAGTAAGTGTATTACCCAACAGAGATGCTGGCCAGCTCAGCCCCTTTGTTGAGAAAGCAGCCTGGGAGGTGAAATAGGAGCTAGACTATAAACCACTGCAAAAAGGGTCAGCTCTGCCATGTAATTTAACTAGTTTAAAGACGATACAACCTAAAAAATATTAAAAAAAGAAAACAGAGTAAGTTTCCAACATGTTAGGAGAATTTCAGTGCTTTACTCTGCTGTTGGGTAGCCCATTTGTTTTGTGCACTAATTACAGACCCAGCTTGTGTACTGCTTGTTGGAGAGTACTGCAGTAAACTACACTTCAAAATATTAAAAAGCCTATCTATTTTATTATTAAAAGCTACTTAAATTTTTTTGTAATATAAAAATCATAATTTCCAGGTACAAAAAGGTTTGAAGGAATTCCTGTTCAAGCTTCTCTTTTTGCGGTATCTGATGGATTCAGAAGGACAAATGTGGCGATGCAGCCATGAACACTTGTACATTGTTGAGTTACTGGAATCATCCACGAATCATCAGCCCAGCTATGCATTTAAGTCTGTAAGTAAAAAATCCTTGTTAATGTATTTTTCAGTTTTCTAAGGTTATTGCCACATTTCTGTTTACTTCAGCCACTGATGCATTTGGTTAAATGTTTTTAAATTATTTTCTCCAATCACTTAAGCGATTGTTAACTTTAATTTATACCTGCATTTGTGTATTTTTCAGGGGCAAAAGGAAAACTTTGCCGTCTCTGACATTTTCCCAAAGGTTAACTGTCATTCACCAAAGGAGGTAATGGCTTTGGAAATGAGGAGGGAGGAAAATGCTGGTAAATCTGATGAACCCCTGATGGATGACACATTTTTCATGAGTGAAGTGTATCAAAGACCATATCAGTACCTCTCACGTTTTCACAACAAAAGCAATCTCGACAACTTCACTTACCATGGTGTTGAAGGGACTCATGGAGAGTGTCTTCAGATGCTCTTATTCTACTGTGGCATACCAGATCCATCTTGGGCAGAGATCCGTAACTTTGTCTGGTTTCTGAATCTTCAGTTGCAAGACTGTGAGAATTCAGATTTCTGCAAATTTGAGTTAGTTGGGGACACTCTTCAAGGCTTCAAAAACTTTGTAGTGGAGTTTATGATCTTGATGTCAAAAGACTTTGCTACTCCATCTCTTTGCATCACTGACCAGAGCCCTGGGAGGTCACAAATTGACCTCAGCAGCCTTAATGAGCAAGATTTAGCTCCATTCCTCATTAGAAAAAGGTGGGAATCCGAGCCTCATCCATACATCTTTTTCAATGATGACCACATGTCCATGACTTTCATTGGATTTCACCTGCAGCTCAATGATCAACGGGGAGTGGACGCCATAAACCCATTGACAAGAGAAGTGATTAAGAGAAACATAATGACCAAAGAGCTGTTCACTGGCTTAAAACTCCAGAGAGTCCCTTTTAATCAGGACTTTGACCAGCTGTCCAGAGCTGACAAGATTGAGCATCTGTGCAGCGTGCTTGGCATTAAGTGGCCCACAGATCCTGATGAAACATATGAACTTACCACTGATAATATCCTAAAAATGATGGCAATCCATATGAGATTCAGGTGTGGCATTCCAGTTGTTGTAATGGGTGAGACAGGATGTGGTAAGACAAGGTTAGTGAAGTTCATGTGTGATCTGAGAAAGTGTGCAGCAGAAGCAGAGAACATGAAACTGGTCAAGGTTCATGGAGGAACTACATCAGATATGATACATGAGAAAGTGAGGGAAGCAGAAACTCTTGCTAGGTTTAACAAAGAGAATCATGCATTTCACACAGTTCTTTTTTTTGATGAGGCAAACACCACAGACGCCATCAGCAGCATCAAAGAAATCATTTGTGACAACACTGTGGAAGGACAACCACTTTGTTCTCAAACAGGGCTTCAGGTCGTTGCTGCATGCAACCCCTACAGGAAGCATACAGACAAGATGATTGACCGGCTGGAGGCGTCTGGATTGGGCTACAGGGTTAGAGCCGAAGAAACTGAGGACAGACTTGGCTCTATTCCTATACGCCAGCTTGTGTATCGAGTTCATGCATTGCCCCCCAGTATGATTCCTCTTGTTTGGGACTTTGGGCAACTTAATGATTCAACAGAACAAGTGTACATTGAACAAATGGTACAAAGAGAAACAAAAGCCAACCTGATCGAGGAGAGGGGAGTTCCTACTATAACAAACGTATTGTCGTTATCACAGAAGTTCATGAGGGAAAGGAAAGATGAATGCAGCTTTGTCAGTTTGAGAGATGTTGAACGGTGCATGCAGGTGTTTGTGTGGTTCTACAAAGAGCACCCAACGTTTGCAAAAGAACTCAAAGAATTTGTTCAAAAGCAAAATCAGAGGACACAAAATAAAATCAGTTTTCCCCCTGCTGATGACAGAGTGATCTGGTCACTCTTGATGGCTACAGGAGTATGTTATCAGGCCTGCCTGGAGAATAAGAAGCCATATCTGCAAACTGTCAGCAAGGGGCTTCCTCATGGCTACAACACAGGAAGAATACTTAAGGAAATTCAACTCATGCAGGACCTCCTACTCAGTGGTGTACCCGTGGGCAGGACAATTGCTAAAAATGAAGCTTTGAAAGAAAATGTCTTCATGATGGTAATCTGTGTTGAGCTAAGAATTCCCTTGTTTATTGTTGGGAAACCTGGGAGCTCAAAATCACTGTCCAAAACCCTTGTTGCTGATGCAATGCAAGGCCAAACCTCACACTCTGAGCTGTACAAAAGATTGAAGCAGATACATCTGGTGTCTTTTCAGTGCAGCCCTCATTCATCCCCAGAGGGGATCATCAACACATTCAAACAATGCGCACGCTTTCAGGAGAACAAAAAATTGGATGAATATATCTCTGTAGTTGTTCTTGATGAGATTGGATTAGCTGAAGATTCCTGTAAGATGCCACTGAAAACCCTCCACCCATTGCTTGAAGAGGGTTGTGTGGATGATGAGCCACAACCTCATAAAAGAGTGGGGTTCATTGGAATCTCCAACTGGGCACTGGACCCTGCAAAGATGAACCGTGGAATATTTGTGTCCCGTGGAGATCCAGACCAGGAAGAGCTTATCAAAACTGCCAAAGGGATATGCGCATCCAATAAGAACATTCTGTCAAAGATCGATGTCCTCTTTCAGCCCTTCGCAAGAGCATACATGACCATTTGTAAAGAGGGGAGGGGGTTTTTTGGTCTGCGAGACTTCTACAGTTTCATAAAGAAGATATTTTCTTTTGCGAAAGACAGAAATGAGAAACCCACTGCAGATGAAATTACTGAGGCAGTCTTGAGAAACTTCAGTGGAAAAGACAATGTGGATGTGATTGGCATTTTTAGCAAAGAACTCAGAGATGAGTTTGCCAATGCTTCCAGCTCCACCAGTGATTTGGTCAATGAGATCACCTCTCCAGCTCACCATGGTGATGAAAGTCGTTACCTCTTAATCCTCACAAAAAACTATGCAGCACTACAGATTCTCGAGCAGGCATTCATTTCTCACCAAATCCATCCAGAAATCATCTTTGGGTCCAGTTTCCCAAGGGATCAGGAGTACACACAGATTTGTAGGAACATCAATCGTGTCAAGATTTGCATGGAGACTGGACAGACAGTTGTGCTTCTAAACCTTCAGAATCTGTATGAAAGCCTGTATGATGCTCTCAACCAATACTACGTGACCCTGGGAGACCAAAAGTATGTGGATCTTGGATTAGGAACACATCGAGTGAAGTGCAGAGTTCACAAAAACTTCAGGCTTATTGTCATTGAAGAGAAGGAGGTGGTGTATGAGCAGTTCCCAATCCCACTGATCAACAGATTGGAAAAACACTACCTTGACATCAACACTGTTCTCAGTGATGAACAGAAGTCTATTGTCAGGAAACTACAGGGCTGGGTTGATGATTTTGTGTTTACCAGCGGTCAACACAACACAAAGCAATATGTTCCAAGTGATGTCTTTGTTGGCTACCACTCAGACACATGCTCCTCTGTGGTCCTTCAAGTGACAGGGAGTGACAGAACTGAAACAGATGCACAGACTATTCTGGACAGAGCCAAAGGAATTTTGCTCAACTGTGCAACTCCAGACTCAATCATTCGTTTGGAAAAATCCAGGCTGCCCGTTGAGGAAAGAGAGCATTTGATAAAGGAATATGCTAAAGAGAACATGCACAGTTCCTTGGGCGACTACATCATCTACCACAAGAAGCAGCTGGAAGAGTGCCACTTTTTCTCCACTGAGGTAATTAAGTGGAAATGCTGATTAAGCATTTCCACTTATTGTTTTTTATTTTACCATGCTGTCATATATTTGGTTAAAAAAATGACCCAACCTCAGTTTAGCAGGGAAACTTCTCAACAGTTATGGACAGTGCAGGTTTTGAAGTCAGGCCCCCAGCTTTATTTTTCATAAGACTCAAAATTTCCTACCAACTGTCACTGGAGTGGCAAACATACCACAGGGGGAGCTGATTTTTATTTCACAATCTAACTTTAACCGAGTGTGCCAGTACATTATGGGCATACTTTTCTTGGTGCATCTTCACCCTGTAGTCTTTATAAATGTTTTTAAAAATTAATTTCAATTCCACAGTAGATAATAAAGGCCCACCTTAATCAAGGGTATTTTGCACAAGGAAAAAAATATTAACCATACAAACAAATTTTAGTCTCAGTCAAAAATATAAAAAATGGGAAATGCTAAACATTATCAGAATTTTTTCTTTTGCTGTGTTTTGTAGGTCACAACATTTTCAAGGCTTCTTACTGCAGCAGACACACACAGTTTGCAAAAAAAGCTAAAACTTGACAACATCCATCTGTTGTCACTGCAGCAGTTTGACACAGAGTACTCTTTCCTCAAGAAGATCAGGTGTGTACATTTTTAAAGGAACAAATCCCATCTTTTGAGCTGCCAAGGGCCCACTGTCTATTCAAACACAAATTACATCTTTTCCTGGTTTTAGGGAGTGTCTTGGCTCAACAACTGCAGACAAAGTCCTCATTATCCAAAGAGACTTTGAGGAAGATGCCCGCAAGAGGAATGTTTTTTCCTCAGCCAAGTGAGTTTGAAGTTATTTTCAATACCAACTCTTTCTTGCATTGTTGTGAAACCCACCATTTTACATCATTTCTCCTTGTGCTTGAATTTGAATTTCATAGGTATGCATTCATCAATGAAGTAAACAAGTGGGCCTCAACTGACAATGCAAAGCCTCTTGTGTATTTCATCACCAAACTCCCTCGGATTGAGGGGGGGACCTCATACATTGGATTTCAAGGAGGTAAGTCCTACTCTTACATAACAAGTTATGATAAATTTTATGCTAATAATTTAGTTATAATATGATTTCATTGACAACAGCAGTAATAACTATCAAGAATTATTATAGAACTTTTCACCCACAAAATTAAGTGTCCATTGTGTACGAAATATTTTACCAGAGGCAAAGGTGGAACAACAGAATTTTGGACTCATTTCATGATTTCAATGGCCTGTCTTTCATTTTAAGGTCCCTGGAGGTCTGTGCACATCGATGATCTCAGAAGAACGAACAAGTTTGCAGCTGATGTTGATTCATTGCAAAAGGTTTGCATAAGTGAGATTTTTGAAGATCCACCTGAGGGTAATTTTGCCTTTTTCTGAAACAGTATCATATTTGAATATTTGTTATTCATAAATATCAACTATAGATGAATTAACTGTTATTTTACCATCTTTTCAAGCCATGGAAACAGAAGATCATGCACAGAATGATGACCCTACTGTAAGTGTAACTTATCATTATATATTAAAAAGCAAGCTAGGCTTGTTCACAGTTTTTGTTTAAACTCAGACAGATGCTACTCTAAGGTTTTTTTAAGTGTAAAATGAGAAAATTCGATTTCTGTTTGACAATTGAAGTGGGTATTTTGTAGGGGTGGGAGAAAAAAAATTGATTCACATAAGTAATCAGGTTTTTTTTTTTAGATAAATTTTTATGTTCAAAAATTTTTATTTATTTATTTTTTGTTCAAATTAAAGAATAAATCTTAAAAACTGACTTACCCGTGATGTGTAGTTTTTGGGGAAATATGGTTCCTAGAATAGTCAGTTGGCAATCATAATCATTCAACTGTTTCACTGGTGTTAAAAACGCAGACTAAAGATTGAGATAATCTACAATATCGTAGAATCCCAATTTAAATCGAACTGGCACCCAAAAAATCATAGAAGAATCGAGTTGGGAGAAAAGCATATCGTCCCAGCCCTAGTATTTTGTATTCCAATGATTATTTTGCTGACTATACTTAATTTCAAATTGTGTCAGTGAAAGATACCTAGACTGTGCAAGGATTATTATCCAATTTATTAGAGATATTCAAAACATAAAGGTACAAGCAGTTGGACAGGAAGCATTTTCTAGTTTAGACTTAAAATTACTCATTAATGTACCATTCATTAATGCATCTCTTGAATAACTATAACTGTCAAGGCAGTGGAAACTAACTAACTTTTGTCACTGACATACACAGGATAACGGGACTAATCTTGTAGGATTAATTTCTAGGAATGTTTTACCTTTTTAAGTGCTCAACTGCTTTAATTATGTTTTTTTTTTTCAAATCTTTGCAGATTTTGGAGGAATACTTTGATGTAACAAATCTGATTAGGAGCTGTGTGCAAGGTGCAGTGAGCATGCTAAGAGATGCAACAGACAATTCAGAGCTGAGCACAAAAAGAGTGGAGAACCTGCTCACACTTTTGGATGAAAGTCAGACACAAGGTAAAAATATCTGGGTTCTGACCTTTGTTGTATACCTATACATGTATGCACTGAAATAGCATGAAAGTATTTTTTGGCTATGAATTATTTTATCAAAGGGTTGTTCACAAGCATCTTGAGGAGGCGTATCCACTCACTGTTAAAGGAGTATGAAACCAACACTCCCAATCCGAAGAGCTGGGTTCTAAGAGAGGCTTCAAATATCAGTGCTCTTCAAGAGGGGGGAACATTTCTGTAAGTCTCTCCTTCACATTGACTAAGCAGTCTACATCCACTGTGTTGATATGTTGAAAAACAATTTTAAGAAATTATAACTTATAAAATTATAAAATTTGCTAGTAAAGCAATGTGACATTTTGTTTACATAGGCACACATTGTGGAGGAAAGTACAAGCTGTTGTCACTCCTCTGCTAGCTAACGTGGTCTCGATCATTGACCGGGATTGCAATTTGGATCTCCTGCTGACTGGATGTAATGACATCAAAAACCTGTGGCTCAAGATTTTTGAGAGCAAAGAGATGCTCCCTGTACCTTATGAGAGGATGGAAAGCAAGTAAGTATCTTGTGATTGAGTGAACGTGGCACCTAAAAAAATCATGGTTTGATTTTTGTTCACATCTTGGGTCTACAAGCTTAATAAAATTTTAACAGTATGCCATAGATGTTTTCTTTGCTTTTAGATTTTATTTTTCTGAAACTTTAGAGAGGAGAAAAAGGATTTCAGTCCTCGTTCTGTAATTATTTTTTTTGTCTCAAGCAGATTGCAAAGCCAAATGAATTTAAACTCCAGCAAGAAGCCTTTTCAGTTAAAACTGTTATTCTGATTCTACTGCCTATGATTCAAATCTGGAATTCTTTAATGCAGCTCCAGTGTCACAGTACAAAGCCATATCACAAGTGGCAGCACCATGTGCTGCTGTATGCCCTTCAGTTGGTGGATCAAAGACTTTATGGATGGGCTCATGATGCAGGCATCCAGACACGATGGTAAATATTATCCTAAGCTACTAATTCAAATGCCCTCTGATCTGGAAATGGACTGTACATTTGAGTGCTATCTTTGAGTTGAGTTGTTTTTCTTTGTAAAAAAAAAAAGTGTCATGTTGATTTCTAATACATTGGTGGCCTTAACTTTTATTTGCAGATCATTCTAGGGGTCAGATGCTAGAGTTATTCTCAAGCACTCCTCTGGGCAGGTACATGAATGAAAATGTGAATGAAAAAATGAAGGAAGAGTTCTTTCAAAGGTACCTACAGGATTTTGTTTCAATGACATTTAAACGGGGATCTGATGAAGAATTACAGGTAAGGGAAAATACAGTGCTGTTAAACTGACCCCCCCCCCCCCCCCACACACACACACACACACACACACACACACACACAGGGATAAATATAGTATCTCATTCTGATTAATAATTACTACATCTGTTATTTGATGAAATACAGTAGTGGAGAAAGTTTTCTGACACCCAATGTATTTGTGGTATACATAATATCTGGTATATTTTCTTCTCAGCTCATGCGTCAGGCTCTGACCAGCTGTGTTGATGAAGTCAGGAGACAAATGAGAGAAGAAAGGGAGCTCTCTCTTCCTCTTGTGCACTTCGCCCACCATTCCTTCCAAAGCCGTCTACAGAACCTCTCACGGATGCTGGCTATTCAGCCCGATATTGTTACTCCTTTGACAAGAAACCAGCACACCAAACCCTGTCCAGAGATGGTAAACAACAGTTTTTGAGGCAACTTGCTGGACCCGGACATTAAGAAAGAAGAAGAAAAAAAAAAAAAAGCCGAACCTATTTCAGTTTTCCAAAATGAAGACTGGTAGTATTCGTATGTATTTTTTTAGGCTTTGTCCTCAAGTGGTTTAAGGGACATTCATACTTCGTACAAAAATTTGACACTGGCCTACTAAACAGAGTCGATTAAAAATAGTCATGCTTTATTCTGCACTCAAGTGTATCAGCAAAAATGTAGTGGTTTTATTACCTAACATTGGAGACTCCCTTTTTGTGACCTTTGAGTCCCTCCAATTTTAAAAATTTCATATACTGTAAATAATGTTTTACTCTGCAAAAAAATTATATTACTTTCACTTCTGTCTTGCAGGTTTTGGATGTATATGCAGCCCAGGCATGTGTTGAACACCTGGAGAATTTAAAGCTTGACACTGATGCTCTCTGCAAAGACTGGCTAAGGCAGGTGAAAAGGCTACAAGCCTCTTTAGAGATGATTTGCTCCCAACAACACTCCAAACAATATGGACAAAGATGCAATGAAAGACTCCATCTTGTCAGGTAAGACACTTATGCACAGGAATGTAATAAAGATACTCAAAAAAACCTGCTACTGTAATGTGATGCATATTTTAACTACAAACTAACTATGGTTTAATATATTTTTAGAAATGGATGGAAGCGCATCTACATACTATCATTGTTTGTGGAACATTTGCTGCTGAATTTCCATACCAACGAGAATCAGCTCAGGGAACTGGTCCAGAAACACGTTCAAACCTTGAGCAGAGTAAGTAGGAAATGGACGCAAGGAGGGAAGTCAACATTAATAAGACAAAGTTCCTTTTGTAACCCATTGAGATGTTCATTGTTTATGTACTTGCTGCTGACATGTTTTGTCACATTACATTGTATTTTAAAAAGAATACAATCAACTGAGAAAAGCCAAAAAACACGATTTTGGCTGTGTCGTATTCATACCCATTGGCTTTGGCCTGTGTCTTAGGTTCTGGAGGAAAACTCAGATGTTAAATCAGTGGGTCCCTTTGAGGAAGTAATCAAAATACTAATGTCCTGCAAGCAGGGAGCAAGTAACCAGATTTTCAAGTAAGGGCTTAATTATTTGACAGCTCTGTCCTCTCAATCTTATTGAAATTGTGAAGAATGTTCCTAAAATGCACCTAAATTATTCTGGTTTTAAATGGTTTCCTTTTCAGGTTTGGACTTATGTGTGGGGTGTGTATAAGGGAGCCTCAGGACCCTGTGGGACTACCATGCCATCACATTTTCTGCTCAGCATGCATCAGGCAAAGTCTTGAAGTTGGACAGGCTTCCTGTCCCATGTGCAGACAGGAGTTACCAGATGACTTTCAGCCACACATCTCTGAAGAAATCAGGTGCAGTTTCAGTATAAAGCGCACTTGTTTTCTCTGTAGTGGATGAAAATGTTACGCTGACCCTACCGGGGGTTGCTATGAAGAAAAGCATTGGTCTAAAGTATAGCAGTATTTGAAAGGGTTACAATTTCAGAGTGTTCACTGAGTGACAGATTGTTCTTTTCGGGGAATCTGTCAGTGAAGCAAAGCTGATAAAACACAGCCTTATGGGATTTTTAATTTCTTTCTTTTATATTTTTGTTACTGTACAGGGCGTCTGTTAAGAAAAATTCTGACCTCAGACAGCGTTGCAACAGATTCTTCATTGATTTGCTCTCAGCTGTGTGCTTCAAGGAAAATACTCCACCAACTAAAGGTGTCATTAACCACCTGCTGTCCTTCCTGATGGTTGAGACAGGTAACCTCTAATGTTTAGCTTCATGCAAATGTAATGTCAGTCTAAATCTTAGCGCTTCCTCTGTGTTCTTACAGCTTTTTTTAAACTTAAGGGAATATTTCTGACTCTTCCTGTGATTGCTCTGGCAATTTTATTGATAAACTCCAAAGATTAGGGAGCTGTGGTACATCTTTTGTTTTACAAGATTACTGTTAGAAATAACTCTTTTACCTCTAATTCCTCATCAGATAGATTTATATGTTTCAGTTCTCTCTTTTTATCAATAAAATACTCAAATGCAACATTTACAGAAAAAAAGATAATCTGTTCTTCTTTGTAAATTTGTATTCCTTTAATGCAGAACATAGACAGACTCAAACCAAAGATTTGTCACCTTTTGATGAGTCTCCTGATAAAAACCCAGTTGTGCGATCTGTTATCCTCAAGCTGCTGCTCAAGTTCAGGTAGGTGAACTAATAGTGGCACCGTCACCCTAAGGTCTAACACATTGTTATGTTTTGCCGTCTGCAAGATCTGGCTCATTTAGGAACAATATAGCTGCTGGATCGAGTTCTCCTCAAAGCTGATCTGCTCTTACTATGACTTTAATCAGCTTCTTTGTGTTTCAGCTTTGAAGATGTCGAGGAATATTTGCAGCAGCATTTGTCATATGTAGAAGACAGCAGGTTTGTGGTTGAGGAGGATAAAGCAGAGCTATACGCCCTGTACATCAACTGCTTGGAGGTAAAACATAGCCATGATTAATAGTATTATTTGTATTAAAAACTAATCAAACAAAAGTATTAACTTAAAAGATGGATTTCTTTGGATGACCAAGGTGAATATTTATGTGCCTTATAATAAAAAGTGTAAATTCTCTGCTCTCTAAATCCAGATTACAGCCTCATCTGTTTCAGCTGCTTTTATTGAATTATTTGGATAAATTACCTGTTTTAATGATACAACATGGTAACCTTTATGCTTTATTATGAACTGTCTTATATTTTGACCCATTTCATTTTCTCTTTGCTCTAATTTTTAATAACTTGTGTTATTGACCTTTAACATCATATTTTAATGATTTTCTCTTTTTTTCTTCTAATATGTTTTTAACTGATCTTTGACATTTTCTTTCAATGTCTTCAGAGTACATGCCCGTGTGTAACTCTCCTTTTGCTTTCTTGTAACAGCCTATCATACTATCTATTGTAAATACTGTAAGTAAAGGCTCCTTTGCCCAGCAGCGTATAAAGGGCTTCTTCAAAATCAGAGCCAGTTGCTGGGATCCCAGGCATCAAAAATCATGGTGTAGATAGAGTCCATCTTGTGCCTAAAAAGTCTTTTCAAGCTTTGCTGGAAAGTTCACTGTTATTACAATATGTGGCGGATTCTTTTGCTAGAGAGCTGGAGTTGGCCCACAGGCCAACATTTGGCCACTATTGTCCTACAGAATCTGAATGGGACTGTAGGAAGGGGGTGGAGTAAATATGGCTGCTGTTGGACTTTTTGCTTATTGATGACAAGCTCAGTTCTAACATTTGTTTACTGATGTTCTCTTGACATTGTGTCTTCACAGGACTCCCTATGGGAGAAAATGCCTCAAGATGGCTGCAAAGCTAAAGAGCTGATGTTGTTTACCAGAGGTGAAACAACATTCCTGGATTTCTTTTTATCTGATGTCACACCCATGCCTGAAAAAGTGTCAGTGCAGCATCTACAGTATATTGCAAGACTGCGTCTATGCCTCACCTTCGCTGCATCGCTCATCGGTGATCATCTGTCTGGTGAGATTTAACTCAACTACTTTTGACTGTTCATGAAAGCTATTTAAAAGAATGAAGAATATTTAACTATACTGCCGTTGCAGAAAATGATGTCCCAGATGGAGCTGATGATTTTCTGGACATGGTTGTAAAGCTCTGTGAGAACAGTGGGAATGATTGGTATCGGGTTTACCTGATCCGCAAGCTCAGTGAACGGCAGGGTGTTGAGGTTGTTCAGACATTGGTCAAACAACAAAAGTTCAGCTGGCTTTTTCCTGCAGAGATCCATCAACAGGTATATAAAAGAATTTATGCCAATCAGAAATTAAATATATGGTGTACATTGTATGTCATAATTATTCCAAAACAAGCAACCAATTAACAAGTAACATTTTTTTCAACTTAATAGACCAGTCCCGAAGCCCTTCAGCATCATTGTATAGATTCTGACATCATGTATGTTTGCTTTCTATCTCCCCACGTGGTGTGAACAGAATCAAGATGGAGGCCAGATGGATCAGTATCTCGTGTATGGAGAGGAATACAAGGCAGTGAGGGATGCAGTTGCAAAGGCGGTGGTGGATGGTGAAGTAGAGCAAATTGAAGAAGTCTGTGAGGTATTTCAAATTTAATGCAACATTTGCACTTTCTTTTGTTAGTTCGACCCTTACCTTCAATTTATGACGTTAAGTGTTCTTATTTTGATAGACAGGACAAATTTTATTTTTTTTCACCTTGCAGTCCATTGAGTGGCTCATCCAAGGAGTGTTCTCTTTAGCAATCAAATTAGCCTGATACAAGAAGGGGTAATCTTTTTGGATTTGTGTAAAGCTTTTGATACAAGTCATTACAATGCACTGATTTCAAAACTTTCTACATTTAATTTAGCATCTTAGGCTGTAGGATACAATGTGTTAATGCTGGTGGTGTTTTGCCTAGCAATACAAAGTGTACTGTGGGTGTCCCTCAAGATTCTGTGCTCAGCCCCATATTGTCTGCCCTCTACATTGACGATCTCCCACAACGGCGCCATGATATAGATCTGCAAATTAATGCTGATGACACTGTTTTATATACACACACTAAAACAGCTAAGCTAGCATTATCAGCTGTCATAGGACGGATCACAGCAGGTCTCAGCATTAACGTAGGCAAATTACAGAGCCTGTTTTTCTTGAAACCAAAAAGCAGCCCACCAATGCTGATAATTTCATCAAGGCTGAGATGATTGAAATAGTGAGTGAGTTTGTTTATATAAAAATGTGTGTTTTTAGATTCAAACCTTAACTTCAAGAATCACCTTAAGAAAAGATCAAATCCGTTAAATGTGATTTGAAAAATTTTAGACATTAGAAATGGTCTTACAGTAGATGCAGCCAAGCCCCTCTTGGTACTGAAGAAACTTAATTTTTTTAGTTTCGAAAATTTCAAATTATTTACAAACATGTGTCTAGTATTTTAAGTGATTTGGTCCCATCTCCATTGAGACAGTTTATTAACTGTCATTCAGCGAACCCTATAAGATCCACAGAAATACCTCAATTAAGAAACTATTCTGTACCCATTCGTCACACAGCCTTTAGGCAGTCAGGTTACTCTGTGAAAGCCACAACTCAGTGGAGCTTTTAGTGTATGTGTATGTGTGTTGGGTATGTTTGTGAGTGTGTGTCTGTATGGGCATTGGTTTGTGTTCTTACGGTTCTAGTTGTGCTATTAAAGTGTTTTTAAATCTATGTGATGTCTTATTTGGAACCTGCCAAGGAACTGCAGATGTAAATTAGCTTTAGGCTAACTCTGGCACAATGCTTTAGTGCTTTGGGAGGGTAAATCCTGGGTAAGCTTGCAACGGAGTGTCAAAAATCCGGGGGGAAAAACCTGGCCTGGGTGACAAGGCCAGAACAAGGTTTGGGCTTACAAAATACCACCTTAACAAAAATACTTGACCTTAAAACAAATGTCATGCCATCAATCAGCAATGATGATTAACAGCTGGTTAATATCACTCACCATTATTTGTCCGGGTTTGATCAGTCCTCCCAGTTTGGGTTGTTCAAAAAGCAGTTTTAGCAGTTTTGTTCCGTTTTTTTTTCTAACTACGGTAAGTGTAATCAATTGTGCTCCGTGATCCTTTCCAGTCAGCGTCTCCCACTTACTCTCGCCGTCTTCCTGTTTAATATTGCTGAATGTGTGCTACCATTGGCTGGCAGCGCTCACGCGAGATTTAGACGTGATTTGATAAAACTCTGCTATCATGGCGTTTGATTTTAAGAGTCACAATTTAATTACATTTCTTAAAACAAAATTACAGTAAATAATTTCAAAACAACATATTTCAAAACCTTTGATCCTTTACACTTTTAAGTCTTTTTTCTTAAAAGATATTAATCATGTCATTTTCTATGACCTGGGTTACAATGTGGTCCTTGACACTTTGTTCACACTGGAAGTAACTGCCCATTTTGTTTACTGAAGCCTCTCAATTCCTAATATTTGTTCATTTGGGGCAGCAGTAGCTCAGGAGATAGACTGAAAGTCCAATAACTGAAAGGTTGGTGGTTCCACCCCCCCATCCCTAGTCTGTCCTTGGGCAAGACACTTAACCCACCTTGCTCCCAGTGTGTGTCCTCCACTGGTGTATGATAGTAAGTGATGTTTGGTGGTGGTTGGAGAGGCCATAGGCGCAAACTGGCAACCATATCTCTGTCAGTCTGCCCCAGGGCAGTTGTGACTACTGAGGTAGTTTCAGTCAAGCACCTGAAATTACTAAGCTACTTCACCACCATCAGGGTGTGACTGTGTGAGCGAATTAATGACGTATCCAATGAAAAGCACTTTGAGGGTCTCTGATAAAGCACAATAAAATCTGATGCATCATTATTATTATTATTATTATTTTAGGGATGCACAGCACCACCAAGAAATCGAACTCTGTTCATCCTCTTGGCACTTTTCCGAGAAGTTTCAACTCTGTACAGGTCTGCAAATACAAGTCTTCACCCAACTACAGAGGTAAGAAAAGCACTGAAATAGAACACTGGTATTTTCTAACCTTGGCCTGTTTTTTCCCATGTGTTTGTGTGTGCTTGACAGATAAGGAGAACAGTTTCTGAAATTAGTGAAGTATTAAAGCAGAGTGGAGCATCTGGCAGCTGCGAAACAAGCTAAAACTTTGACTGGGCAATTGTGCATTGTCAAACTGCGTCCACTACAAATAATTTATTTTCACCACTGACAGGCTCCGAGTGTTATTGCATGTCACGAGAGCAGAATGGCACAGGGTTTTCCTGTGGTCAGTGTACAACCAAATCTTGTTGGTGGAGAAATGTTGTTCTGTTATTTTGCGAGATCTCACTTGTTGCAGGAAGACGACAAAGGACATTTGAGTGAGTCACACAAGGAGACTCAGAGAGCACCAGGACTGAAGCACCTGGACTGTTTGAGAGTAGTTATGTGGCAAAGTTTGTTTTAGAGCTATGGATGAATATTTGCCTGATTTTGACAGTGTGGATGAGGTGAATATGATTATACTGATGAAGAGCTCCTACAAGTTGATGAGCAAACAAAGAAAGAGCGAGAGAGGGAAAACAGAGGGTTTATATCCTGTGGTGCTGTGATCCTATGCCCACAGAGTAAGAATGTGTGTGTTGTGAAGAGTAGGACCTGTTGATGTCTAACATCTGTGGTGTTGATGTTAGGCACACAATGCTATGTGAACACCTTAGAGGATTTGTATTAACAAATTTTAGCCCCTCAGTGGTAACCAAGGCAACAATAAGTGTCAATCTGGAAGTAACAATGAAATAAGAGTTAGTTTTTTTTTAGAGATGCTTGAATCAAGAATTGTGATCAGAAACCATGAGCAGACATTTGACCTAAAATGTTCTAAAGAGATGCTTTAAAAATTTGGCTTGTTTCTGTTGTATATTTACTTATATCTTTCTTGTAGCGATGTCAAGAATTTGAAGAGTTCATCCAGGGCTCAAGTTATCTGCACCAAAAAGAAGTCAGGAACTTTGCCTCAGCCTTGGTTCACAACACACTGGGAGCCCTGACCTTGAGCCCTGAGCAAAGCGTTACAGACAATGCTGTCATTGAGCTGACTATTCATCTGGCAGCTGTACTCCTCACAGGGAATCAGCCCTTGGTGATGCCACTCAAGCAGCTCGGTTTGTCTCCTGAAAATATGCAGGTAAACTACATCAGATCATGTATCAGAAGTTTGATTCCCTTTGTAGCTGATACAAAAGGAATCAAATCTTTAAGCTCACCTCCTTTCTGGCACCAAGAAGCGTGAGCACATAACTCCAGTGCTCTCTTCTCTACACTGGCTTCCAGTTAGGTACAGGATCATTTTTAAGATTTAAGATTTAAATCTCTGAATGGGCTGGCCTCAGAGTACCTGGCTGACCTTGTTAAGCTACACCAACCCTCCAGAGCCCTTAGGTCTGCTAACCGAGTCGTCTTAGACATGCCTCGTTCTTTTTTAAAATCCAGAGGGGAGCGAGCGTTTGCGATTGCAGCTCCCACTTTGTGGAATGCACTACCCCTCAGTGTGCATACTGCAAATAGTCCCTCTACTTTTAAAACCCAACTAAAGACGCACTTGTTCACCTTAGCTTTTGGCGGAGTATGAAACTTGTATTGGTTATATATTCGTTTTTGTTTACATTTATATGTTACATGTCTTTTGTTGTTGCTGTTTGCTGTGTATGACTTGCTTTTATTGCTACTGCTTAGTTATTGTAAAGCACTTTGGTAGGCCACTGGCTGTTTAAATGTGCTATACAAATGAACTTGACAAACTTGACTTGACTTTAAAGTCTCCTGAACACTGACTCATAACTTTGTCAGAGACATAAAAGATGGAAATTGGCAGCAAAAGCGATAACTTTTATAAAATTGAGTGAATATAAAGAAAACCTTGTAATGTCTTAGAAACATGTTAACAGATCTCCTATAACTTTCATATTAACTTTTGCATTTCATTTATTTGACCTAACAGAGGGCATTTATACCCACAATGCCTGATGACATGTTAGCTGTTGCCCAGACAGTAATACAACAAAATTATGGGAGGCTTTCTTGGTACGGTAAGTATTATTGTAATACATTTTATTAAAAACAACAAAATGTGAGTTTTTCCAGCTTCTTTTCATTTTTTTCTAAATTTTATGACTTAATCACCTCACTTATCCTATCAAGCAGATTTCATTACAGCACAAGTTGTCTAAAAGTCTTGTATAATCTGTTTTGTTCTGGGTTTTTGTTATTATACTGACGGTCAGACATACTGATGTCATGAGGGATATTCAACTATTTCTTGGGTTACTTAATCTTACTCCCCCAAAATTTGAGATTTAAGCCTGTTTGGGTTTTTTTTTTCAGTGTGTCCAAATAATCATCCATGCTTTGTTGATGAGGTGAGCTATTTTATCCAATTCTAGTTTATTTATTTACACAAATGAAAATAATTTGAGGTTAATTTATTGATCTGCTGTGTTACACTGTAGTGTGGCCTGCCCATGCAGCGAGGCGAATGTCCCGACTGTGGACTAGAGGTTGGGGGGGAAAATCATAAAGCCCTGCCTGGATTTAGATGCATACAGGTGCAGCAGTGAGTATCATTGATTTTGGGGCCACAGTCATTCATTGAATTGTTTCTTTAATGTAAAGATTAAGCAGAACTGTTCATTACCCTTTTATGTAGTTAGCTCTTTAAAACTGGACTTTTGTTGGAACAAGGTACAAGAGAGGATGGTTCTTTAATGAGAACAAAACTAGGCAAGTCTTCACAAACTATCCCTGTTTTGTGTAAAGTAATTCAGTTAAAGTTTATGCTGTATGTTGTCAGCTGCCTATAATGTGATGATTTATCGGCCTGTTAACATTATGTTGTGATGCAGCATGATAAAATAATCTAGATGTAAATATTAACAAAGCATATAAAGCGTGTACTTAAATTAATGACATTAGTTTAAGACTTGCCACTATATGGTGATCATTTTAAATTCATTTCAAATGTCATTGTATTACAGCATTTCATAGCAAGTTAAACATCTGACTGACTGATTTACTGCCTGTTGCTTAGGGATCAGACAAGGCGTGGCCACATCCTAGGTGACCCTGAGCGGAGAAACAACCCTGATGCCCTGGACACTAAAAACATGTCTCTGGCTGCCTTCACTCTGGTCAGGCTGGTTACACATCTGGCCATGTTGTTGGGAGCCTCAGAGAAACCCCAGGTCAGCAGACGAACATCTCGAATTAACTGCATCCAGAGTGCTGTTTTGGTCTAGTGGTCAAAATAGAGGCTATAGTTCTCAAAGCAGGAAGCCTGTGGCCCTTAACAGTGTCTCATTGCCCTCTTTCCATCTCTCAGTTTCTCACTCTATCCACTGTCCTGTCCTCTCAGTGAAGGCATAAAAACCTTGAAATAAACTTTAAAATGTTTGATAGCAGGTACCCGTGTTGAATTTAAATGCCCTGAAAGGTGAGATAAAAATGATTCTGAGATAAAACAGCGCTCTTTACTCTCTGCTCCATTAGCATTTCCAGAACATCATCCAGCCACCTGTGGAGGATTCTTGTCAGTTTCTCAGGCTGCATACACTTAAGGATCTGGAACAGCTGTCTCAGACACTGGGAGGAGGTGCTGATGACACTGCAGCAACTGTCCACCTGGTGCTCAGATCACTTCAAGAGCTAGAGCCGGCCGGTTACTGTAAGCCTGTCACCACTCACCCACTGTGAAATTACTCTTTTTTATTTCTCATTTCCCTTACTATTTGATTTTTTTTCCTCCATCTGTGAGGCATATAAAGTAAAATGTTTTTTAAATTTACATTTTTAATGTTTGGTTTTATTATTATTATTTTTTTAATACATAAAACAGCACTGGGTTTATCTCACAAAATACTATCTTTTTGACTTTGACCAGCTGGTACTGATCCTTACCTGACTAACAAAGCATCCAGAAACCATTGGGAGACAACAGTGGCTGAAGAGATTATGACACCCAAGTTGAGGGTAAAACCGTTTACTTTATTTTTTATCCTTTTAAGTCTGTCTATCTGTTAGGGTGTTAAAATTGATCATTCTTATTTAGATGTTTTAATTTAGTACTGTAATACTTTATATTCTCATTTATATGATCTTATGATCATATTGATCACTCTCCTTATGGTGTGAAAATTATATTGTGTCTAGGACCTCGATGGGCTCCTACAACAGGCAAAGGAGAGCATAAGGACCGACTCCCGTGTGTCCTCCAATTTCATCATGAGGACGACTTTCAGTGATGATTGTTCCTTCCTGAAATCACTGGCACAGGGCTCTCAAGTCCACAGCTCAGCTGTGTGGAGCTGCAGAACACGGCTCTCACTGCCCAGACTCATGCACATTGTGGAGCAGTACGACCAAAAGGAGGAGCTGCCTCTTCTGTGGAGGTTCTTGCAGAAGGTAACTGTCCAGACTCTGTAGCATATTGACTTTAGAATCACTATTTCATCCTCCTTTCTAGCTCTTATTATCAGTCATGGTAAGTTTTCCCTTAAAACAATTTGTGTGGTTATGGCCTCTATACTTTATGTATGTGAGAGTGGAGTGTCGTAATATGTTCGTTTTGTGAAAGCAATGATAACAGACATGATTTAATTTGATCTTTTTCCCAATCAGGAGATTGAATTCCGGCAGATAAAGCACCTGCCAGTCATCCTTATCCTGCAGAAAGTCTTGGTGAAAAAGTTCCAGAATGCATCAGACCAAATAGTGGGCTCCATCAGAGATTTCATTGAAAAGCAGAGAGGTGGGATAACTATAATCAATGAGCCACATATTATGTATTCTCAGTTTTGACTGTTTATTTCATCTATACATAAACTTGGTTCATTTTCTTTGGATTTGATTTGTGTCTCTTTTCTGAGTACTTTCACTCAAAGAACAACCACTACTGAATGATGAACTTCACTTCTGATACCCTCTGATTTAGTCTTGTAGCCATGCAGTCAGGACAAAGAATACCGTAATCAGTGGGTCATAGACTCAGCCATTGTCAGCAAAACTTTGTCAGCAAAGTTTTTGAAACAAGATTCTGAATTAGAAGCCAATTCTGGCTCAAGAGAGTCAGGGGTAGAAAAACAAAGTCTGTCTGTTATTTTTCACACACACGGTTTATTGTCTGTTTTTAATCTCTCACCAGTGAAATTAAGAGATTAATTTCAAAATGTCTTTTTTGTTTGTTTGTTTGTTTGTTTGTTTGTTTGCAGGTTCAAAGGCATGGTATGAGAAACACATTAAAACCTTCCTGACGACCTGGAATCTGCTTAGAGTGTCTGTAAAAAGCAGTGAGTATTTTCCTTGACAACAATTCTCAACTCAACTCAACTCAACTTTATTTGTAGAGCACTTTAAAACAACCACAGCTGTACAAAGTGCTGTACATAACAGGACAAAAACAACAAGATAAAAAACAATCAAGAAACAATTAAAACAATGGATAAAATAAAAGCAGAATTAATAATAAATTATAGCTTCAATGTTTTTAAAAACTAATTTAAAAACATAGAAACAAATAACTAAAAACAAACCATAAAACACTAAAACAGGAGCCGAGTCTCATGGAGGGTTAAAAGCCAATGAATAAAAATGGGTTTTAAGACGAGTTTTAAAAATGGACAGTGTGGGGGCTTCTCTAATTTGGAGGGGTAGCTTGTTCCATAAAATTGGGGCAGCAACAGAAAAAGATCTATCCCCTCTGAGCTTCCGTTTGGACCTCGGTACCTCCAGGAGCAGCTGATCAGCTGACCTGAGGCACCGAGCTGGGGTGTAGGGGTGGAGAAGCTCAGAGAGGTATGATGGAGCCAGACCATTTAAAGATTTAAAAACAAATAAAAGAATCTTAAAATGAACTCTAAAATGCACAGGTAACCAGTGGAGGGAGGCCAGGATGGGAGTAATGTGCTCCCTCTTACGTACTCCAGTTAAGAGCCGGGCGGCTGCGTTTTGAACTAACTGGAGACGTGAGAGGGAGGACTGGCTGACTCCAAAATAAAGTGCGTTACAGTAATCCAGCCGAGATGTAACAAAGGCATGGATTACTGTTTCAAAGTGCGTTCGTGAAAGAAAAGGCTTTGCCTTCGCCAGCTGCCTAATATGATAAAAACTGGATTTCACTACGGAGCTAGTTTGCCTGTCGAATTTAAAATCACTGTCCATCTTAAAACCCAAATTTGAGACGGTTGGCTTTAAATAATCTGCTAAAATACCCAAGTTTACAGGAGGGGTTTCACAAGGGCCACTGGGACCAAAGACCATCACTTCCGTTTTTTTTTCATTGAAGTTTAAGAAATTCAAAGCCATCCAGGCTTTGATGTCTTCAAGACACGCCAGAAGTGGAGTGAGGGAGAAAGCATTTTTTTTGTTAAGTGGCACATATATCTGACTGTCATCAGCGTAACAATGAAATGAAATGCCATGCTTTCTCAAGATGGATCCCAGGGGCAGCAAATATAAAGAAAAGAGCAGGGGCCCTAAAATCGACCCTTGTGGAACCCCATACGGCAGTGGAGCAGAGCTGGACTTTATATCTCCAAGGCTCACGCTCATAGTTCTGTCGGTCAAATAAGACTTGAACCACTCTAGTGCAGTACCACGGACACCTATAAGGTAGCTTAGCCGAGCCACCAGAGTATTGTGGTCCACTGTGTCGAAGGCTGCAGTTAGATCTAACAGAACAAGAATAACATAATCACCAGAGTCATTTGCCTGGAGGATGTCGTTAAAAACTCTTATTAAAGCAGACTCTGTGCTGTGGCGAGATTTAAAACCAGACTGGAAGACCTCCAAGACACCATGCTCATCCAGAAAGGACTTTAGCTGAACATGAACAACTTTCTCTAAAATCTTTGAAATAAAAGGAAGCTTGGAGATGGGCCTAAAATTGGCCAGCACACTGCAATCAAGGCCTGGTTTTTTAAGTAGAGGCTGCACCACTGCATGTTTAAAACCTGGCGGAACAACACCAGAGGACAGACTGCTGTTTATGATAGCCAGAACAGACTGACCTATGCAGTGGAAAACCTCTTTAAACAGCCTGGGAGGGACAACATCACAGGGAGAACCTGCAGGCTTAATATGGCCAACCAGCTCTTCTAAATATGACAAAGACACAGGCTCAAACCTGTCAAGAACTGCCGAACAAGGAACAGGCACAGAGGGGTCGGATGCAGGAGCACAGATGAGAGACCTGGCAGTCACAACCTTTTCAATAAAAAAGTACAGAAAATTATTGCACATTTCCACAGATGCCTCCAAGCTGGCAGGCTGTGGGGCGTTTAGAACAGTGTCGATACTTTTAAACAGCACACGTGGGTTATGGTGATTTACCTCCACCAAGTTTGCCAGATATTGTATTTTGCTCTGTTTAACAGTTTTCTGGTAGGTGATCAAGGAGTCCTTAAGGATTTGGAAAGAAACCTGCAGCTTGTCTTTCTTCCACCTTCGCTCAGCTTTGCGGCACTCTCGTCTGGCTGCGCGAGTTTCATCATTGAACCAGGGCTCCGATTTAGCCTTTGGCCGAACAGTTTTTAAAGGAGCCACAGAGTCCAGAATATTTTCACAGAAGGAATGAAACCAGGAGCTGAGCACCTCTGTGTTCGCACAGGAAGGGCAGACACAGAGCTGTTCAAAAGCCACAGAGAAGCGACCGGCAGTGGAGGGGTTAATAATCCGGCGTCTCTGCGCAGGAGCGCCAGATTTAACCTCAGAGCAAGAAAGGTGCACTTCAATCAATACAGGCCTGTGATCAGAAAATACATCATCACATATCACCAGGTTAGACACATGTAAACCATGACACAGTACGAGGTCCAGTAAATGCCCGTGCTCGTGTGTGGCACCCGACACACACTGCACCAAATTAAAAGAGTCAATAAGACTTACAAAGTCCTTCACCAGCGGCTTTTCAGGACAACACAGGTGAATATTAAAATCCCCAAGAATAAGGACACGATCATAGTTCGGCATAATTTCAGCCAGTAGACCAGAGAAGTCATTTAAAAACTCCTTATTGTATTTGGGGGGGCGATAAATGACCGCGCACAGCACCGGGTCAGACCGACCCACCTCAAATAAAGTCACCTCAAAGCTTGAAAAAGAGGATGATACTGTGCGCTGCTTGCATTTAAAACCATTCTTATATATCGTTGCTATTCCTCCACCACGACCCGACGTCCGCGGGGAGTTAAAGTAAGAGCAGTCGGGAGGTAAAAGTTCGGCTAGAGCGCTGGACTCACCCGCACCGATCCAAGTCTCTGTCACACAGAGGAAATCCAGGGCACGAGAGCTGAAGAAATCCCTCAGGATAAAAGTTTTATTCACCAGGGATCTGGCGTTTACCAAGCAGATCCTGGCGGGTGCTGGGGCCGGGGCCTGTAGTCCGGTGGGTCGGGGAGCCGGGCGCAGCGATCTGAGGAGCCGATGGTCCACCCCACGCTGTGACAGCCGAAGAGGGCAGAGGCGGCGGGGTTCGGGTCCCTCCGCTGAGCCGATGACAGGTACCAGACAGACGCCGATCGGGTCCAGAAAGCGACGAGGCACAAAGACATGAGGGGATAATCCATGCCCTGTCCGGAAAATGGACGAAGATTGTGACAGCCGAAGCTTTAGCTTCACCAGCCGACCGCCGCGTCTGCCGCGGCGACGAGGACGCCTCCGGCGAGAAGGCAGGGCCGGTGTTCCGGTTTAACTGGTGATCATATTAACTGGTGAGATTTAAGGTAAATCTGATCCAGATGTTGAGTGTTCAGCAGATTCGCCACAAAAGCCTCAGTCCGGACCGAACGGTCGCCGGCACTTTCAAGGAGAAAATCTCCGCAAACATCAGTGCTTTTCACATATATTGACAACCGGAGATCCCGACCAAACTGCCCACTCAAAGAAGCACAAAAAAATAAAGAGAAAAACATTGTGAGAAACACAGCTAAACGTCGTAAGGAGGACTCGAACCACAACGCTAATAAGAACAAGTATCGAGGGGTGAGCGCGCTGCCGTAACGCCACAGATCGGCTTATTTAGTACCTCGCGTATCTCATACTTGTCATTCATTGTTTCCAGGGTGTCACCACATAATCCGCTCCTGTAGAGAAACACGCCCATATTAGCTGGTGACAGCAGTAGCCTTTCCGTGTTGTGACGATCATCTCATAATACACAACATTTCCTCTGAAAGGTCTGCCACAGCGATCACTCGTGGACGTATCGCAGTGTACCATGTCTACCATGTGTACCAAGTGTAAAGAGCCTTTGTTAACTCGTGAGACGCATGTGTGATACATTTTGAACATCGATCACGAAACACTGGACTTTTTTTAAAACGATTATTGATTAAAACTACACGCAGGACACAAATACTCCTTATCGCAATCGGGATTCCCCACACAGTCAGAATGATGCCAATACTGGCAGTTTGTACATTCAATCTGAAAAGGAGAGCAAAGACAATCACAGCGGTTTTGGTCCTCGAACTCGCAACGCAAATAAGAACTAACGACGAGAGGCGAGCGCGCTGCCGTAACACCACAGATCGGTTTACTGAGCAGTCCGTGTACCTCATACTTGTCGTCTACTGTTTACAAGGTGTCACCACATAACCTGCTCCTGTAGAGAAACACGCCCATGTTAGCTGGTGACAGCAGTAGCACCTGAGAAATTGTGAGCATCTGTGATCATTTTAATCATGGATCTTTTTAGCAAAGTCTACGACCGCGGTCACATTGATGGGCGTGTTGCAGTGCATCACTTTTCATTGGAAAAAGCACGATCGGTATCAGTCTGTGAATCCTGTTCATCGACAATGGCAATAAAACCCCCTCGGTTCTGATCGGATATGACGACATTTGTTGTAGGACCAAAACCGCTGTGATTGTCTTTGCTCTCCTTTTCAGATTGAATGTACAAACTGCCAGTGTTGGCATCATTCTGACTGTGTGGGGAATCGCGATCATGATAAGGAGTATTTCTGTCCTGCATGCAGTTTTAATGAATACTCTTTAAAAAAAAAAAAAAAGTCCAGTGTTTAATGGTCGATCTTCACAATTTATCACACATGCGTCTCACGAGTTAACATGGGCTCTTTACACAAAGGCACTGCGATACACCCATGAGTGACCGCTGTCGCAGACTTTTAAGAAGAAATGGTGTGTATTATGAGATGATCGTCACAATTGAACACGGACAGGCTACTGCTGTCACCAGCTAATATGGGCGTGTTTCTCTATAGAAGCAGATTATGTGGTGACACCCTGTAAAAAGTGGATGTCAAGTATGAGGTACACGAGGAGTTCAGTAAGCCGATCCGTGGCGTTACAGCAGCGCGCTCGCCCCTCGTTGTTAGTTCTTATTTGCGTTGTGAGTTCAAGTCCTCCTTGCGACGCCCAGCTGTGTTTATCGTAATGTTTTTATCTTTATTTTTTTAGTGCTTATTTGACTTGGCAGTTTGGTCGGGATCTCTGGTTGTCAATATATGTGAAAAGCGCTGATGTTTGCGGAGTTTTTCTCCTTGAAAGTGCCGGCGACCGTTCGGTTCGGACTGAGGCTTTTGTGGCGAATCTGCGGAACAGCCAACATCTGGTTCAAAATCTCACCAGTTAATATGATCACCAGTTAAACCGGAACACCGGCACCCGGCACAGGTGAGGTGGAATCCCCGCCAACAGCGGGGGCAAACTGTCTTTGCCACCCCGATCAAAACCACGCAAATCTGTGGCTTTTTGTTTGAGTGATAAAAGAGACTGGCGATCATACACCAACAGAGACTCGATTTGTTTAGTGCCAATGGTTAAAAACAACAGAAAAAACAAGCATTGCAGTAGTAGCAGACGTAGCAGACGGCCAGCCACACACACCGGCGCCATCTTGCCCAGTCTATGACTGCAATGACTGCATATTATTCAATACTGCATTATTTTGTTTTTTTAAGAAAGAAATTGGCTGCTGCAGATACAGAGCACTTTGTCTTTTTATTTGTTGTTTTTGCAACTTTCGTCTGCATGCTGAAGTGTCTTTGGTAATAAACTGAGCCCCTAATATCTCATCGATGTTTTAGACAATATAAACACATTCTAGATGAATGGCACTTCAGGTAGTTCTTTATGAGGTATGAGATCCAGAAGTTGAATATACATCTTTTTCAACCTACAGATGAGATGAAAATACCAGAAGAATTCTGCAGTGAAGATTTGAACCTGGACAGTGACCTGCAGTACCTCCTGCCCCGACGTCAGGGTCCAGGACTGTGTGCTACAGGGCTGGTCAGCTACCTGGTGGCTCTACAAAATGAGCTGGTGAATGCTGTGGATAATCAGACTGGAGAGGACAGCAGGTAAAAAATACACAGAGCCACAAAGCACAGCGTTTGCCATCCATGCAGAGGAGAACTCCTCAGCTTAATAGTGTAACTTTCCCGTGAAACAGTGGCAGTATTTAATCATGACATCTCAAGCTTTTCTTATTTTGGAAATAGAAATGTTACTGCAGGAAAAAATGTTTTAAAAATGTTTGTTACCCCACGCCCTCAGCTGTTACAGGGTGGGTTTGGCAGAGCTCACAGGACACCATGTGATCAGCTATGAGGTGGACAAAGACCTGCTTCCTCTGGTATTATCCAACTGCCAGTACAGCTTGGAACGGGGCCATGAAACAATATCAAACTATGATTTGCCCAGGATTCAGCAGCAGATCCTCACCCGCTTCCTGCAGGGAAAACCTCTCATCACCCGAGAAGTAAGTCCATACAGGCGGAATTATGGTTCAAGCAAATGATGGAAACATCACAGTACAGTAACAGAGTTTTGTAACAATTTTCATGTTCAAAAATCTTATTGTTTTTTTCGTTTTAGGGAATTCCTACGCTAGCCGGCACACAAGAGAGAAACTATGAAACCATTTTTAAAACTGTAAAAGGAAAAGTGAGACAGGTAAATTATTCAACTCTAACTTGGAATTGGGTCCTTTTAATCTGGGATGTGTCCAGACCCCTCAGTTATTTTCAAAATGTTAAGCATTATTGCATTTTTTTTTTCAATGTACAGCATATATCTGTGATAAATGTTGCTGGGAAATCTTTGTGAGAAAAACTTTAGGATAAAATCAAATCAATAATCCCTCAACTAGTTTTTTATGTTGAATATACACACAGATAAAATTAGGACTTGCTTCTCTGATAGTTGTCAGGGTGGAGGTTTAAAATACTGGGTGTTTCGAGTATTATACAAAAACAGATCATAACATGTTTTCACATAACTACCTTGTTATAAATGAGCTGAAGAAGAAAAAACAGACTTCATCTAAATTCTCAGAATAATTACATCGAGTTAAGGGTTCATGTTTTGTTGAATGTAATTTATCTTGTCTTAAAGGTTATATAGACAAGTTAAAAAAAAAACATAAATTAAGCATAGCTTCTTCAGTTGTGAATCTAAAAACAGCAGTCACATATTTACACTACATAATGTACTTGGTTGTTTAAGGACGCTCTGCTAGCTCTAACTCGGACTGCCGTGTCCAGAGAACTGGAGTCCTACAGCGAGGTGTGTGAGGCACTCAGGATTGTAGAGCTGCTCCTGGGTTTCCTTTCAATGGCAGGCAGTGATCCCATGATGTCTTTGGTCACTTACCTCCAGGACATCCTGAAAATGGCCGACCACATTGATCAAAACATATTGCAGGTCAGTGCACGTGCAGCTTCTGTCTGAAGTGAAGGCGTTCTCCTGAAGGAACTTGGATGTAATCTGTAATTGACACACTTTTCATTAGACCGTCCATAAAACAAACCTTTACTGTTTCTTCAGGCTTTGAAGAGATGCCACCTCAGACACTGTGTTAGTCTGTGGCAGCTCCTCTTCTCCCTCAAATCTGAACACATGCTGCTCCTCAAGAAGGTAAGTGACACTGGTGGCTTTATTTAAACGGAGTAGACTGTTCAGACCGCAGGTGTGTGTGATTTTTCTGTGAGACTGGACCAAACAAACAGAAAAATAATAAACTTTATCAACTGTGTTTATCACAAGCGCTAAAAACATGCTGCAGTTGCACTTCAGGAGTACTTTTTAAAGCAAATGTCTGATCTATGTTTTTCCTGTGGAGAGACCCCCATTATTTTCACACTGTTTTTATTCCCAAGTTCAGTCCAGGAAAGTTATTCAGTCTCACTGTTTCCTGAAAAGCATTTCCAGGTATCAATGAAATTATACATAAAACAAATTCAGAATGCATTAAGATACATAAGTTTAAAATCAAATCAAATCTGATTATAAAAGTTTAATTTCAGTATGAACCCGTTTTTGTCATTACAATTTAGGCTCAGATCGATACACTTGGTATCCCATTATAAAAATACAAATGACTGCATAAGGGACTGTGCTGTACGTAACCAGACCCCACAGTGGAAACGCACCATAAATGAATGATTAGAAAACTGTCATATTGTCTTTGTCACACAGTATGACTTGGCCAATGTGTTTTTGTTACGAGGAGCCCTTTTCAGAGTGTCCCACAGAATACCATGAGGCCCTTGGGGAGGAAGATAAGATTAAGCTCAAAGGTTTCCTATCCAGGAGGAATATGGACCAATGGCTGCTGGAGATGCATGAGTTCCTCCTGTTGAGTCTGAGCCGCCCGAGAGCCGCAGAAGATTACAAACCTGAGTGGAGGTAACCCTGCTAGAAAGGCTGAATTGATTTACCGATCATTTACTGACAGAGTCGTGGAACATATTCTTTATGCCGAGTGTGGAGTGAACTAAAATGCATGTCGTCTCCCTCTCCTCAGTGTGAAGGACACCGTGGCAGCGTACATGGAACGAAAAGAGGTGGAGGTACCTCTTTACATTGAAGAAAACTTTCCTGAAAACCTGCAGCTGTCTCAGATTGTGGAGACCTGGAAATATTGCGTCACAGCCAAGCGGGAGCTGATGGAGAAATGAGCTGAGTGTGTTTAAGACAGTTTTAAAAAAAAAAACGTTAGGTAACATTTAAGAAAACCAGCAAGTCTGAGCAGACTTTACTTTTGTATTTTTTTCATTGTTTTGATTATTTTACTGATGGAGAAATGAGCTGAGTGTGTTTAAGACAGTTGATTTAAAAAAAAAATGTCAGGTAACATTTAAGAAAACCAGCAAGTCTGAACAGACTTTTCTTTTGTTTTTTTTTTAATTGTCTTTAATTTTTTACTGATGAAGGACGACAGATTAAAATAGTAACCTTAAGATTCTTTAACACATTTTATTTCTTTATTATCCAGTTCATAAGGAGAGCAAGTTTTTTATATTAACGATGAAAAGCCATGTATGAAGATCTCAGGATCCACTCAAGAAAATGTTGTATGTCTTTAACAAGTGTTTTGTACTTTGATTTTTCAGATCATGTTATAATAATCCTTCAAAACCAACAGCTGTTGTGTTTATCTAAGAGGCAGAAAGGTAATGTGATAATCCAGTTTAAAGAAATGTGATGATGTAACTTTTTTTTCTATGTAATTGATTTGGATCTGTATTTGTAGAGATGTTCGAAAGCCTGAATATGATGCAAGCTTTTCAAAAGCTTTGAAGTTTCAGAAAACAATCAAGTAATGCTCTTTAAAAATGTATGTCATGAGGAAAAATGTTTTGACAAATAAGTAATTTTTGCATGTTGAACAATAAACTTTGCACCTTAAAGGGATCACAGTTTGGATTTTTTTTGCAGAACTTTAAAAAGCTTGTATCCAAATAGTTACCCTTTTAACTTAACATAACTTTTATTATTTCAAATATATTCTGACTTTTGGCCATTTTAATTTAAATTTTGCAACAACCGATACACTGGTCTAGTATGACAAATACTGTTAGCTTCTATTTTTTTCAGACTAAGGATATTTTAGGTCAGGCCCCAACCTTATCGCTCCTTGCACATTTATCTACATGCAGAAAAACTACAAAGTGATGAGATATTTTTAACCTTGTAGACTGCAGGTGAACTGTGGGGAGACGATGGGGCTGAAAGTTTAAGCACAGTACAAGTGCAGATGGAGTAAGCAGGAGTTATGCAGCTTAAATAAACAACTGAACAGGGAGGGTACATTCATGAGGCGATTATGAGCCGTATGTGAAGTCAGTGCAGTTCTAGTTACCTGCCTGGACTCGCTTACAGGGTCCACTTCATTCTTGTCAGACTTCAAAACTATTTGCTTGAGTTTAGGTTGGTTTTCACCAGCATGAGTGAATCTTTCAAATGATCTGTTCTTAAAGCAACACAACTGCTTAAACAAAAGCTGCTTTATTCTCATGTTCTCATGTAAATAAATTACGTCTTTTGTTACAAAAATAAAACAAAACCCCCTCCAACATGACACATGTTGGACTCATCTGTTTCATACTTCCGAATATGAGAATCTTTTGTTTTCTTCACACTCCTAAATGATCAAACAAAACAAAAATGTTTATTCCAGAGGCTGAATCTTCATCCCCTGAGTGCCATTCTACCAGCCCGCTTGCTGTTGAAAGACCACATGTTGAACAAAAACTGCAGAAAAACACGAACAAAAAATTAAAAGCAATAAAAATCAATATCCATGCAACAGACGTTGGAGCTGGGCAGTTGCTTCACCATGAAAAAAGTGAAAACTAAAACACTCACTCCAGTGTGCGGACTGCAAACTGTTTTCAGATCAACCCTGCTGAAATACTTTACAATGATAGAAAACTTCTTACAAATTGTGATCTGTTTTACAAGTAATTACTAAAGAAGTCTGTCAGCTCTGGTTTGTGGTCAGTAAAAAAACTATCGGCCGTCTTACAGATGCTAGAAAACAAAACTAAGTGCGAGAAAAGTTCTGACAAACATTACGGCACGAGCAAACACCAAAGAGTTCGATTTTATATCTTCGTGTACTGACAGAAATGGTCTTAAAGAACAGGACGAGTGTGTTGAAGGTCTGATGCAGTCTGTTAGTGTTGGTTCTTCATTCCTTGTGGTTTTCCTGGTTTCTTATCCTGCTGCTGCTGCTGCTGACCTCGCCCTGGACCAGTCATCCCTCTGCCACGACCACCAAACAGACCTGCAGGGAAGATAAGAGGGCAGGATGAAGGCGAGAAATGTCAAATCTTCTGCATTTATGGTTGCCAAAAACCATTAGCTTAGAATTAAAGTCCTGAAATGAGGTGATAAGAGCACTGATGCAAAGTTATCATTGATGAGTCTTTACAGAAAACACAACTAAACCATATAACATTTAGGCTGAATCCTGCAGTGATGTGTCACCCAAATAGTCAGCTGGAAAATATACAAAGCAGGGTGCAGCCCATAACAAACTTGCACATGATGACAGGCGTGAACATCTTCAAATGTAGCAGTGTGTCGTTTTTTACTCACCACGTCCAGCTCCTCCTCTTCCTTTGCCCTGCTGTTTGTTCTGCTGGGCACCTCCACGCCCGCGTCCCTTTGACACCACCTCCTCCTTCACCATATCGATGATCTCATCTGGGATTCGCAGATATTTGATGGTGCTCCCTCTGATGTAGCACTCAGGCATCCTCCAGAACTTATCTCCATCCTGTCAGAGAGGAGCAGGACTGTCAATGTAACCAGATCATGACTTTATTCAAACTTCAGTTTTTTTGTCTTTTGGAAAAATCTTCTAACAACATGTTTGAGACTACATTGTTCAAGTATGTGCAGCAGTTCCATCCATCTACAGTTTTACAAACAGAAAAATGAAAGCAGAACTCTCAGCTTTACCCTTGAGGTGCAGATGACTTCTCTCAGGTTGATATTCATCCAGTTGTCACAGCTGACCAGGTGACCGTTGTAGGTCTCTCCATTTTTCAGCTCAACCAGCTGAGGAAAGAAAAAACAAGAAAACCAGTCAGCTACTGTTTAGTGTTGGTGAAACAATACAGAGAAGATGACTGAATGCTTGATCAGGTTTTCAGCCTCCCAATAAAAACAAGGCATTGTAATTATGGGCCATGGATAGAATCAAATACCAGCAGAGGGGAAAACACCCCTCTGCTGGTATTTAATTTAAAATGATCTTTTCTGGTCTGAACACAATTCTAATAAAACTTATGACAGACTAAATTCACTTTCAAGAGTATTTTTATTTATTTTATTTTTTTTGTAAATAAATGTCTAACCCTTCACCCATGTGCTTCTAACCTTCAGAGACTCCATGAATTGATGCCCATCTCCTAAATATTTGGTCACATGATCAATATCTTTCACCATTTCGAAGCAACAGGGGGTGGCTCAACTTACCCCACTCTCCCCTACACCAAGTGAAAAAATAATTGTCCCACTTACTTTTGATTATGTGAGTATTTTTGGTCCAAATATTAATGTAACTATTTACAGAGAGGCATCAGGAACTTCTTACCATTGGGTGGTTCTGGGCAGTTTTCAGCAGGGACAAGGGAAGCTGTGAAATGATAGAGAGAACATGAATTAATTTAATCAACCCTCATTACAAAAACTCATGTTCAAAGCAGATATCTGGTAGTTATCGTGTAAGTTTCATTCAGAGCAGAGAGTGTGACTGACTTCATCATTTAAGAACCATCATTCTGAACATCTAAAACGGCCAGCACACAAGGCAACAATCATGATAAAATCGACCCATATCAAAACAGAAGGAGCTTAGATGGCTTAATTCAGAAGTTTTTGGCCGCAAGACTGTTTTGAATCTGTTATTGAAATGATTTAATGTGTTAGAGTTTAAGTAGTTCATGCTTCAATATTAGCTAACACAACGCGCATCACTGTGAGCCACTATGCTGCTAACACAGTTCACCAAACCTGAGCTGTTTAGTGCTACTAATCATGTAAGAGACGTATATCTGAATGGATATACTGCACAATCATCCAGTACTCACCATTTTGATACTTTAACGTGATGATTACTTTTGGCAACACGATTTCAAAACGATCTTTCGCTTCCTTCTCTTCTTCTTCTTCTTCTTCTGATGGTGTTTCTTCTTCTTCTTCTTCCTTTGCTTTATTGGCGGACGTAGAAATCTACATTAAAACGTGCACGCCGCCACCTAGTGTTTCGGAGCGTGTAGCGTCCCAAATCGCATACTTCCATACTAAATACTTCAAATTCAGAAATTCTTGAAACATCAAACAAGGACTTTGGACAAACATCTTGATTTTGAATTGAAACATTTTTTATTGCTGGTATAAGATCTGCTGAAGACGGACAGGGTGATGAGCAACATATTATTTTGTAAATGTCCATGTAATTATTGTTTTTGTGATGATGATGATTATCACAACAACAATTATATTAAATAATAATAATAATTATTATTATTATTAAAATAATTATTATTAATTTATAGAATTATAAGTAGTAATATAATTCTGATTTTCATTATTAATATTATTATATTGTTATTATTATCATTATCATGTTTTATTATTATCATGTTTTACTACGTTTTATTAATAGAAGTAGTAATATTAATATTATTATTATTATTATATTTATTTGCATTATTATTTTTATTATTGCTTGATTATTATTATTCTTAGTAGTAGTAGTAGTAGCAATATTATTATTTTTCTGTCTTAAAAAAATATTATTATTATCATGTTTTATTTTTATTATGATTTACTTTTATTATGTTTTACTATTTTTCTATTTATACAAGTAGTAATATAATTAGTATTATTTTATTTATTGTTTGATTATTATTATTAGTAGTTGTAGCAATATTATTATTATTTTTCTGTTTTTACTATTATTATTATTATTATTATTATTATTATTATTATTATTATTATTATTATTATTATTATTATTATTATTGTCACAGAGGAGTGATTATCATGGCACTATTAATAACCGAGAAGGAATCCAGTCGGGACAGAATCCAGTGGTCACGGTGATAATCTGTGACGTGATCACGTGGTTTCTCACGCAGCCTGTTGCCAGGAGGACCGGTTTCCTTTCATTTGTGTGTGTCTGGCTGCTGAAGAGGCCGTCGGCGGTGGAGGGTCAGTGCTCTTTCTCCTGTGCCGGTTCAGACAAAATACCGGAAAGACAACGAATCCTCTTCAATAAGACTGGCGATGGATAACAGCAAACGGACGGTGGTCGTTACAGGTTTGTGTTTTTACCCGTTTAGCGTCCGTTGTCTCATGTCGGGGGGCTGGAGTGCAGGAAAAGTTGTTAAAATGACAGCTGCTGTAACGTTAATGGCGTCAGGCTGTTAACAGCTTCACTCCGCTGCAGTCTCAGACAGAGGCGAGGGTTTGGATTGTGTTGTGGTTTCTTGTTGTAAAAAAGATAATTGAGGTTGCGTGTTGTTTATTGAGACCAATGCCACAAGCTGGCGGGCATTTTTGTGGTTTCTGTACCGTGTTGTCTCGAACAAAACTAAGACAATAACAATTTATGAGAGATTACATGTTAACTGAATCTTTACAGATCTTCTATTCCTGTATACATTTTATAAATACATTAACATGATTTTGAAGTAGAGATAGACTACATTCTTAGACACACATAAAAGTTAAGTTAAAGTGAACTCTTTAATGTTTTTTTGCTATTGTGTCAAAACTGTAGTTTGTAGTTGTCACTGTTATTTGTGTGCAGCTTCACAGAGCCACGAGTAAAATTGAGATAAAACCAAAACCTCTCCCATCCAAATGTGTGAGATTATCCTTTTATTTAGTGTCTTTATAGGACCCACATGAAGTAAAACAATAAGAGACTTTGTTGTGATTGTTCAACTTTACTTTCAAATGAGACACTGAGTTTTTATGCTGTTATTGTGTATATTAGGGTCGAGGACAAAACTGGAAAACAGCCACTGATCATGTTTCAGTGTTGATATCCTATTCTGTAAGGAAGCTCATATGGTTAAATCTGATTAAATCACATTGCTTTGTGTTCCAAGTTTGACAGTAACAGCTTGGAGTAAATGACTGCACTTGGATGTTGTATTCAGTTTAAAGGCCACATGTTCAACTTTGGCATATGTGTCATTATTAGTAAAAATATTGCGTTAAAGTTAAGAAAACCTATGCACTGGTGAAATTAATGTGAATACATGACTAGTTATCAATATAATATTCCATAGATGAAGCGCTGAGACTGTGCAGCCAACAGAAGTAGTGATTTGGTGTTTCCAGACACAAAGGAGAGCAGGGGCTCACAGCCCCAGCTGATACAAGATGTTGAGATTGCCTGGGAACAGCACCTTCACAATGGCGAGCCGGCTGGCAGCTGCTGCTGGCCCCTCGCTCTGCTCCTTTTCAGCAGCCTGTCAGACAGACTGACCCCCCCTCTACCTAACCCCAGGGGACCTGCTGACCCTTGGATGGTTGGTGGAAAGGGATCAGTTATAGATCCTTACATAAACAAGCCTGAGTGAATATCTATAGGCTGCTGCTGTGATTTTGTAGGTCATATGAGGAGTATGGAAAGGGTGGAGATTTTTGATGAAAATGATAGTTTGGAGGTTTCTAATTTCAGTGAAAAGCAGCATGCCACAAGGCCAAAAACACCTTTTCTCTTTTTGGGTTTATATTTTTGAACATGTTGTTGTAAGTAGCAAGGTTCATGTCTGTGTACAGCTGAAATTCCTCTTTAAAAGTGCTGAATTCAGGCACTCTTAATATATTTGTCTATATCTTATTGTCAAACATAAGTCAACCATTCAGATCATTCAATTATATGTAAAAAAAAAAACAACAACATAGTGATAATATATTCAAACCATGGCAACAGTACAGAGTGTGCAACAGGACTTCATTATGACAATATAAGGCTATGGCTCACACCGCTTGCAGTGTTTTAGGTGTCATACTACATTCACAAATTTACCTCTCCGTGACTGAATGTATAGTTCATATCATTCATACATTTGTTTAATGAGTATTTGTTTTTGTGTTTGGCAGGTTTTGGGCCATTTGGAGAACACACAGTAAATGCCAGCTGGGTCGCGGTACAGGTATGTTTTATCACGCTGTTGCTCGTGTACAATAATCCCAGTTCCATAAAAGCTGGGATGCTGAGTTAAATCTTCATGAAAATAGATTTTGATGGTTTGCAAGTCATTTTAACATATTTAATTGACGATTGTGCAACTAAAACCTTATACATTTTGAGAATTGATTCTCCTATTAAACTTAATGCAGCATCACATTTGGGACAGACAGTTGGGTCAGAGGCTTGTTTATCATTGTGTTGCGTCAGCCTTTCTTTTGACAACACTGTAAATGTTTGAGAACCCAGGAGACCTTGGAGAGAGTGAATTGATGTCCTGCTCTTGCTTGATATTGGATTTCAGCAGCTCAACAGTACAGGTTCTCCTTTGTCATAACTTTTTTTGTGTTGTTATGCACCAGTTATTTTTTTAACAGGTTAAAAGTCAGTCGGCCAGTTGTGTACCTTGCTGCCTCGCTGCTGTTATGCGTGCAAACTGTAGTTTTGGACCCTTTTGTTGTGTGATGCAAGGTGGTCTCTAAAATAGACGTTGTCTGGAAGCAAGATTGTGTTGTTGCTAAACCTCAATTTATCATAGAGCACAAATTTTGCCCTCACAGATGTGTAAGCCGCCCATGCCATGGGCACTTGTGCATCCCCATATCTCTGAGTACTGTGTACTGGCTGTTAAACTGTGCTGAGAAAAAGCCAGGAGGTCACTCTCCTCTTTAGCAGAGAGGGTGTAACATTCAGTTGTGGATTAATTGGCAAAATGTGTCAACAGACAATATTTTTAGAGGAAGTTTTGAGCTCATGAAGTGATTTCCACTGCAGAGTCGTGTCTGTTTTCTGCGCTGTGCCACATGAAGGATGTGTAGATCAAGGTTTCGGGCTTTGTCTCTCTTGAACAGACTTAACTAAATTCTCTGAATCTTTTAATGGTATTCCAAAATCTGTCGCAGTTTTACACAGAGGAAGATTTTACTGAAGTCTCTGAACTATTTCCTCACCCAGTCTCAGTAACAGAATGGTGAATCTCTTCCCATCTTTACTTTTAGCCTCTCTGTGAAGTCTTTTTAGACCAAGTCATTTTATTAACCTTTTCCAAATGAAACCCGATTATTGATGATATGTGTCTTTGTTGTCCCTGTCCGAACTATTTAAAAACATGTTGCTGGAATTAGATATAAAGTAAACATACATTTCTCATAAAGCACAAAATGTTTTATCAGTAGGGCTTACATGATTTGGTATAATCTGTTTCAACATTTTGACAACATTTTATATTCAACTCATCAGTCTACAACTATCAGTCACAAACCTTAAGACTGCTGTAGTAGTAAGGTTTGTGATTAAGTTCAGTGTCTTACCTCGTTTTTAACACTTAGTTTAACAGTCATAATCAAGCCCTTTAGCATTTACAGAAACGCTTTATGATTTTGATCAAAAATTTAACTTTAAATGTGGCACGCTATCTCAGCGCGACTCATCCTGTGATAGCCAAGAAATGACAGTCTGAACCAAATAATCAAATATAAAAAATAGTTAATGTACGTGAGACCAAGTATGTATTTCTATTTTTGTGGTTGTGTCATGATGCCCTGACTCTGCCGGCCGGCTTCCTACCATGCAGCAGCAGGCCGATAGGCTGTCTGTGTCCTACTGAGGAAACTGCATGTGGGGGATGAAGGTGGTTGTCAAGGCGTCTAGACGGACTTGATAAGGGTATTAAGGACAAACAATAGGCTGCATTGTGGCGGGGTCACAGACGTGGTCAAAAAAGCCTCTTTTTAACACAAGTGGGGGTCAGTGTCCAGGGTTGCTGGTCCTGCAGGGAGACAGGGGGAGGTGCTGGTCACTGACTGTGAATGTGACACAGATTTATCTTGGTCAGAGTGTGTGTGATCACGGCTGTTATTTTTGGATTTTCTTACGCTGGCTATTTATTCTTATGACTTGTGTTTATATGGTAACACAAATAAATTATTTTTGGATTATTTTGGATTGAAGATGTTGTGTTTTAATAGGATATCTTTTACAATTGATGGTGAAATGTGACCAACATGCATGCAAAAAGAAAAAGGTGAAAGGAGTAACGAGTAGAAAAAATTCTGAATTCATTGTTTGAGAAGTGAAAAAATGTCAAATGAAGAAAACATTTTGTCAAAGATGTAATTTCAGGATGTGTATTTTCATCATAGAGATCCATATGCCAGCACAGCTCTCCTGTCTTTGAAAGCTGAAGTAGGTTTGTAAATGGCCATTTGACAGGATGGTTTTCTTCTCTCTATAAACATAAAAAAGTGTATCTCCATCCATTGTCTGCCTACAAATGGGTGTATTTTGTGAAAGTTCATTTTGCAATAATTGCACCATCTCTTGGAGTTGTTTATAATCATACTTTAAGCTACATCTTTATTTGTGGTTTTTAGCAGCTGTTTGTGTTGATAGGTGATAATCCTTTATGTATGAAATTCACTATATTTTGCTTTGATGAACTAAAGTTACAAGTGTAATCTCACGAAATAACATGCAGCTGCACCAATGAACACTTCATAAAGAAAAGTCCTAAACTTAGATCATAGGTCTCACTAAAAAAAATTACAGACTAATCTATTTTTTTCCAAAACAAAAAGAAAAAAAAACTAGCCTGAATGTTTCTTTTTCTCTTAACAGGAACTCAAGAAGCTTGGACTTGGAAATGAAGTGGACTTGCATGTATCTGAGGTTCCTGTGGAGTATCAGACAGTCCAGAGTTTGGTTCCTTCATTATGGAAGCAGTATCATCCCCTGGTAAGAGAAGAGTGTGGCGTGACACGGTCATACTATTCTGCTGTTTAAGGTGCTTTACACTCATGTCTGTGTTTCAGTGGAGTGTGCGGCATGTTTTTATGTATTTAATTTATAATTAAATAAATAATAATTTTTGTTAGTAAATCTAACATGTATTTCGACTGTTCTTTTTGTCTTACAGTTAGTTGTTCACGTTGGAGTCTCAGGTATGGCCACCACTGTAACACTGGAGAAGTGTGGCAGAAATCATGGCTATAAGGGCCTGGACAACTGCAGCTTTTGTCCCGATTCACAGTGCTGTGTTGTTGGAGGTCCAGACTGTATCGACTCAGTTATTGACATGGAATCAGTCTGTAAAAGAGTGACTGCTTCAGGGCTTGGAGTAGCAGTGTCCGTCTCTAAGGATGCTGGAAGGTAATTGTTCATTTATTTTTCATGTCAAAATCAGTCTTTTAGTTTGTCTCTCATCACTGGATCACTAACTTTTGTTCTAGGTGGATCTGCAAAACAAGCAGATGAGCCATATACACAATGTTCAGCTCTTGTATTGTGCTGTGATTTTTGTTTGTGCTTGACATACACCGCATTAATCTGGTAGAAATTCCTAGAAAAGACTACAACAGCGCCTCTTTGAATGCTGTGACCTTATCTACATCAGCTTTTACAAAGACTGATTGAAGCCTGGCCCACAATGAAGTCTTACAGCTGTAATATACTCGAGTATCATGGGTTAGACAAGAAATATGCAAACCATGTGAGTAAAAATCTCTGAAATTCAGGGAGATCTGTGAAAAGAGTAATGGATGTTTTAAAGCTACAAACAGCCAGCACCCTCTAATGGAGAAAGGAAGTACAGCCACACTTTTGCAGACCTCCAATCCATTTATTATGTTTGGAAAATACTGATTTTCTGTGACACATTCTTTTAATGAAAGCTCTAATGAAGAGAAGTGTTGATTGTTCTGTGGGTCAGTTTTCGTCTACAGTGAGCAAAGCCAAAGAACAATTTAGTGTTAGACAGAAAGTGACTTTAAACCAGCTTCTCCAAAATGATAATGGAGGCTCAACACCTCAGTCAGCCAACAAGAACTGAATATTATTACCTTTGTAACACGATAGTTTTATTAGCTTATGTAAGTTTAAGCTGATATCACCCACTGACCTGGCATCTGACTTTTCTCTTTTAAATTTCCTTTTACTTACTGATGTGATTGATGCTGATACGTGTGTGATAAAATAGTGTCAGCATTGATCAGGCTACATCATAAACTGTCAGTCACACATCTCCACCTCTTCCCACTGAGTAGGGGTCAGCTGATGGTAGTGTTGTTTTGTTCGCGAACGATTCGTTCAAAGAACCGAGTCTTTTAACTGAACGTACTGTACCAAATCACTTCCTCGAGCGATTTGTTTCACTTCAATTGAGTTGAAGTGAGAACCGGCATTGCCAGGCCAGCAGCCGGTGAACGAGGGACCACATGCACCGACGCCTGAATCACTTGGTGAACGAATCACGCATTGATCTACACTCTCTGGAATCATTTTTGTCGGACAACACTACCTTTTTCTTCACTGCTAAACAACCTGCAAACAATAGGACACAGCATGTAACAAGTAGTGCATAAAACCCGCAGCATACTATTTCTAGTTCTAAAAGAACTGCGTTCCCATCACTCGCTGATGGAGCTGCAGTTGGCTTTGTAGAACACTGAGAGGAGGAATAAGTGTTGTATTAAAGTAATGACTCAGCCTTTGAAACATCGGTCTTTAATCTGTGCTGCTCAGACTTCCTTCTTCTCTACTTTTCCTGCCGATGTTTCCCTTTGTCATTTGATCCTGTGCTCACTTTTTCAACAGATATCTCTGCGATTTCACCTACTACACGTCTCTGTACCTGAGCCACGGTCGATCTGCCTTCATTCATGTGCCTCCTCTTGGAAAGCCTTACAGCGGAGAGGACCTGGGCCGCGCTCTCAAGGCCATTGTCCAGGCCATGTTGGAGCTTCTGGACCAGGCCGAGGAGAAGATCCACTGCCAGCAACACTTCCACTAAGTGACCTCCAGAAGCCAGCCAGCCTCTCCAGCCTTCACCACACAGGGGAAATTGCACTTAACCACAAGTAGCCAAACCTCTTTTTTTTCTTTTGTCATTGACAAAACAAAGAAACTGACTTGTTTGTGATCTTTTTAGTGTTTCTTTGTCATTGTTTTCGTTTTTTTGTCATATGTGTCGCTTTGCCTGATTGCATTTCTTTTAATGTCTCTCAGTTGTGTGTAGATGAATAGAGGGTGTAATTAAAAAAACCCTCAGTCACACTGTAACATAAGATTTTGTCCAATTTCAGAGGAAGATAAAACATCTGACTTCTGAGTCGATAATATGTAAAATATACAGTATAATGCTCATAAAGACTCAGACACATAATGCTTTACAAAGATGTTTGTATACAACGAGTCTTTTACAAAATATTTCAGCCTCTAATTCAAATGTGACTCCTATTCATGCACCTTATAGGGGGTAGGGTTACTGAAATGGTTGTAGGAGTCACATTGAGGGAATGGTTTCATGTAGTCTTTAGTTTTCAACTCTTAATCCTGGAAATTTGAGTTGTGCTCTTAAGGTTTTCAAACAGTTAATGTACACGATACATTATGTGTTTGGTAGAAATATTTTGCAGTGGACTGTGCTTGCTCATCTTCGCTTCTCCTTTACAACCCATTAACTGTGCTGTTTCACACTCGGCGTTGACTTGTTTCTTTGGTCCTTTTTTCTTTATAAGAAGTTTCGGATTTGCCTTCTTTTACAAAGGTTATTTAAATCAGGGAACGGGTTGGTTCCAGCTCTTATTTCCCAGTTTGATGGCTCAATTCTGACAGAAAAACCCACAATTCCACCGTATTGAGATCTGGCCCCAGGCGGTGCAATGTCAACAGATCTCATGCTCAGTGATTTTATTCTAGGGTTACAGAAGTCAGTTAGGGCCTCACTTTGACTTTCAGATTGCTGTGTTGCTTGTTCTTAGTTGAAATAGTATATCCATTCATAGTGTTTAAATCAATTGGACCATTGGTGGATATCTTTCCTTGTGTCTGTTTGATGTAAAGAGCTTCCCAAGGGATTGTAGGGAGGGACAACATCACTGCCATCTCTGCTCCTGATCTTTTTAGGCAGTCTTTAAAGACGCCTGGTGTTGGAGCCTTACGCAACAAAATGATCAAAAACGATCCCGAACTGTGTCGAGAAAAATGCTCTTTCTTTTTAAGAGTTTGCAACATTTCAAGCCCAGAACAAAATCCTGTTTCACACTTTTGTATGGAGCCCGGATTTTTATTTCTTGACCTCAGCTTTCTGTTACCCCCTGTGTAAAATCATATGCAGCTGTTCTGAGGACTGATTTCAAGTAGTTGTTCCTCATTCAGTCAGAGTCGGGCCATGACTTTTATTTATGTAGCACTTTCTAATTCTTTTTATTTTTCATTTTAGCTGTATCTGGAATATGGACAGCAACTTTAACTGAAAATACCTGCATTATTTTACTTTATTTTTCAGTCACTTTATCATGAAAATGTAGCTTTCCTAACATGCACACCATTTTAAACATTTTCCTCCCACAATTATTTTGAATTACGTGTGTGAACTTGTGCTCTTTCTTGCTTTATGTTCTGAGCTTTTGTTTGTTCTGTCTTGTAAAACACACCCCATGCGTATTCACGTTGAACTCGTAAAGGTAAACATTCTGCCTTAGCATCCTGTGCCTTGCTGTTGTTTGTGTTATGAAAAGGCCTTAAAATTGCTCAGCAGTTCAATTCAAAGATATTTCACTGATGCTGTCCAGTATATGTGGATACGTGGCTACCTCAGATTTACTTTTTTTTTTATCTTGATGTGTGTTCAGTTTTACAATAACACAATGGCTCTGCAATTCAATGTGGATTTTTTTATTTTGGGAAAATCCTCTGAAAAAAAGTGTCTTCTCTTGACGTAAAACAGAGCACCATTACAAAATGTAATTGTGGCTTTGTAAGAAGGAAAGGCTTTGAAATAAAGAGAATTAAACAGTTTCACAGAACATCTCATGTGTCACTCATTACTAGTTTGTTTTAAGAACTATGTACCAAAACATTAAATTGGCTTCCTATAAATGTTTGTTGCATATCGAAGATAGATGTAGTTATGAAGCACCACATTGAGGCATGACTGCTGAATAACTAAGCAAGTATTCAGTCGGTATTTACCAAATATTCTGTGCAATATTTCCCCTTTGTAATACTCTATTAATACTACGTTAATACTCACTCCTTCTTAACTACTGTCACAGTAAGTAGTTATTCTTTTTCATGTATGCATTATTTCTATTTCTCAACATTTGAATTAAGTTTTTCATATGTTGTTTTACAGCCGTATGTGTCATTTGCTTTTTTTATCTTTAATTTGATTAACTATTTTGCTTTTCAATCCCTTTTCATGCCATCCCTGAAGAGTACGATGGCCAAGAACCGCCACTGCTGCAAATAAAAGGCCATGTAGCGTTGATATGAAGTTGAACTGAAGCCAACACTACAGTGGCATCCTCCAGATCAACTTCATATCGACTCAGGCGCTACATGGTCTAACCAAATGACACATTGAAAAGTTAATGAAGTGAAATTAAACAATAACCTTTCCACTTACTTCTTTGCTCGTCTTTTCTCTGTTGTCTTCTGTGCCTAGATTGTAAAACACAGGTGAATCATTATTATTGGTCCCTGGCAGCTCACTTCCGTTATGGCTTTTTTTTTTTGCATCCTTTTATTTTTGCAGTAGAAAACTTTTTTTTTTTTTTTTTTTTTTTGCATCACCACTTTTTTTTGCATGATTAACTTTTGTTGGTTTTTTTTTGTTTTTTAATTTGCACAGTTTTTTTTTTTAAATTTGCAGCGGGCTTTGTTTTTTTTTTTTTTGCATCAGTAACTTCTGTTATTTATTTTGTATCCCTTTATTTCCGCAGTAAATAACAGGGTTTTTTTTGTTTAGTTTTTTTCGCATCACCACTTTTTTTGCATCATTAACTTCCATTGTGTTTTTTTTTATCTGCACTGTTCTCTTTTATTTGCAGCAGGCTTCAGTTTCTTTCTTTCTTTTTTTTTCTTTTTTGCATCAGTAAATTCCGTTGTGGCTTTTTTTTATTTTCATCCCATTATTTCTGCAGTAAGTGACTTTTTATTTTCTTTTTTGCATCAACACTTTTTTTTTTGTTTTTATTTGCATCCCTTGCAATTAGACTTTGCAGCGGGCTTCGGTTTCTTTTCTTTTTTTGCATCAGTAACTGTGGTTTCACCTACAGTAACTGTGGTATCTTTCTTTTATTTATTTTTTTATTTTTCTCCTTTTTTATTTGCAGCAGTGGCGGTTCTTGGCTACCGTGCTTTTTCATGCCATCCCTGGAGAAAGCCACGCTCCTGTTTTGGTACCCGGGAAAAGCATCAGAGTGAGTGCTCTGTACGTGTTCAGCCATCTTTGGACGACAGCCTGCCGTGTGAACGTCACACGTTGAGCCACGCGTGGAAGTTCGTCACCGCCGCCGTCGGTTGGACCTGCTCGAGCTGTCGAGGTTCTGATCGGTTCCATTTTTATTTGGGTTCCAATCGAGACGCAAAGCGACGGCCTCAGAATCGCCAATCGATACACGAACAGTTTGAACATTTATCGTCTTTTTTGGGACGGACACCGGAAACATTTGAGTGAAACGAAAGTTGAGAGTCGAGATGAGTGTGGAGGCGTACGGGCCGAGCTCTCAAACCCTCACCTTCCTGGACACCGAGGAAACGGAGCTGCTCGGAGCAGACACTCAGGGCTCCGAGTACGACTTCACCGACTTTACCCTCCCGAGCCAGACGCAAACGCAAGGCCAGACACAGAGCCAGCTGGACGGCCAGGTGAGCGCGTGTGTGTGTGTGGAGGTTTGTTAATATCACCATAGAGCAGCAGCATACTCACCCTGTTAGCAGGAGCTAGCTAGCCGACTCAGCGGTGCACGTTAGCCCGCTATTATTGGATCTAGCTTTCTTTCTTAGCAGCATTAACTTCTAAAGTAACATTACTCGCCATGAAGGGTTTGTTTTGAAGTTTACAGAGCAAACCAAATGTAATTTCTCTGCTGTAATCATCAAATGTAGGATTTAAGATCGTTGTCAATCTGTCAACTTTGTGTTATCAGGGGTTTTTCCGCACTAGCTGCTAGCTGTTAGCATTGAGTGAGTTTGGTGAAGCTTGTGTTGTGCTGCAGGTTAATGGTCCTGATGAGGGTCTGTTAAATGGAGGTGTGGAGGACTCTGTGGCCAAAGCCAGCCAGCTGTTGGCCGAGCTCAACTTTGAGGAGGATGAGGAGGACACATACTACACCAAAGACCTGCCGGTGCACGCATGCAGGTAAATGCAGCAGACCAGCAGGGCCACGGCGTGAGGAAAAGTCTCTATAATGCAGATTTCTTAGGCTAAACATTATATTGATAGTTCTTATTGTTGTGTGTCTGTGACTTTAGAGATACAAACCCTTGAAAAATCCATTGTTTCTTTCTTTCTTCTTTATTAATGTCAAACTTTAAGAACAACAACAACAAAAAACAACGAGATACAAAAACAAAATAATACAAATGTACACCAAACAACTGTACATGTCAACGATAAATTTACACAACATATGTTTATCAAAATAAACAGTTTGAGAAGGAACAGAATGAAGCAAAGAGCTTATCTAGCAGGACTGGGCGATTTGGTCAAAAAGATGATCACGATATACTTTGTCACATTTTCTGATCTCGATTATTATCCCGATATTTTTTTAAAAACTGCATCTGTACTTAAAACTTTACAAAAATAGATAAATACTATATAAGACGTTAAATAACTTTTCTTCTCAACAATAACATCTTTGGAGGATGACTCAAAGTCATGGCTGACATCTATTTTACTGCTCTCAGCTCCACCTTCATCTATTTTACTGCTCTCAGCTCCACCTTCGGTTACTCTGTTTACTTCTCTGACAACTTACAGAAGTGAGCAGGAAAAGCTCGACTCTGATTGGCTGCTGTGATGCACATTTTCGCTTTGTTTGATCAAGTAAATAAGCTCGCAGCTGATCACCGTGATCATTAATCCCGTTCATATAATGTCCAGTCCTATTATCTAGTCCTGCCCCTTCCTTGCAAATTAGAGATTTAAAAAAAAAAATCTATTTGTATAAATCACAAAGATCTGTATAAACACCTACATATTATATATAAAGATATCTGCTTAACACTACATAGGTAACTTATTATAATTATTTCTATTTATTTATTTTTAAAAATGGGAACAGTACATATTAATGAGCATTAACATGTAAATATGTGGGACTATAGCCAAATGGCTGATTTCCATCCCCAGTCCCATTGGCAGGTTGATTATTAAATATAAAAACAATAATGTTGAAAGTACGAACAACATGACTAAGTCAGTAACACAATACACTGACAGCATACACATAACATACATAAACAACGTACACACACCCAAAACTAAGTGACCAATGGTAAGGGGACCAAAAAAAAATAAAAGAGAATTGTAAAGTGATGAAGTGCTTATTAAAGTGTCATGTGCTAAAGGTGTTTAAAGTACCATTTGCTACAGTACAGCTTGTTAAAGTGACAAGTGCATAAGTGCGAAATTACATTAAATTGCATGATGCCCATAGCACATCATCAGATGTGTGTCTAAAATTGCACATGGCTTGTATACATAAATGTATTCTGTAAACCCTTTAGTAACAAATTTGTATGAATGAGAATGTACGCCAGAACAAATTAAGAGTGTTACCCCAAAGCAATTAGCCAATAAGACATGAAAAACAATTATTTGCATATTATAACAATAATCAGTGTTATAATATTCAGAATTAATATTATTTCTATGCAATCAAGTGTAATCAATTATATCTAGTATAAAACCAAATTTTTGGTCTGTATACTTATATGAATCTTTTAATACTTCTCTATAATTTGATTTAAATGTTTTTTATGTTAACACCACAAACAGAAATGCACATACTTTTCAGAGTTGTAATGACAATCGGACACATAAATTTATGTTGTTGATTATCTTAACTAGTATTCTCTCCTTTTTCACAAGTTTAACTCAGTAACAAGCCAGCAGGGGTACTCAGTTTAGATATATCTGTTTCATTTAGGAGACAAAACTTTACAGCCACCTGTGGTAACAGTGATCATGAAAATGATTGAAACTTTTGGTTGGAAAATGAGAAAGTCACGTGTGTTACAATACACTAACTTCGTTAACATTTTGCATATGCATACTTTTATCTTAATTCAGCCAGTTGTTGGTTTAGCATACCCTTACAAGGCATAATAAAAATAAGAAGAAGAACTTTGTGGTTCCCTTAAGGGAAGTTCAATTAATTATGCAGCTATTTAGTTTCCATTTCTTACACTGCGGTTGTTTTTTTACAGCTACTGTGGAATCCATGATCCAGCGTGCGTGGTGTATTGCAACACCAGCAAGAAGTGGTTCTGCAACGGACGTGGAAACACATCTGGCAGGTGAGCTTTTGAGTTCTGGAGCTACTTTGGTAGATCTATGAGACAGAATTTTCAAAACACAATTTCAAATTTGACCGTTCATCTACACGAAGTGAATGGACATATCTATAAAGACAAATATAAAATGCAGCATCTACAGAAACTTTCATTTAAGTCATGCTGCTATATCATAGTGTGGGCCTATGCACTATCCTGATATTTCTAATCAACACTGTACAAGTATACCACTCAAAATGTATATTTTAAACAGTGAAGTCATTCAATTATAGAGACTGTAATGCGCTGTTATGCTGACTCTCAGTTGATTTATTCAACCGTGTTATTAGAGTGAATTTCTAATAATTTACCCCATTGTTTGTCTTCCAGTCACATTGTAAACCACTTGGTGAGAGCCAAATGCAAAGAGGTGACACTGCATAAAGATGGGCCGCTGGGTGAGACGGTGCTGGAATGTTACAACTGCGGCTGTCGCAACGTCTTCCTCCTAGGCTTCATCCCAGCCAAGGCTGATTCTGTTGTGGTTCTGCTCTGCAGGTGAGTTTTCATTGTTCTTTATTTTTTAATATCATTTATTTGATAGGGGCAGTACAAATGACACTGTGCAATATGGCCTGTTACAAATAAAATGAATAAAGTGATGACTTATTTGTAGATATTATGGCCATTTTTTGTTTCCAACTCTTGTTCATAGTTGGACTTTTAGTAGAGTAAAAGAAAAAAAAAGATCTTGAGATTACTATCAATAACATGCATATAATCGCAGCTTTGGTGAAAGGTAAAGAAGACAAAAGGGTAAACATTAGCGTTAAGGTGGCAGTAGCTCAGGAGGTAGAGTGGTCGTCCAATAACCGGAAGGTTGGCGGTTCAATTCCCCCCCCCCTATTCATAGTCTGTTTGTTGTGTCCTTGGGCAAGACACTTAACCCACCAAACTGGCAGCCACATTTCCGTCAGTCAGCTGTGACTACTAAGATAGTTTACCACCACCAAGGTGTGACTGTGTGGACGAATGAATGATGTATCCAATGAAAAGCACTTTGAGGGTCTCTGATAAAGCGTTATATGAAATCTGATGCATTATTATTATTATTTTAAATGACAGCAGATAGTAATAAAACATGATAGAATAGCTGAAAATCCCCACATCTCTGATTATGCTTCAGCCATCCTTTAACACTTTTGTTACCAATTTTGTTTTGGTTGGTACTGGGTTCTACATTTAACAGGCATTTATTGTGTAACAGTAAAAGACAGGCATGAAAAAAAAACATGGCTTGTGTGCACAGCTGTGGTGAAGATTTCTTTTTACTTTTTTTGTAAAATTTTAGTCGTGTTTGACAAATTAGAGTTTGGAATCTAGAAACACACTTAAAAATTGAAATTGAAATTTCTTCTGTGACATTGTGCTGTTTTTTTTCTGAAAGTTTTATTTTATATGAAAAATCACAAAGAATTCTTTATCATTATGAGCCACTTACATAACCTGTTCATAATACTGAGCTGACAACCAGTCCCCCGGCAGCTTCACATAGATCATTGATAAGAAGGATAAAATTCAGCAGGTCTAGTTTTAGCCTTTGGGGAATACATCTTTTATTTTTTCTTAAGAAGCAGAAATTTGAAGTCAGTCATTTACGTTGCTCTCTGAATTTGATTTGAGTTTTTTTTTCTTTTTGAACAGGTAGACTGCCCAGCAGTCAGTGACAACAACTCAATTTTTATAATTTTTATTTTTTTGCAGCAGGATGAAAGTATTCTCTTAATATTGAGCTGAACCTCATTCTAACTGTGTGGCACAGCAGCTGTGTATGCAAATTCTTACTTTGAAAGGGGAAGTGTGGCGTGAACGTCTTGGTGGTTTCTTGAGTGTCAGCCTTCGTGTCAAATGAGTTATCACTCACGATGATGTAGACAGTGTACAGATACAAGATTATCAACTAACCCAGAGAGACAAACACGTTTAACGAGCTTATAAAGGCAACACAGCTAACACACAAGCTTGCTACACATTTATAATAATAACTTTATTTGTATAGCACTTTTAAAAACAGAAGTTTACAAAGTGCTTTGACATATAGTCATAAAGCACATGGAAAAAGACAGATAAAAACAAAAAACTCAGTTAAAATGGAATTAAAGGCCATTTTCATGTCATAAGGAACCCAGACAATACAAGAACCATGCAACATAAAGTGAGACCATGAGGACCAAAATAAAAACATAAAACAGTTAAGAAAAAAGAAAATGCAATTAAAAGGGGGGTCGAGAGCCGAAACAGGATAGTAAATATAAAAGACAATATCAACAATGACAATAAAATAACAGGTAATACCGATAATAATGGTAATGATAAAGTAGAGCAACAGAAATGAGCGAGAGATAAAGCAATAAAGGGCCTAAAAGTTTAATTAAGAAAAGATTACAAGTAAAACAAAAGTTAAAAAGACAGTAAAGCCGAAATAAGATAGAGGTAAAAGAGAGGACAGATAAAAGATAAAAGACGGCATCACATAAAAGCAAGTAAATAACGCTCAGTAACAGCTAAACTGTGTCAATTAGCCACGGTTAAACAGTAAAAAATAACTGAAAAACTTTTAATTTGCTTTCTGGTACACTCATGGTGTAATCATTAAATTAGTTCTGTCTAACTTGAAATAAAACTTTGGCATTTCTGTAATTTGTACTTCGCTACATATTCACAAATGTGTTTTTGTAATAGGAGGAGTTATAAGCAGTTATACGCTTCATTACTAAATAATCAACAGCTTATTTAAGAACACGATCCACAGCAGAATGGGATGGCACTGTGTCAGAGATGTGAACAGTCAGCTGTTTACTCTGCAGCAGGTGCTCGGGGAACTCCCTCTTGATATCCACAGATTTGTAATTAGAGCTTCCTGCTCTGTGGAACTAATTTAACCCTTTCTGTAGTGACATGGAGCAAATATGCAGCATCACAAGTGATGTTAAGGAAGGGAGATAGATATTTTACCCTTTGCAACAGTACGCTTTCTGTGAAATTGTTTAAAGTTTAGTTCCCGTCTGTATGAACTTGAGATACCGCCTGTCAGCAGGAACTCTCCCAAGAACAAGGAACACTTCATTTATTTACACTTTTTTATTGATCGAGGACAGCGGGAAGAACAGGAAACAGGGGAGCGAGCAGAGAGAACCACGCAGGAAAGGGGTGGGATCATAACCAGGCTGCCTGTGTGTGGGTAACCAGGAACCTTTAGAGGAACTCATTTTTGATAGCAAGAACCAGAATCTAGATCTAGTCCTGGTGTAAATGATCTACTCTTTGAAGGTGCAGGACTTTCCAGAGGTCCAAGGTGTTTGTGTGGCAGAGGCCTAAAGACTGAATTTACATAGAAAAAACAGGTCCTTCATTTACATATGAAACACCAACCACTGTGTGGACACGTGCACACACTGAGAAGGGAGGAGGGAGGATCACTCTGGAATATATTCAGCTTTAACAGTAAAGATTATATGAATAGAGGACAGTTGGAGGTGTTATGACAGTTTTGAGGAAATGGATCTTATTTACATCAGAAAAAAGGTGTGGAACTCACTCACAGACACCAGCTGAGCAGAGAGAGGGGAAGACATGGAGAGGCAAATGGCAGATGTGTTAATAATCAATAGAGTTTACCTTCTGCTAATCTATATGATTTAAAACTGTTTTTCCATATAGATTAGCAGAAATTCAAAGAACTATCCATGCAACTTCTTTAACAAAACGATTATTCTGGGAATCGCGTCATAGATCGGACTTGAATAATCTTCATGGGACTTGTGGCTGTGGTACAAATGCAAATTCCTGGTACTTTTGATTGTAATGCGCCTTTTATATCTCTGTGCAGGCAACCCTGTGCCAGCCAGAGCAGCCTCAAAGACATCAACTGGGACAGCTCGCAGTGGCAGCCCCTGATTCAGGATCGCTGCTTCCTGTCCTGGCTGGTAAAAATCCCATCAGAGCAGGAGCAGCTGCGGGCTCGTCAGATCACAGCCCAGCAGATCAACAAGCTGGAGGAGCTGTGGAAGGTATGTGGCTAATAGGCTGGGAGGGTCATACTGAGAGGTCTCATAAACTTGACCAGGAGAGTGTGTCAGAGGCAGCTAATTACCGGCATTTTTATCCACCTCTGTGGGTCTGGATGTGTGTTGTAGCTTGTATTGACAGTTGTTCTTATTTTTCCAGGACAACCCCAGTGCCACCTTGGAAGACCTGGAGAAGCCAGGAGTGGATGAGGAACCCCAACATGTGCTGCTGCGCTATGAGGACGCCTACCAGTACCAAAATATCTTTGGCCCGCTGGTCAAACTGGAGGCTGATTATGACAAAAAACTAAAGGAGTCTCAGGTACTTTAACGAAGAACTAAATCAAGGGGCTCTTGGGTTGAATTTCTTCTCCTTTTGAATGTCTTGAGTTTTTATTAAATGAGCAACCGAAGGACAAGTTGTGAGGGAATAATTGTTCTTTTATGGCTTCTCATATTTTACAGGAATGAAGTCATGCTGAATGAATCCTCTACCTCTATATTAACACATTGTTTTATTCTTCCTCTGCAGACCCAAGACAATATAACAGTCAGGTGGGACCTGGGTCTGAATAAAAAGCGGATTGCCTATTTCACTCTGCCCAAGACGGATTCAGGTGGTAATTCCCAAAGCTTTAATTCCTCCCAGTGGTTCTGTGGTGCAGATAGATTCCCTCCCCATACCCATTCAGACTTCAGAGTTGCACGCAACCTTCCCCACCCCTGCATCTGTTGGCGACATGTGTGCTTGGATTTGTTTTTGCCTGTTGTTTTTAGTGGGGTCTTGTGCTATTTTGTGCCTGCACGGTATTGTAACCTTTGATTCATAAACATTACCCATCCTCCTTAGATCATTTAAAGAAAGTCTCTACCAGCGTGAAACAGTTTCTGATTTGCGCTCCTGTATTAACTGCAGACATGAGGCTGATGCAGGGAGATGAAATCTGCTTGCGGTACAAGGGAGACTTGGCGCCGCTGTGGAAAGGCATCGGCCACGTCATCAAAGTCCCCGACAGTATCCTTTATAATTTTATCAGTTGCATCAATTGCAGTGTAATGACCTCAGATCTGGTCTACTCGCACATAAAAACATGAAAGTCCCCCCCTCTGGAAGTAGACTTCTTTTAACTGCCTGTTTTTAAGACTACGGAGATGAAATCGCCATTGAATTGCGGAGCAGTGTCGGAGCACCTGTTGAAATCCCCCACAACTTTCAAGTGGACTTCGTGTGGAAGTCTACTTCCTTTGACAGGTATGATGACATGTTTCAAACTTATTTTGTTCATAGGATGTACGTTTCTGTGTGTAAATTGACGATGCCTGTCATTTTTAGAAGAAAGATGTTGGAGTAAACTTTTTCCTGGTAGTAGTCAAATGTTCGCAGATGTTACAACTCAGTTTTAAGTGGCGGCGCTTGTGTTGTTGCAGGATGCAGAGCGCCCTGAAGACATTTGCCGTGGACGAGACCTCTGTGTCTGGATACATTTACCACAAACTGCTGGGTCACGAGGTAGAGGACGTCACCATCAAGTGCCAGCTGCCAAAGCGCTTCACTGCCCAGGGGCTACCTGACCTCAATCACTCTCAGGTCAGATCTTACTCCAGCAGAGTGTCTCTGTTTCTTTAATTTGATTAATTGGTTGAAAGTGATGCAGGAAAAAGGGGAGTCACAGTAAAGTTTAAATAACAACACTAATGTGAGACTGGGCAAGATATGTCAGGTGTTTGTTGTTATTCTTTTTTTAATAGGAAATCTCGAACTCAAGTAACGCAAATCAAGTCGGTTACATAGAACGCTGCTGGATGTCTGTTTTCATCACTTCACCTAAGCCGTGTTTTCTTGTTTGTTATTTATTTGTTTAGGTGTATGCTGTGAAGACGGTCCTGCAGAGGCCCCTCAGTCTCATCCAGGGTCCTCCTGGCACTGGGAAGACTGTCACCTCTGCCACTATTGTGTACCACCTGTCTCGGCAAGGCAACGGGTAAGACACAGAGAGTTTTTATCCTCTACACATGAAAAAAAAATTATGTAATGTTTGTAATTTTTCTTGGTAACTTATTTTAAAACTCACCACTTGTTCCCGCTCTCTTTTTTGTGTGTGTTTGCAGACCAGTCCTGGTTTGCGCCCCCAGTAACATTGCTGTGGATCAGCTGACTGAGAAGATTGACAAGACTGGACTGAAGGTTGTTCGGCTGTGTGCCAAGAGCAGGGAGGCCATCGAGTCGCCAGTGTCCTTCCTGGCTCTGCACAACCAGATCAGTAACATGGACAGGTCAGTGGCGTTTCACACAAGTTCAGCCAGGAGCATGGCAAAGTGTTGCCTAATTTTCTGGCCCTATTGCTCAGTCATGTCAACCTGAATCCTTTCCAGATCCCTCTGTCTCATACTCACTGTTGTCAGGGGTATTGGCACTTGCGTGGTATTTTTCTTCTGACACCCAAGCTCCAGGTGAAAAGAGGAATAATATCACAGGTTAGGCTCTGAAGTGTTTGTGCCAGCAGGGTTTTTGGAAGGTGAATGACAGTGCTCTATATCAAAGAGGGGAGTGAAAGGAGACATGCAAGACAATGCTACTAACTGAGATGAAAAGTGCAGGCGCATGCTGTTCTAAAAACAGCACGAGACATTGATTGTAGTTTGGCTGATGGTCAACAAAGGCAGACAGCTTACTCAGGCAGTTCAGGTCCTTTAAGCCTTGACTGATTCAACTGGTGTCACAATTTCCACTCTGTAATTTACATTCAGTATGTATCATGGAGAATATCTCTGTTCATTGTCAGCAAAAGTAACAGTTTTAAAACAAGGAGAAAAATATGCTCCTGAAAGTACCGTCTCATACTGTTACTTCATGTTCTGCAAGATTACCGTTTGGTTCTGTGTGTGTTCTGTTGTATGCGCACTCTGATGTGTGTTTGCTTTCGTAGCATGCCAGAGCTTCAGAAACTGCAGCAGCTGAAGGACGAGACCGGTGAGCTGTCATCTGCTGACGAGAAACGCTACAGAGCTCTGAAACGCACGGCTGAGAGGGAGCTGCTCATGGTGAGGAGGTTTTAAAAATGCTAAAATGTTACATCTCAACGGTGAAACTGAAGAAGTTTTCGCAATGAACGACTTTATTTTTTAGTTGTATCTGTGAAAATCGGCAATCAAGGAGATGTGTCAGTGCTTCCTGTTTAGTGCAACAGTTTGTTTTAACTCTTGCAGATCAAAACATTCTGATTGTGATCATGATTCTGTATGATAACCGCTATAAATAGCTTTCTTTTCATCGTTTTTCTTGTCTCTGCATACTTCTCTTTAGAAAACAGGAAACACCTTTGTCAAATACTCAACTTAAAGCACCCGAAAGGGCAACATGTTTCACTTCTGTGTCTTGACTCCCACCTGCGTTTTGGGACAGTAAACGATCTTCTCTTTTTTGTCCAGAATGCTGATGTTATCTGCTGTACCTGTGTCGGGGCTGGTGACCCACGTCTGGCAAAGATGCAGTTTCGCTCGATCCTGATTGATGAGAGCACCCAGGCCACTGAGCCTGAGTGTATGGTGCCTGTGGTGCTCGGGGCCAAGCAGGTACTAATATATGCTCACAGTTAATAAACAACTATCCCTGATGTGATTATTGAAATAATTTGTTTTGTTCATCCGGGAACAAAAATCTGCTTTGTGCACAGTGAAGCCATTTTTCATATTTATGTGACTTTTCTTCTGCCTTCTAGCTCATTCTGGTTGGAGATCACTGTCAGCTGGGTCCTGTGGTGATGTGTAAGAAGGCAGCCAAAGCAGGTCTGTCCCAGTCCTTGTTTGAACGTCTGGTGGTCCTGGGGATCCGACCAATTCGTCTGCAGGTCCAGTACCGCATGCATCCGGCTCTCAGTGCCTTCCCCTCCAACATCTTCTATGAGGGCTCTCTGCAGAATGGCGTCACTGCAGGTTTGTCAAGATCAAGCACTCCTCTGTCTTGTTTGAGGGGTTGTTCTTTCAGAGTGCTCCTCACCAGCATTTACTGTTGCTGGGTTACCAAAGTTGTCCCGCGACACTTGTTCTCCTCTTAATAGTGACCATTAGGTCTGTTTTACAATGAATATTTGCATCAGCAGCAGCTCTCGACCTGGAAAATGTGCATAAAAACAAAAAGTGTGGTCACTATATGAACCTCTGCCATTGTTGTTGACAAAGACATTTTTAGGAGTCCTGACCCTTGTTGACTCTGATTGGCCAATAATCCATCCATCCATTTTCTACCGCTTATTCCGTTCCTGGGGTCGCGGGGGGGCTGGAGTCTATCCCAGCATCTTCGGGCGAAGGCAGGGGACGCTCTGGACAAGTCGCCAGTTCTTTGCAGGGCTGACATATAGAGACAAACAACCATTCACCCTCACATTCACACCTACAGGCAATTTGAAAGTGGCCAATTAACCTAACCCTGTTTTTAAGATGTGGGAGGAAACCAGAGTACCCGGAGTAAACCCACGCAGACACAGGGAGAACATGCAAACTCCACACAGAAACGCCCTGAGCCGGATTCGAACTCAGGACCTTCTTGCTGTGAGGCGACAGTGCTAACCACGACTCCACTGTGCTGCCCTTGGCCAGTAATCAAGAAAATGAAATTAATGAGCGCAGCCATGTTCTATGAAGTTCGACTGTTTTCATCTCGGAGTGTAGCAACATAAAAGAACTGACTGAGGGCTCAAAATGCTCTGCTGCACATGGTTTTCATAGAAAATAAGTGCAAAAAAAACTCAGCATGTGACAGCTTGTGATCAAGAAGTAAATTTATTCTCAGTGTCGCTGAAACAGCAGCTTGTAAACTCTATCCCAAACTTATTGAATCGAGAGAATATCAATTTTATTTTTCTTCACAGCTGATCGGATCAAGAAAGGCTTCGACTTCCAGTGGCCTCAGCCCGAGAAGCCCATGTTCTTCTACGTTACACAGGGCCAGGAGGAAATTGCCAGCTCTGGAACCTCTTACCTGAACAGGTAACATCAGACTGATCGTGGGCATCTGTATAGTTTATCTCACAACCCTTAGTAATTTGAATATATGCAAAGTGGGTTAAATGCTGTTGACTGGAAAGCGCACTCTTCACTTTAGGTTTGAAAGCTAACCTGTTGGAGCTGGTTGAATTAGCTGTCAGAGGAGAGAGGAGGAGGCTTCAACTAGCAAGTTTACATAAATGAGCTAATTGACTGATTTTGTTTTCAAGAACTGAGGCTGCCAATGTGGAGAAGATCACCACCAGGCTGCTGAAGGCTGGAGCCAAACCTGACCAGATCGGCATCATCACCCCGTATGAGGGTCAGCGCTCATACTTGGTCCAGTACATGCAGTTCAGTGGCTCCCTGCACACCAAACTCTATCAGGTACTTCTGCATGATCACAGAGGTACAGGTTTTGTTATGATTACTCAAAGGACATAATAACAAAGTGAGTTAATTCTTACTAAGGTTACTAAGGTTCTAAGGTTTCTCCGTCATGTTGGATCAAACCTGGTTTTCTCTTTGTGCTCTGAAATGACCTGTTTTCCCTGTCCCACCCTAGCAAGTAGAAATCGCCAGCGTGGATGCCTTCCAGGGCAGAGAGAAGGACTTCATCATCCTGTCATGCGTCCGTGCCAATGAGCACCAGGGCATCGGCTTCCTGAATGACCCGCGCCGTCTCAATGTGGCGTTGACCAGAGCCAAGTAAGAAACTACATATTAATGTCGTTAGAGCATCAAAGAGCCAGCTCAGTACCTTCTGACAAGCTTTTGATCATTTTACGTAACGTGGTACCAAAACAAGAATTTCTGCCAGCCCTGACCAGCAGTCTTGCGTGTTTTTCGATGAAGGTATGGTGTCATCATCGTGGGCAACCCCAAAGCCCTCTCTAAGCAGCCTCTGTGGAACAATCTGCTGAACAACTACAAGGAGCAAAAGGTTCTGGTGGAGGGACCCCTGAACAACCTGAGGGAGAGCTTGATGCAGTTCAGTAAGCCTCGCAAGCTCGTCAACACCATCAACCCCGTAAGTACAAGAAGAAACTATATGTGCACCGATCAAAGTCTAAGGGCAAAATAATGAGCCAGTAAGGTACGAGATTGGTAAAGTAAACCTATTTCTACAAATCAAAGTGAATTCTGTATCAGTGTAGAAATAATCCATGCTTAAAATTTTAGAAATGTGCTGATATTTTCTCTGTTAAAGATATCTTGATGAGCTGAGGGGGACTTGATTTGTTGTTGTTTTTACTCCTTCGTCTGAAGAACTGTCTGATTTATCAAGCTGAAGGTCTAATTTTCTGGAGTGTGTGACTGTTGAGGACAGTGATGGTCTCGTGTTTTCCAGGGGGGACGTTTTATGAGCACTGCTATGTACGACGCGCGTGAGGCCCTCATCCCTGGCTCTGCCTACGATCGCAGTAATGCTGGTATTTATCTGATTCATTGTGGCTTGAAAAAACCTATACACAGCATTTGGGCTCCATAAGTGTTTGGTCACATGTTCTTTATAGAAATAAAAATGCCTGAACCTTTATTGGTGGATTTTCTCTCAGCAGGTCGTCCGTCCAACATGTACTTTCAAACCCATGACCAGATTGGGATGATTGGGGCGGGCCCGGGTCACATGGCTGCCATGAATATTCCCATACCATTCAACCTGGTGATGCCACCGATGCCTCCACCGAGTTACCTGGGTCAGACTAACGGCCCTGCTGCAGGTACGGCACACTGCAGAGACTCTCCTCTGTGCTGCTACATGAATCTTTGAGATTATTTAGTTTCATTCGGTAAGTGGTTCAAACGTTTTTCCTCTTTTTCTGCGAAGGCCGTGGAGCGATGAAGGGTAAACCTGGGCGCGGTGGGCGGCAGAGGGTCCGCAACAGCCAGGGTCCCAGTCAGGGCAATGGACCAAACAGCCAGGCCAGTCAGGATGGGGCCTCTCAGTCCTTCTCCCAGGGGCCCCTGACACAGGGCTACATATCCATGAGCCAGCCTTCTCAGATGAGCCAGCCTGGCCTGTCCCAGCCAGAGCTGTCCCAGGTAACCCCCAGTGAAAGACGCCATGGAGTTACATGTTCTCTTGTAACAGTCACTTATTTAACCCTTAGAACTCCCAGCTGTATTTTGCTACCTTTGGTCCGCCTGTTTTTTTTTTTTTTTTTTTTTTTTTGGTAAAAATCTATGTAGCAACTCTGTCCATTCAAGCACAACAAATATATACACATCTTTTTTTCAGGACACCCTCAGCTGTCAGTTTATGGGTGCAATAACTGTGTAATAATCAATGTGACGGTAAATTCAGAACCATCAAAGTCAATCGAAAATCAGAAATTGATACCAACGCTACTTTGATCAAAAAACACATAAATCTACAGTGACCAAGCCTTTTCTCACCTGCACACCGTTCTGTTAAGTCTTGGCTGTCAGGATAAGAAATATTGGAATTGGAACAAACACACAACAGAAACTATTGACATATTTATACTAACTCTTCCAGGCGTTTTTTTGCTATTTACAGTCGTAGAAGAAGAATATGAGACCATGTAATTGGTCGAAAGTTCAACAGAAAAAGACGTCATCAAAACAGCTTGTCAAACCCGGAAGACATTATCGGCATTTAGTGATAGCAATCCTTTTTTATCATGACAATATGATAAATAATCATGTTTTCACCGATACATCTTTGCGGATTTACCATCAAACACCTATTTTTGTGGCTGGATTGTAAAGCTTATTGGAGGTGTAGAAATGCCTGGAAACCCTCGATAGATCGCTGAAAGGGTAAGCTTTTGAAAACTTTTTTTCCCCACAGAGATACACGGTATTGTTTTAGAGAAACTGTAAACAATATTAATGGTGTCACGTGGGATTGGCGATCCAGCGGAGTTCTAAGTGTTAATGACTTGAATTGAGCAAATCCAACAATAAAAGGAAGGACTGTCATTGGCTATTTCTCTGAGAGTCACTGAAAAGCTCATAAAGGTGTGGCTGTAATTCTGCCTCTCTCCTCATGTTCTCCAGGACAGCTACCTGGGTGATGAGTTCAAGTCCCAGATTGACGTGGCTTTGTCCCAGGACTCGACTTACCAGGGGGAACGTGCATACCAACATGGTGGGGTGACTGGACTGTCACAGTATTAGGGTGTAAGTACATAAGTGTGTTTGTAGTTGTGACAGATTTAAGGTTTGGCATGTGTGTGTTTATATTGTAGGTGTGTTGCTTTCCATTGATTGATGAAGAACTTATATGATCAAGTTACAGCTCACCTGTTGTAACTAATGAGACACACTCATGTTTCTGTTATTTTGATTTTACTGTGGTTTTTGTCTTTCAGGTCACCTGATGAAGGGAGCTAGGCTTGAGCTGAGCTTAGTTCATCAGCTTTTTAATCTGGGAAATAATAAAAACATAAAATGGATACCTGTTTTCCTCTGCTACATCCGAAGCACCACCGAGTGAAAGCGACGGGATAGCGAAACAAAACCAATGACCAGTGAGAGAAATAAGAGGGTAGAAAAAGAAGAGAGCACGAACAGACGGGGCAAGAGAGGCCGAGAGAACATGCGAGAGGCAGGAGCCGCTGTCCGTGAAAAGTGAAGGAGGGAAGTCAAGAAAATGGCGGCAAGTGGTCAAGCTGCTGAGGAAAATGGCGGGGAGATCTGGAGGGTCTCATTGGAAACCAAATGAGGCTCGACTCCCAGCAAAATAATCCAGCCATCCCCTTCAACCCACCGCCTCCAGGAAAGGAAGCAAAGCTATTTCATGTTCAGACGAGCATCAAAGCTCTCAGCTGAATCTGAACTTGTTCTCCAAACTCGTAGGAGGCGTGATTACAGGAAGCCATTGAACCGGCATCCCCAACTCCCCACCGTAAAAGCATTTAGTGCTCAACTTGAGTCTTTTAAATTTGGTTTGTTATGGGAGAAGAGTGGCAACAACAATCCACAAGTGGGCCCCAAAACCTCAGCAGCCTCTGAAGGAAGCAGCAGTCGACACTCCCTCTAGAAGAGGAAATGAAAACCCGGTTTCTGTGCTTGGGTCTGGGATCAAAGAGCCTTGAAATGAAATCCCTCTTGTTTGCTTGAAAACCACTGCTCGGTCACAACCTCTTCAACGGGGCGGGTCTGTCCGGACGTCAGTGGTGGAGCGGCATGAGGATTTCAGACTGTTTTCAAGGCGTGACGCGCAAATCCCACGGATGATCATCATGGGACAGTTTTTTCTTCTCTGAATTACCTTTCTTATCACTGAGCACAAAATTGCAAAAAAGGATATTGAAACGATCAAACCTGACCAGCATTGATTATTCAACTCCGTGTCATTTGATGTTTCAGTGAAGGCTTTTCCTTGTTTAATCTTCTGAAAGCTGGGGCTGTTGATGTCCCGCAGTGCTTCATGACCAGATGTCTTTTTCTTTTTCTTTTTTTTTAACACTCTGTATGCTTAGATTGGCAAATGCTCAAATGCTTTGCATGGATTGATTCCTCAGGGGGGGTTGTGGACTCTACGCTCATCACACAGAATCCCTGCTTGAGTTGAAAGAAACCAAACATGATGAAGGAATGAGGATAATGGTAGTCAAGGCTTACAGGCGGTCGTGGCAATCAATCCACCACAGGTAAGAAGTGGAAAAGGAAGGTGGCTGAGAGAGAAAAGAGTGTTTCCACATCTGGAACATGAGTTCAAGTCATTTCCAGAGTTCAAACAACAACTGGGTGAAACTTTTGTGTCATTTCACATAGCATTTGTGTTAATGTGAGAGCATGTAGCTGATGGTCAAACTGCCCAGCTACGCAAATTTCTAGATCTGTAATTTAAACGTCTTTTCGTTGCTGTGTGAATCAAGTTACTTTGACACTCTGGCTCCAGTTGGTTTCAGCGGGAAAGCCATCCAAATTGTCGAGAAGATGGCCAGTAGATAAGAAAACTGAAGGAGAAACCTGAATCAGTGCCTATAACCAATCACCTTCAGATAAACAGCTGCAGCACAAGCATGAATGTAGTTCGAATCAAACTACCAGCATCAAACAAACCGTGGACACACCAGAGGGCTCAACAAACCCACAGAAAAGAGCTTTTATTTTTGTATCTAGAACAGGCCGGGGAACGACGGGGTCACTGAGCCGAGCAGCTGGGTTGTTTCTCAAAGGATGGGCGGGTGTTAAAAGCCACCTTCCTTCTCTGTGGGGGAAAACAAACGGAGGCTGGTAGAATAATTTTTTTTCTTTCTGTGGACTTCTGAGTTGTGCAAAGCTGTTTAGCCTGCGTTACGTACTTCATGTAGAGTTTTTTCAGAGATTTACGTGGATTCTTGACCCTCTTCCTGAAGGACTTTGTGAACCTTGAGTTGATCCAAACGTTGCTTTTGTCAGACATTTTGCTGCTTTGTCTTTTTTTTTTTCTTTGTTTTGTTTAGTTAGGTGTTCTTTAGCCATCTTGTGTAGATTAAAATGTGTTGTTGTAGCAACTGACTGACTCCAGGAATGAGGCAAACTCTTAGTTTTGTATCTTCTCCTCAAACTCTCTGATGGATTGTAGTTTTTTAACTCTACCTGAGAAGATGCGTTCTGATCACAGCAAGAATGTACTTCACTGTTTCTAGCCCTCTCGTTTCAGAAGTCACGTGACAATCATGTTGCCATGTTTGATTGACTTAGAAATAGATCTCTTTCGTTGACGCGTCACCCTGTTCCATGTAATAGCTTTAAAAACCTGCTGCCGAGATAATATTCTTTGGTGTGTTTGTTTTTGTTTTTTTCATCTTGAGCCACAATGAGTTGCAACATGTGCAGTGATTGTTGAAGTGATTCAGCTGTAGATTAGTTTTTAAACAAACCTTTTGATCCTCTGTCAGAAAAGCAGAGATTAATTTAAATTGGAAAGAGCTCAAAGAAATGTAAATAATTTAAAATTGTCTTATTTGCAGTGAAGTTTCATCACAACATGGTTGTCTCTCCTTAAACTGAATCAATAAAGGCTTTCAATTTGAGCACACGTTTTTATGGTTTGAAGCTTTGCTCATTTATTTGCACGCGCTCACAGATATGAAAATATTACAGATATTGTACAGACATTATAAAACTCCTATATACAGTCGATGGGTCACAGCAGTTGTCAAGCTGTTTCCTGTTCAGCCTTTTTCTTCTTCATCTGTTTCCTCTTCATCAGTTTCTTCTTCAGCTGCCCATGTTTCTGTTTCTGAATGCTCTCCTGGATTTTCTGTTGGAACAACTTCTTCTGTTTCCTGATCTTCTCCAGTTCAGCTTTCCTCTTCAGCTCCAGGTCTGGATCCTGTAAAAGCAGATTTATCGCTGATCAATAATAGTTCATCTAGAATTTGTAGCTTCCTGAACTTATTTCAGTTTTATATTAACTACGTCAACATCGCATGCAGGGGGGAAAAAAAGTATATTCTGTGTAGTTATTGCATAATTAATAATTTCTAGTTTGTCCACAACTCCATAAGGAAGGCCGGAGGAGGCGGGATTTATGACCTATACTGCAGTCCGTCAACAGAGGGTGCTGTTCTCGGGTGGCTTCACCCAGCAAGGAGGCAGACGGCGTCCATTCTATATACAGTCTATGGTTGGCATCTACAGTAGCACCAATGCTTTTTACTTTCACATTGACTGGGCCTCATTGACTGGGCTCGCTTTCCTGGAGCGAGCACTAGCATCTGTTTGTGGGCGGGGCTTGCTGGAGCAGTGAGGGAGGGGAGAGGAGGAGCTGAGGGGAAAACTGGTTGAGGGTGTAGTGATACATTCAAGATTTCTTCCACAATCTGGAACTTCCTCAGATCCTGCCTACCCCACCTTAAAATATGGTGGAAAAAATGAACTTTTCAGAAAATTCACCAGAGATGTGGTAAAATACAAAAACCAATAAAAGTTCAGACTTCAACAACAAAAAACAAATATATGCTATGAGAAATAAATCAAGCTAATTAGGAAAAATCCACTAATTCACTTTGTTTGTTTTCCTGTATAAAATTCTGTGATTCACGACTGCTATGTCCTGCAGAACTTTACCTTCCCCTCCAAGATCAGTTGTTTCCTCTTGTTAATCTCCTTTTTCTCATCAAAGTCTGTTGCCTCCAGTTTCTGTAATGCAGAAAAGACAAACCAGTTATAGTGTCAGTGGGTCAATCACTTAACTCTGAAGACAGTGTATTAAGTAACATATGCAGTAACTCGTATTCACTGAACCACCAGGATGAGAGGTAAGGACTGAATACACAGAAATGAACAGGTGACATACTATTTCACACTCCCGTCTGGTCACGTTGACCTGCGTGAGGATCTTCAGGACTTCTTTCTCCACCACTGGATACTCCTTCAACTTTGTCTCTGTGGAAACAACAGCATTGTTTATGGATGATGTGCACTAGATACTGCCAGGACAGAGTTGATCCTTTATGAGGACTACAGCTCATGTTCACAGGGCGCCTGCTTTACAGACTGAGCTATCCCGACCCCCTAACAGCTGTGTTTGTTTTGAGGATCCCACTATTTAACCTCCTGTCTGTAAAGGTTTGGACTACAATAGACCCATTCAGCAAATATTCAGCCATACTGCTTGTCATCATAATGAACATGTCAATTACATTTGAACAAACTTCATTACAACAAAACTTACGAATCTGCGCTTCGATGGCTTGGACCAGGTGGATGTCGTACTGAGTCACCAGCGTGATGGACACGCCGTTCCTCCCTACAGAGGAGGGAAACCTTGTTATAGTTTAAATCCATATATTCAGTGATCCAGGGAAGGGAAAAGATAAAAGTTTGTGGGTAGTTAATTGAAATACAATGTGATATCACCTGCTCTGGCTGTGCGTCCGACTCTGTGGATGTAGATCTTAGGAAGGCCGGGCGTGTTGTGGTTGATGACGACCTGGACAGTTGGAATATCCAAACCTCTAAAAGACAGAAAAAAAGGGAAGACAGCGTGAAAACTCCAAAAACTAAATAACAGAAATACTTAAGTTTTTTTTATCGAAGCTTCTGACCTCGCAGCCACGTCTGTTGCGATCAGGATTTTGTAGACACTGGCCTTGAACTTGGCGAGGTTTGCGAAGCGTTGTTTCTGGAGGAGATAAAGAGTTCTCATTCAGTCTGCAGACCCACTCATTTATAGGCTGTAATCTGTCTTAATCCTTTACACTGACAGTTCCTGCATCACCATAAAGAGCTCTGCCTCTGTCTTCGTGTCAAATGTGACAAACATGATTTTAAAGTCCAGTATCAGCTTCACATCACCATTTCCTGATTTTCTCTCACACAAAGCAAAATAAAATCTGTGTGTGTGTAAACTTCAAGGACTAAATTCTGACTCCTCTTTAGCTACTTTAGTTACTGGACTTTGTAATGGTGTCTGCCTCACCTGTTTCATCATAGAGTGCAGGGAGATAGTCGGGAAGTTGAATTCACGCAGCATCATGGTGAGGATCTGACAGTCCCTGAAAAAGCAAAAGATTGGACATGTTTTTACATCTATACCACACTAAATCACTGTGATATGTGTGTGGAGACCTCTGGTTACAGATCAAGCTTGGATTCATGTTTCAGAGACATCAAAATAATCATCTTAACCATCAATTTAACAAAAACTGTAGGTTAAGTGTAAAGTGTAGGTGTGGAAAACAACAGAATACAGGACATTTTCTGAGATTTTTAAGACTCCTGGCTGAGTTTCTTACTTGCATGTGTTGGTGAAGATGATGATAGACCAGTCATCGTGCTCGTCTGTAAACTTCTGAATCAGGTGGACAAGGTAGGCGTCCTTCACCTTCTCTGGAGTGAGGATGAACCTTTGGTCCAGCTCCTCCACTGTTTTTGTCCTGTAATAAAGTCAGAGTTCACAATAGAGTTTATACGGCCAGAGCGTCCGAGTTGAAAACAGAAACCATGGAGCTGGTCTAATCTGGGACTAAAAGTCAGATAAAGTTTGTAAAAGGATGGTTTTAACTTTCATTCTGCTGCTGTCATCAAATTTAAAAAGCTTCAGGTTTACAGATTTTGTTGTGTTTGACGAGATGAAAACGATATTCAACAAGATTTTCAAAGATGGAAGATAATTCGCGTTAAAATTTCGAGTTTTAATACTGTTATGCAAGAGTTAAGGGTTCAAATTTTTTTGTCATTTTCAGATTAAAGCAAAAAAAAAATTAGTTTAAGGTTCAAATATCCTGAAAATTTTGAATAATTTTGAAAATAGGACTTAAATCTTCAAAAATGGCGCTTCCTCCTCTGAAGCCAACTTCACATGACAGTCAACTTACTTTTCAATATTTAAAATAAAGAGCCTTCTCTTTTTAAATGTCTTTCTTCCTACTGTTATATTCCTTGATAGTCCTCTGTGAGATCCTGCTCCACATCACAACCCTCTGTGACATGAGCCTGCAGTAGTTTGTAGCTGCTCCCCGCACAGTCCTCACAAATAGTCAAAACAAAAATAAAAGCAGCAGAAAGCCCACTCAGCCTCACTAAACATGTCTGCAGCTGTAATTTGCACAACTCCCACTTATGTACACCAAATGCATCCATGGGAGAGATTAGATTACACACACCCCAGATCAGATGACATGCAAATGAACTCCCACACTCAGGCTCCAGTTTCATACAAGAATGTTGCACACAAGCTTCAGTAAATCTTGCCTCTATGGTTTTCTAAAACGTCCTATCATTAAAATACCCTCAATGAAAAATACAGTAACTATTACACCAAACACAAACTTTTTAGCACTAATCAACTGTACTATCTCCCTCCTCCATGACTGACTGCACAGTTTTCACCTTCAGCCTTCAGTTCACTCACTCTGACTTGCTCTCCCAGAAGTGAGGTTTGTTCATGGCGATGCTCTTCAGCTCCTGCAGGGTGTCAGTCAGTGTGGCGCTGAACAGAAGAGTCTGTCTTTTAGCTGGTAAAGCCCGCAGGATCGTCTCCAGATCTTTGGTGAAGTCTGTGCAGCCCTGCTCCAACAGACGATCGGCCTCATCCATGATCTGACACAGAGGCGGGAGCACAAAATGTAGAGATGTGAAGTTTAAAATGGGGGCAGCTTAAGAGGTTTTAACTATCTTGGTGTTAACTGACCTTCAAAATGAGAAAGACAGCTTTTCTCTTATTTTGAAATCTGCTGTTTCGATCAACTAGAATTCTGATTTCAGGATTCTGTTATTGTGTTTTAAGACAAATTTTCAGGGAGATGTAAAACCCTGCAGAATGAGCCATTTTATGATCAGCTGTTGTTTTAAAAGACAAAAAAATAATTGGAAATGTGCCCATGATTTGGAGCTCTACATGTGACGTATGTAACCAAAACAGAGCATTATGTTCCTCATACTGAGTTTTCTTTAGATAAATTCAGTCATTGAATAACAGTTCATCAAACTGGCACTTAATTTATCAACTTTCTGGACTTAGCTGAGTCCTAATGTTGCCAAACAGGTCATAGTTTACTAAATCTATCACCAATAGAGTTTGTTGAATCCATAATTGTTTGTGTTCTCTCCTGGTCTCACCAGAAACTGGATCTTCTTCATGCTGAAGGTGTTGGAACTGCGGATGTGATCAGCCAGGCGCCCTGGTGTTGCTACGACGATATGTGGCTGGTTGGAGAGCTCCAGGGCCTGAGTCACCATGTCTTGAAGAAACACAACAATGACAACATTAACACCGAGGAAAGGTAATAATGAGAGAGGTGAGATGATTCAAATTAATGACATAAAGAAAAAAATCAATCTGAGCTGTGGACATGTACTGTGTATGTAAAATTACCCATTCCACCGACAATGATGCAGTCTTTCACACCCAGGGGCTTCCCCAGCACCCGAAACTGCTCTGCAATCTGATAGGCCAGCTCCCTGTATGACATCACACATATAATACTATTTTTAAAGAATATTTTAGCACATTTTTCACATAACTATTCAATAACAAGTCCATTAAAGACAAAATTTAAGAAATGAAAGTGTTTCGTGCAAAAATGTCTTTCTTTTTTAGATTCTAAAAGAGTTCAAGTTCTCCACACAGATGCTACAACACAGACCTGGTGGGAGTAAGCACCAAGCAGAAGATGCCATAAGGGTCTTCTGACAGTTTCTGCAGCACCGGCAACACAAACGCTGCCGTCTTCCCACTTCCAGTTTTAGCACAGCCCATACAGTCCCGACCTGGAAGAAAGTCACCATCAGTCACCAGATCATGTTGAGGCGATAAACCTTTTCATAGTGACACATGAGAGTGATAACTGATGTCCGAAACTAATACACATTTAGAGGAGAGTGGGGTAAGATGAGCCATTTTTTCATATTTCAGATCTCTACATCAAGACGATCATAGTTTTGTCTCTAACTAGTGTATCTGCATGTATTTCAAGATGTTGTTCATCCCTGCAAACCAACAGAATGAGTGTAAACAGAACTGTCTTGATAATATAGCATGACAAAAAAAAGTGGTCTCCTATGGTCAACTAACCTTGTGTATGGGGTAAGTTGACCATAGGAGTGGGGTGGGTTAAGCCGTGTTTTTTTTTTTTTTTTTTTAAATAAATGTCTAACCTCTTCACCCATGTGCTTCTAACCTTCACAGACTCCATGAATTGATGCCCATCTCCTAAATATTTGGTCACATGATCAATTTCTTTTACCATTTCCAAGCAACAGGAGGTGGCTCAACTTACCCCACTCTCCCCTACAATCTCTCTGTCCAAATGGGGTTAAGTTAACCAGTGAAACTTATATATATATTATGTATATCAGCTGTTTTAATTAAATAAATCTATAAACTAAATGCCAAAGTCTACCTCTAGAAAACAGCTCTGATAGGTTTCTTAAGACTATAGGAGAACACAGGACCTCCGACAGCAGGTTACAGTCTATTTTCAAATCATCATTTTACTTTAAATATGATTTGATTAGCAGTTTGGAAACTCTATTTTCAGAATTGGACAAATATCTATATCATCTTTAGTCGAGCACAGACTAACACAGCACTCTATTTAAACATCCAGGTAATCCCTTCTTGGATCAATAAAGTTCTTCTTATTCTTCCTTTATTCTTAATCTAAGTAAATCTTAGTTACCTTGCAGAATAGCTGGCATGCAGTTTTCCTGAACAGGAGTTGGTTTATTGATCCCCAGCTGTTTACACTGTTTAATCAGCCAATCAGAGAGACCCAGCGATGAAAAGTCCGACATTCTGTCTGATCCGAATCTGACCGGCTTGGTGTCTTTTTCTTTCGCTCGTTAATTTATGAAGAAACGACTGAATTTCTCTGTTTTGGTCTAAAGTTGGACATCCTCGTGTGGAGCACTAGTCGCTGTATGAGCACGTCATGATTCTTCTTCGTTTTATTGGCGGTTGGCAACCAGTTTAAGAAGCATTACCGCCACCTACTGGATTGGAGTGTGGCACAGGAAATTAAACAGGAAAAAAACAAACAGATATCTGCCTATAAATATATATATACACACTAAGCTCCAAACTTAAACTCTGTACAATCAGCCTGTCTCCCTTAAATACTTCATTAATGCCCTAAATACTTTTTCAGATGCTGACCCGAACAGATTCTAAAGATACTAAACTGTAGATATCTGTATCGGTATCGGAGGTGAAAAAAGCGCACCCTATAAAGAAGTGATTCAAAAGTTTCTCAAGCTTAAATTCTTCAGGCAGCTCTTTTAAAAGTCGAGGAGCCCTGATGGAAAAAGCTTTTTTCTCTAGATATGAGCCTCTGCAAAAATAATAAGCTACTGCATAACCTTGAAAAATTAATATAGTTGTTAATTTCACTAGATTGCACAGATCTGGTAAAGTTAGCAGATAATGGTTAAATCAAATGTCTCTTAGCTCTATCTGTAGAATTACCCGCACCAAAAATTAGCTTTGACCCCAAACTGACAACCCTTCATATAATCAAACCACTCATGAAAAACTGAAGACAGTCCCCTCACTGTTGGGTTTTGAAGCCCGTCACCTGCTCCCAGCTTTCCCACTGAATTTACTCTGATCAACATGGACAACATGCACAAGTGTTTTTGTTCTCCTCCTGACCCTAGCCTGGTGTTGGAGTTTAGTAGAAAAAGTTAATATTGATGATAAATTTCCTCAGATTCTATACCAACACATCCTAACAGACTACCTTTAAAAACTTTTTAATTGGGATTAATTTTTTATAATCTACTTCTTGATAGATGTTGCTTTTCCATCCTCTTCTTTTCTTTATTGATGGTAATGCGAGACAGAACACAAGATCAATTAGCAATTCCTCATTTTTTTATGAAACAGAGAAATTGGATTTTAACCACAGGCCAAAAAAGGTTTAATTTATTATAAAATGTGGATTGATTCTTATTTTTGCATAATTTCTCTGTTGGTCTCAATTTTCTGCCATGGCCCCTTAATTTCCTCCCGTCCATTTTCATATCAGCCTGAAAATGTCAGTGATCTTTATTCAGCGATTATCAGAAAGGGCCAGTGTGTGCAGTGAAGGGTTCCGCCTCATCTACATCTGCGGCAATAAAAGGATTTTTAACCCTCAACTTTCACCTTTTTTCACTCTTTACCAGCTCTCACTGACTAATTCTTCTCACTAAGATGGAATAATTGGGCCTGAAGCAGATTCTCACTTTTTTAGTTATTTTTTTATGTGTTGGTTTGACATTCAAGAGTGAGGAGGAGCCATAAAACTGAAAAAAAAGAAAAGAAAAACAACATCCGAAGAAAAAGATGATATGAAAGGGGGCAACGTTGGTGCCTCATTTTCTTCCATTCCTTTGTCAGAGCTTACAGGAAACATATAACGACTTCTATAAATATGGATGAATACTAGACTGGGATAACTTTTGACTGTGCAAATTTGCATGTCTAGACTACAGCCTGAGCTCTGCAGCACGAGAGACACCAAACCAAGAACACTTCAGAAATCTGAACCCTGAGCATAGCATTTTTACGCCGTTTTTTTCCCCCAACTTTAGTGTTTTTATGTCTATATACATATATATCAGTGGATATGTTTGAAAACATAGTATTTTGGGGGTGTTTTTGGCCTGTTGTGCGTGTGCAAACAAAGTTTAAAATCCCTGCTTTAATATTTTGAGATTTCATGATGCTTATTATGCACATCATGCAGGTATTTGTTTCCATACCTGCAACAGTGAGAGTGAAGAAGACACTACGAGTTTGATTCAGCCACAGAAGGAGAAAAATCTTCAACAAGAAACCCCATCTGTGTGTGCGCACAGGCCTGCCAGAGGTGATTAATGATGTATGTGTGTGTGTGTGTGTGTGTGTGTGTGTGTGCGTGTGCGTGCATGTGTGTGTGTGAGAGTAAAAAGGCAGAGTCCTGGAGGTTCAACCCAATCTTGCCCACTTGGTCCAGCTGTGCTGCAAACCTCCTCGGCCGGGCTGAGAAGCGTCTCCCTAAATGAACACAAAGGTTGTTTGCATGAGAGGCAGAGATCTGATGCTCCCTGTTGTCTCCCTGCAGCATAGCTGAGCAGTCAGCTGCAGAGTAGTAACAGTCCACTGAACAGCACGGTTTGTGCACAGAGCTGCTCCCCTCGCTCTTCCACTACATTTGATACTGCGCTCTCTCATCGTCAGCCAATATCCACGCAAATAAGTGATTTATTTTAGGTGTGCTGACGACTGAAAACCAGGGTAATCATGAATTAATGAAGGGAGAAACAACTCTTTATACGCTGTTACTGCAGTGGAAAGTTTAATAAAGAGGGATCAATGTGGAGAATTTATTTAGCTCTTCTTGTACATTTGTTTCTGTTTGTTGGCAAGGGCTGTTTCTCAGTGGTAGAGTCAGTCATCTCTCAATCAGAAGGTCAGGGGTGAGGTCCCAGGTCCAACGCTCCTCATGCCCAAGTGTCCTTTGGTAAGACATTTGACCCCAAAGTCCCCCTGCTGGCTGCACTGAGCAGTGTGTGCATAGGGTTTGTTAATACCGCTGGGTGCTTTACATAACAGCCTCTGCCATTTGTATATGAACGTGGGGTGAATGGATGAATGTGATGTGATGTAAAAGCACTTTAAGTGGTCAGGAGTCTATGCAGAGGGATAAATAAACACAGTCCATTTACCAAAACCCTTTTCAAACAAATTAAACCTCATGTGAGCTACATATTTTAGCTTCACTGGTTTATTTTTATTCTTGTATATTCTACATAAATCCACAATTTGCCCATTGCATGTCCAATTGAGTCAGGATGAGTCGAAATCAGGGGTTCAAAAATGCAAGTGGAGGAGGTTTAGCATTTTAAATAAGTTTTCATTTTCAGCAAAATGAGACAAGACAGTCCAAGAATTCTGCTCCTGATTTTTCCATTTTAATGAAGCATTTCATAAACAGGAGCTCTATCTGCTTTAAGATTACCGCATAGACTTTCAGCTCATGTCACCTTGTTTGCGAGCACGCTCTTTTAGACTTGGTTTGATATTCTGTGTCATATTTCAACTCATATTTGTGCAGTTTAAATCAGGTTTACTTTGGTGCTTCAATCATAACGTGATTTCCGGTTGGATGAGCAGTCATTTGATGACATAATCATGCTATGAAAAATTACCTTATGAATATCATATCAATGCATAATATCCCTGAAGGCTCTCCATGTAAATGAGAGGAATTTATTGAGCTTTGTGGTATTTTTATTCAGTCAGAATTCCGGTCCTGCAGACTCATTCCTGTCCCACTTACACAACATTAGATCCTGTCCATTAAAGTGTTTGAAAGGATTATTATATAGCTCTGTATAAACGGCTTTATGCCAAATATGATCTGATATTATGGAGGATCAAGAGCAGCGTTGAACAGAGTATTTGCTAAAGCTTATTGTAAACAGTCATCTGGCTTGTGCTCTTTCACCAATATTGTCATCTGCTTCAATCCTTTATTACGCTGCACTTCATAAATACGCTTTTAAGACGGCCAGCAAGCTTTTCCCTCTTATTAAATTTCACTTTCTGACATTTAAGTGCAAAGCAGATGAGGATGAGAAGGGGCGGCGGGGATTGCAGCCGTCACCGAGGCCGTCAGATGGCGCTGGAGAGGCTCCGCGGTCCCGCTGAGAGAGCTGAATGAGGTCCCAGTGTGATCTGGAACAGAGGCGGCAGCGGAGCACAGAACAAGTCCTGGAGGAGGCGTGAGCCCGAGGAACTCCACCGCCTGACTTTCATCGACATTCCTCCATGTGGCTGCTGTACGGAGCTGAGAAAATTGTGCACGGTGCGTAATTACGCACAAGAACGACGAATCTGCGGTGTTTGCTCGCAGTGGAAACCCGTGGACAAAGGAAGGCAGGCAGGCTGGAGTACAACAACTGACTTGGAAAGAGAGGAGTACTGTCGGAGGGGAAACGGGTGGATTCTGGAGTCGGAAGTGATTTCTCTCTTTTTTTTTTTTCGAAATGTAACTTGAAACGTCCAAGCAGTCAGTTTGGAAACCGAGGGTGGAAACGGACTTAAAGTGGAGTTTTGAGTGGAAAAGGTCTGCAATTCAGCATCCAGATCTTCGGAGCATGGGGTAAGTTGAAAGCCCGGGTCTGAAATGTGCAGCTTGATCTTCTCTGCTGTCCTGAAGTGGTTGTTCAGACAGAGAAAAGCTGAAGAAGTGAACTCTGACTGGACTTGTGAGGATTTTCTGTTCGTGTGCCTGTTTGGTCTGGTAATTCAGGACTTTCCAATCCGTTTGAATCAATCTATTGGAAAATGATCAGAAACCCAAGATTAACACCGACCCCATTTCTTTGTGTACATTCAGATGGTATACAACTCTAGCTGATACATGGACGGTTTGTTCAAAACTGACAGAACAAATGAAGCTGTACCCTTTATGTGTGAGTGTGTGTGTGCGTGTGTGTGTGTGTGTGTGTGTGTGTGTGTGTGTGTGTGTGTGTGTGTGTGTGTTGAATTATTCATGCCAGACTCCAGCTTGTTTCTAACACACCTGAACCCTCCTTGTATTACCAGAGTCGATGCTGTCAGCCTATCTCTCCTTGTAGGCCAATGTGGTGACACTTTAATTGAGATGCCATTCAAATAACTAACTGAGAACAACGTTGGAGCATCCTAAATAGCCCACTGTGTAATCTTTAGGGCTCAAACACTGTGAAGTGTGCTACCTTTAATTTAGCTCATGGAGTACACCTGAAAATGAGAAATTTACCCACAGAGTTGAGAAAAACATGATAATATGGCTTTTGGGGGGCCATCAGAGTTAAAAAACAACAACAACATGTGGCCCTTGGATGCTTTATTTTGTTAAGAGTTTGTGATAGAGACCCCCTCAGGTTGCCTCCAGTGCCCTTCCTGTGTATTTTACAAAACTTTTTATTTGTTTCTCCACATGTAGATGGTGTAGATGATGGAAACCTGAGTCCACATGCTACTAAGAGTTGACTTTTAAGACAATTTGGAGGCAATTTTCAAAAACAACATTTTTCTGCATCAGCCCTAATTTCTGTCAAATGTGATGATGAAGTTATTGTTTGCAAATGCTGTTTGATTTTATTGTCATTAACTATCCGAATAGATCACTTCTACAGTTATGGAAACTGTGATCTTGGGTGTCTACAGATGAGTAAAACTGCTCACTGATGCAAACTTCAACAGTAGAGCTGGATTAGGGATGCACCGATCCGATATTTGATATCGGTATCAGTACCAATACTGAAGAAAATTCTAGATCGGGTATCATGACAATGGGCCTGGTCTATTCAGTCTGACTCTACGCTATCCACTGTGCATGGCATCCACAAGTAAACATGCTGAGCGGTTGCCCACACTGTTTTCAAAATGGAGCGACCAAAGGGGTCTGCTATCTTGAACTTTATCACACTACCTCAGCCTACAAGCTTGACGACCACTTGCAACACCTGCGCAGTAAATGTTCTTAGGGGCAGTGGTAAAACTTCAAGTTACAACAAAAGGTAATTCAGTGCAGCGATTTTTGTATAGGAATCGGATCAGTATTGGCCGATACTAAACTGTAGATATCTGTATCGATATTGGAGGTGAAAACAGCGGATCGGTGCATTCCTAAGCATCCCTTTAGAGTCCCAAAAGTCCAGGCTGAACCTGCAGCCCTCTCACAACACACAGAAACTAATGATGCATTTAGGTGGTCTTCAAGAACATTTTTACAATTTCATTTTAGTAAGTGTTCAGGAAGGCAGGACAGAACAAGTGATCTCTGTTTATTTAAAAACAAATGAAATTAAAAAGAGGCAAACCTAGCTCTCTAAGGGAATGAGAGGAGACACACTGGTTGATTTCACAAAAGTTATGCTTAAAACACACCACCAAAATAGGACACAGAGGACGAGTGCTGCCATGCTGTTCTTGTAGTACAGTATTGGACCGTCATTGCTCCTCAATAGACAGAATATATAGTTTGATGTGGGGTTATCTTCATGTTGATGAGGAACTCCTGGATGCATCATTCAATTACCAAACTCTATGTCCCTATAAAAGAGTGCTTATACTGCAGGTAAGTGATTCACCAGAGATCTGCATACATTCACCAAAATCTCTTGGCTATTATCAAAGAGACTCTGAAACAAACAGCTGTGGACTTTTGTGTCAAAAATTTTACCCCAACTTTTTTTTTTTTTTTTTTTTACCTTATCTGCGTTTCTTTATCTAAAAATAGACATTCAAGAATATTTTTGTGATCTTTTTTGTGTTGCTTCCACGTTTGAATCATTGGCTGCTCAGTGCAACTTTTTTTCTAGGGGGGACTTGTTGGGGGGATATAACTCAATGTGACCTGTTACATATATGGACAACAAACAAGATATTATTTGTGCTGTTTAACTTGGATGATCTGTCCTGTTGTCTTGCTGCAGAGGAGTTGCCCACGAGCTGTAAAATGTTCCCGATACATCGAGAGAGGTACTAACGCACGGCGTCTTTGTGTTGTAGATCTGCATGGCAGGGATGGGCGATAACTCAAGATTAGTTTTTGATCTCCTCCCAGATTGATATTGAGCACCAGAGGACTTTTGTTGATGCTTTTAAGCAGAAAAAGCTGCTTACTGCCAGCGTGGACTTTCAGAATGAATTGATTTGATCAAATTTAGATGTGCATACTGAAATATTTTAATCCAGCTTTCTGTAAAAAAATCAAAAGTTTTGACTTCATAAAACTCACCAAATGCACATGTGTATTTATCCACATGGCTCTGCTTTGACTAATATCAAATCAGGATCTGCACTATTGATACTTTGGGGATCAATCAGCCCATCCCTACTTCATCAAACATTTGTCTACCACAGATCAAACTTCACCCACAGCTCATCTCCGTAATGTTCCTCCTCTCCCTCATATCTGTGGAAATGTTTACTGTACTGTGAACTATGAAGCAGAGAGGAGGCGTCATCCTCGTCTCTGGTGTGCAGATGTCGTCTGCATGCTCTCCTCCTCTCACTGTTGTTGGGTGGTGTCTCCTGCATCAGATTGTCTTTCCGTCAGTTTTTCCATTACAGCTCAAACGCTCCATAAATCGCTGTATTTTGTCTGTAATCAGATTTTTAAAGTTGCTGGTATGTGTTTATGTCAAGTGTCTTGATACAAAAAAGTGCAAGAAAATACATGAGGCTGATATGAGGAGATATAAAGAAACTTAAAACCTCATGAGACTTATGCAGCAATACCTAGGCCTTCTCATACTACACCCAGGCTGTCCACAACAATACCAATCGACTCAGTGAGGCTACACTAAAGATGGAGAATGCTGTCACATTAACTACAACTCTAGTTGTACTAAAACTCTGCTGTTTTGGTGAACTACTTAGCGCTGTGCTAAACGTATGCAGTAGCTTAATACTTGTGTTTTTGATTAAAAAAGAGGTGTCAAACCATAGAGGTGTTATTTCTGAAACTTTTGAAATTTAATGGTTTCTTGAAGAGAGAGAAAATAAGATTTTTATCACTAAAGTAGCTTAACTCACCCTCTGTTGCTAGCTAAAAGTAGTTGGTTGTTGGTCCTATGCTAATCGTCTCCAGGCTCGAGCTCCCCCACATAAGAAACAGACAGCCCGCTCTGTAAGCACTTGTTAGAGTTGTTAAAATGTGATGTATTATAAGTCGGTGGCACGGCAGGTCACTGTAATCATCTTTCTACATAATTACAAAGGAGTCATGTGAGGGAACGGTGATACTGCTGCCCGTATTATCTCATTTACAGTTTAAATCTGTCTTAATGTCCCCCTGCAGCTTCCCTTTATAGCACAGAGGACGTCTAGTCTTTGATTTCAGTAGGAACATAATCAATTAATCTGCAGCAAAACATCATTAAAACTGTTTAGTGTCTGCGTCCTCCCACTGCCCAAGGAGAAAGCAGCTGCTCTCTGGGGAGAAGGGCCCCTTAAATGCTGTTATGGAGACATCTGTAGTTGCATGAATACACAGTCATCTTAGCTAAATCTTTTTCCATTTACTTAATTTCCCCGCTTTTTATTGGCATGCAGTCAGAGCTGCCGGAGGGTCTTTGTCCCCTCTCTCTCTCTCTCTCTCTCTCTCTCTCTGCCCCTCATATTGTGAATACAGAAAACTCTACAGCTTACCTTCACAGTGTAAGACAGCCGTAAGTAAGACATCAGCCAGACTCCTGTTAGAGGATCTGACCTTCAGATAAGTGAAGTGTCCTGCTGCTGTTGAACACCATCAGAGCTCATGGTTCTGGCACTTCTCCAATTCTTACCAATGAAAGGTCAAACCCTAGAAACCGAGACGCACAATCCTTGTTTATACTTTGCAGCAGTGTAACAATCTCATGTTGTGTTGCGTGCATTGGACTTGTTCAGCGGCTAGTGTTTCCCCTCACAGTGCTATTTTGGTATGTGGTTGTAGCGTGTCATGTTGTCGGACTGGGCCAGACGTTTTTCTCTGGCTGAGGAATGTGGACACGAGGCTGCTCGCTGTCTCTGAGGTCAGAGGAAGCAGACCCTTTCAATAAGAAGAGGAACAGAAAGAGAAACCACCAGAAAGAGGAGCCATGATTCTTTTTTCTCCTTTTCCTGTGTGAAGACTGAAATCCCATGAGGCTAAGACACACAGAAGAGATCTGGTGGTGTGTTTGTCTGAATGCACAGATGGTGAAAAATGATGCTCTGCTGAAGCAGTCAGCTGACACTCTCATCCAGACGGAATTCAGCTCCTTTTCAAGCCTGTGGGTCAGCATGAGCTATTCAGCCTGACAGGGTTTTTAGGATTACTGATATTTTACTAATATTAAAGGGATATTCCGGGGTAAAATTAAGTTAGGGTCAAACACATCGTAGACACCCCGTTGCCGACCACTTGCTTCCCTAGTTATACCAACTTAAGAAACGACCGCATGATAGCAATACAGAGAGCCACACGCTCAACCAAAACGCCACTCTATCACCACAAATAATGCTCAGAACAGCACCTAACTTCATCAACAGTACACAAAGGGTCCCAGCCATAGTACTAGCCACCAAACATATTTTTAGCTTTGCCTAATTTCTTTAACCAAGAGACTAAACACAACTCCCCCACTCTCTTCCAGCGGCCGCTTGTTTGAAGTGAGACCTCAGGTGAGTCCATCGATGTAGCCGTGTGACGCAGCTCAAGGAAGAACATTTACATTTCTTCATGGAAATGCAATCAGACTGAGATGCTAAGGCAGAAGAACTACAGCGTCTGCAGAGCAAAATGATGAATATGGGGATTATTATTTCAAGGAAATGATAAAGTCATGATCATAAATGTTCTTCCTTGAGCTGCGCACCCCCGCTGCATTAGATGATCTCGCCTGGAGGTCTTCGTACAAACAAGTGGCTGCTGAAAGAGAGAAGGTGCGCAGTGTTTGCTTAAGAAATCAGGCAAAGTTAAAAAGATGTTTGGTGGCTAGTGCTATGGCTGGGACCCTTTATGTACTGTTGATGAAGTTAGGTGCTGTTCTGAGCATTATTTGTGGCTATAGAGTGGCGTTGAAATTGTTGAGTAGTAATATTACTAAACTGACAGCTTAGATGAAACAATATGTCCATACATTTATTTAAATAGTGTATGGTTGTCGCAGTTGAACGGATCACTGAAAACTGATTTTAATGTAAGTGATGTGAACTAAAACAGCAGTGGTATCTCTCTGTGAAAACACATTTTCAAGTTTAAACAAAGCCGGTATGCCATCAGCAACCCCAGACAGACCAAAGCCCAGTTCACACGTGGTCCTCAGGCAATTTCCAGGCAATCAGGTCCTGACATTTTCAGGACTTGCCCTTTCACACATAGAGCACACAGTTGGAGATTGTTCATGTCCAACCTCAAATACCCTGTTTGGTCCCGGTGATCAGCAGTGTCTGGTGAGAGTGTGCAGGAGGAGTCTTTGCAATGGTGTCTGTTTCTTGTGTAATATCTTTACAACATGAATGAGTTTCCTCAATAACAGCACAGCGAGTTGAAAGCATGAAACAGAGAAGTGAGGAAAGAAATGAAGCTGCAAAACTCTGTTAGTGTGGATGACTTCACCAAACTGCCCACTTGTGGTGAAAGTTGTAGATTTTTTTTAGACAGTACATTTTTTTTGCAGCCTCATTAAACCCAGAAAAGTCTTTACTTTGGTTTAAAAAATAATATGACAATAGTCAAAAAATTTGTATGCACACAATGAGAAGCAGAAGACCTGGTCACAAAGGGGTTTTTACCTCTAGTAAGGGGTATGCTGTGAAAAAAAAGGCAGGTAAAAGTCCAGATTTTGGATTTGACAGCCCTGAAATACATGTGACGATGCCCTTTTCAAAGGATTTTACACGGTGACAGAGGGGGTGGTGTTTTCAAGAGATGCCACTCTAAAACCCAGTTTTAAAAGTTTGCTCTTGTACAGCCCACAATGCTGTTTTCATCTAAAGCTCTATTGAACGTGTTTCTGTGTAAACAGCCCCTCAGGTCTACCTGCAGTGTCCACACATTTGTTAAAGTTCATTCAGAGTCTGGGTTTAATGGATTTGGACACACCGTTTTACATTTTTCCATGCAGCCCACCGTGTGATAACGGGATAAATTCAGGAGTGCAGTGCACTTTCCAAAGGGACTAAAGCCGAATCTAATATTTTAGGAGCTTTTTAGTGTGGTACTCTTTAGAAATCAGAAAATCCTTTAACCGTCTTTTGACCCATCAAATAAATGGCAAATTGTTCCAGCTGTACATTTTTTCACCGGTCTTGTGGGGTCTTTTTCAACCTTGGATTAACAACAAACCCGCGTTAATGTGCAGTCATATTTTTCCAGCTGACTCTTTTTATAGATTTTCTGGCTTGGGGAATAATCTACCTCCAATCGCTCTTTTTCCTTTCTCCATTAAATATGATTTATTTTTGCCATTATGGCTTTATTCAGGGCATCTGAAGAGAGACAGGAAATATTCAAAGTCAGGTTCAGCACAGAGCAGAGAGTCCTGCCAACTGAGACCCCTTTGCTTCTTCATTAGATTCACTCTTTGTTATGAATATAATCATTATGATCTGTTTCATGAAACTTTTGCCGCTGTTATCTGTTAAAATAACTCTCGTATTGGTGAAATCATCACAAAATTTGAGTTAATAAAGTTTAAATTTTTGTACAAGACATTTCCTGGCTTCGCTCTGACCCTCCTTCATCACACCTCCTGTCAGCTGTCAGCTTTTGTTTCAAGTGTGAACGCTAGCTTTTAAGCGCAACCAACAGGACTGTTGGCAGCAAGTTTTGTAGCTATTTACAGCCGGCAGAGCTTATAGGCTCCATTACTGGCAGTCTGAGGGGCATGCTCTCCTCTATAGAAGAAATTAGTTGGGTCTGACTGTGGGGCCAGACAGAGGGGTGAAGCTCTTGTATCACAGATTATAGATTTGGGGTTGTTGAATGGGTGCTGAAGTTAAGAGGACAGATGAAGAGAGCAGAAAGAGAGGATTAAAAAGTGATGGCTCGGGGCAAAGACACACAGCTCTCAGACAGCACGATAATAGTGTGTGTGTGTTAGTGTGTCTGAATGGCAGCAACTAGACACAAAATAAGAAATATAATTGGAAAGTTTTGAAAACTTTTTGGTTTAAGGTTATAAAAAGGTCATGCCTGCATATTTGAAAAATAAGATGGTTAAAAAGGCAATAATGAGACGCTGCGGTAAAGAGGACGAGCAGACAGATTTTGTGTTTCTCAGGAGATCCTTTCGCTGCGTGGCGGGTTGAATGTGTCAGTTGTTGATTTTATCGATTAAACTGGTGTCCTGCAGTGAAGTTGTCAGGTTGTTTGACAGCTCTCCAATTTCCGAGTCTTTCATGCAAATTTCCTCCATTTGTGCAGATGCTTATCATATAGCACACGAGGAAAAAAAACAGTAGATCTGAAACACGGAAAAGTCAGCTGAAGGATTGTGTGTGATTTAGACTAATATGAAAAGATTCAGTCTGTATCATCACCCAAATGTGTCTTTCCAGCTAACAAGTAATGCCCCACAGCCACAGGGTAGAGTAATCTGGACATCAGATATCCCCTTCTTTACACTCCTGATCTAAACCTCATTAAGAGACAACCACTTTTACTAATTTGATCAGGGGTGAAAGTAGGATAAGGTTCTTGCAGGTGCTGTACCTGTAGGCTTTGTTCAAGAGGAGCACACCCAAGTTTAACGGGGTGCAGACTCTGATGCCACAGTATCATCATTTGCTGCATCTCAAACATAAAATCAGTTTTTCTCTGCATTTTGTTTTATGTCTGCATTAAGATCGAAGCAGCTGTCTCTTTAAAAAAGGCGGGAGGTGGTCCCCAGCGCCTAGGCAACCAGCGTCCAATCGAAAGTGTGCAGTGAGTGCTCCCACTTCTAGAGTTTGTTTGTTTAGGGAAGCAGATATGACTCACTCACAAGCAGCACGATCCTGTTGGATTACTACGGTTACAATGTAGAGTTCAGACTGACGTGCATCAACATGGTGGGTGAAAGTTTGCGTACCTTTGCTAACGGCTGTAAACTGCTGTTTATGTCTTCTCGGTAAGGCGTACCGCTGCGTACCGGCTTACTTTCACCCTCATGTATGATGTGTATCTTTCTTTAGCTACTTCACTGGTTTCCAGTGTATCTACAGGGTTTGGCCATTTCTGTTAGCATGCCATGGTTCTCAGGACAGACATCTATAATTTAGCTTTCCAAATAGATGTATGTTCATGCAGAATGATGCTTTTTCACTATTGTTAAGATTTCTGTTATCCTGTGAGCTGTACTGTCTCCCTTTTCCTGTTTCGGTCTTTTCTTATTGTCCATATTTTGTATTTTACTGACTATCTTTGTGTTTGTTCCAATGAAAGGCTACAATTTCTTAACAAAAAAAAAAACACATCAGTGGAGCTACGTATGGCTGGTTCAGGTTGGTTTCAGAGCCCCCTGATGACAAAGATTTGGTGGCTTAGAGATAGTAAAATGTTTGTACCAGTGGCGATTGCTCTAAGACTGCAAGGGAAGCTCGGCTTCCCTTAAAATGTCACCCCCCCAAAAAAAGAAAAAGTGGTGAAATACGTACTGCTGTGTGTACATTTCATTAACTAAATACGTACTAGAAAGCCTTCATCTTTTGTTCAGACACTGTGATAAGAAGCTGATAATCACAGGTAACCGGCATAACTTCGTTCTCATTCATCCTCGCAGCGCCTCAGCGCTTTAAACAGCCGGACGCTGGGCTTCTGCTGACTTCAATGTGGAAGCTAAAAGTGGGTTGTTCCAGCAGCGAAACTAGACGCTCATTGGATAAATGCTGGGCTTTGTCCCGCCCAATGGAAGCTAAGCTTCACTGGAGTTCTATGGCGAGAGGGCGGTCCCGACTTTCTCCCGGACTGCAAGCTTCTGCATCCATGATTGGATGAGCTGTCTGAGGCGAAATCCTTTATTGATTGACAGCTAAACAAGCGAATCAGCGATCTTGAAGAATAAAACATCTACCAGAGCATTTTCCAAGTCATTCATTCCGTTGTTCTTAACTGCTCCGGAGACTTTACCGATCCTCAGCGACTTCTGTCTTTATTAAAAACGACTGCCGTTGTGTTTGGCGACTCTGTTCTGTTACATACTAATAAACAAATACAATTATGATGTAGGCCAGAAAAATGAGCTTCCCCTCATTGAAAGACCAGCAGCCGCCACTGGTTTGTACCTATATTAGACGTGTTTCTATTCCAGAGGAGGTAAATAGCTTTTATCTGAGATGTTTGAGCAGTCATCTGGAGCCAGCATGAGGACATGCTGTGAATGAAGCCACGCAGGTCAAAGGAAGTGTATTAAGTCTCCTTGTGGAAAACTCATCCCTCATACTGTTTGACTTCTGACTTATCCAGAGGGAGCGATCATAGAAAAGCCTCTGTTTAGAACTTTTTGCAGGCTGCAGCCAAATACAGTTTTGGTATTTTCCCGGCCCTGAGAGACTGATTTCATCCATGTGAAAGTTGACCTGATAAAGAGCCTGAACTCTCAACAGAAGCTTTTCCAGAAGACACACAGGAGGAGAAAAAAAAGAGGGTTGATTGGCTGGGTTTGACTTATCAGAGCTATCATCCTGAATGTGCACTCATAACCTCGAAATTCATCTAAAGGCATCATCGTAATTAATTTATCATGAGGGTGGAGTGTAGCTGATGGCCTCGGGGCTGCGTGCCTTTCCCTCTATTGGTTGTCATTGCTGAGCCTTTGTTGGGGAATGTGCAGGGCAGATAGCAGACTTAAGACCAACTCAAAGCTTCCACCATCAGCTCAGACTCAGCTGCTTTGCTCTCCTTCTCTATCTCTGTCAATGGAAGTATATCAAATAAAGGTTTTCTGCAGGCAAACTCTCAGAAGTGTCTTTGATGGAAAGTGTAGTTTAAAATCCGTCAGTTGGCTTCACGTCAAAATCATCAGATGATCAAGCGCTGACAGGCACATGCCTCAGACTGCTGCAGATTTGTGCGATGCGTGAGTACAGAGACGTGCAGGAGGGAAGATAAAATGTCCCAGAAAGGCATGTAGACTGTTTGTGCCCGTAGAGGTTTGAACCACACTTGAGGATTCAGCCGTGTTCCCCTGCCGGCCTGCCTGCCTGCCTGGCTCAGATCCCAGAAGAGCTTTCTCTCCTGTGGCTCCCAGGTTTTTCCTGTCAATCTTTTTTTTCCGTTTCCTCATTCTGACCCTGAATGCTAATACAAAAAAATCCCAAAGAGGATGTGCTTGCTTATCCACTTTATTAAAGACAAAAGTTGTTTTCTAAAACCTGCTCAGCAAACTTCTCAGGTACATCTTATTAGTTTGAAGAACTTCTCTAATTTAGCCTGAGTCTAAGCAATTATTCTCCACTTTCATTGTTATTTGAGCTGTATGCCTTCTGTTTTGATAATCAATAAATATTAAAATGAATTTTTCAAGAGAGATGGTGAACATTATGTAAGTGACTGAAAATGTTGGAGCAGCTTGTTTTGTCACTCTCCTCACAGATTCACGTCGCACTAACACAGTTTAGATTCTCACATCTGAATATAAAAATGTAAAAGGGCAGATTATTCTTCTACAAACTTGTCTGACTTTGACCTTTTTATTTACTGAGCTGTAATCTGAACACTGCACCACTGCATTAATGCATGGATGAGTGGCGGGTATTGTGTACTGTATATGATGGAGGGGGTTGGGTGGGCGGATGCATCTTTGACCTAGAATAGATTAACAGTGATTGATCCAGATGACCCCTTCTCTGGATGTAGGCCTCAGGCTCACAGAGGGAGGTGGGGGGCCCTAAACAGAGAGCTACATGCTCAGAGAGCAAACCAGCAAAATAACCAATTTCATTAAATATGTCACAACTCGTGAACCTGAACCCTTCAGAAAGAACTGATGTATAACGGCCTGAACATGAAAAGAGGGGGAGTAGGGGAGAGTGGGGTAAGATGAGCCATTTTTTCATATTTCAGATCACTACATCAAGGCGATCATAGTTTTGTCTATGTGTATCTGCATATATTTCAAGTTGTTGTGCATCCCTGCAAACCAACAGGGTCTTTTTTGGTCTGAACATAATTCTAATAAAACCTATGACAGACTAAATTCACTTCCAAGGTTGGAAATTATTTTTTTGTAAATAAATGTCTAACCCCTTCACCCATGTGCTTCTAACCTTCACAGACTACATGAATTGATGCCCATCTCCTAAATATTTGGTCACATGATCAATTTCTTTGATCGTTTCCAAGCAACAGGGGGTGGCTCAACTTACCCCACTCTCCCCTATATGTAGTCTCTTCTCATGAACACAACAAACCTGACCCGTTCAAAGGTACTTACACTATGTCCTGCCAACATCCCCATCTACGAAGACTTGTTTTTACCCTTGTTTCTCCCCACTATTTTGGCCTGATACATTTATATTAAAGATGAGGTGTAATCGAGGCTCCTCACATCCTGAACAGGCTATTTAAAAAGAGCTCATGGTTAGCCCAAGATTAGCTTGCTATCACCAACTGAGCTACACCACCTTGATTCACTCTTAGCATTCAGTGATTTTTAAATGATAAGCTAGCAAAATCAGCTTTTAAAATGTGATTTTGGTTGAATTAGCTGTCCACTTGTTTGCTAAATTGAGAGCATGAGAGTTTATTCAGCTCTGTGGTTGACTGGTCGTATCAAGGGCTTGAGTTTGTTGTTATTGTTGGGACTTTGTGATGCTGTTGTTGTAGCAGTAGAGCTACAAGGCAAGAAATTTACCAATGCCCATACATGTGACATCTTGAATCACCAAAACTGTTCAGTGTCCTTTGAAGAAAAGACTGTTAAGAGCTCTCTGGGCAAACAAGGACAGGGAAAGTCTAATTTCAACTTTGGTATTTTTATCCTGTCACTCAGTGGTTGGATGCAGCAGATTGATCGTGAGTTTTTTGTCATCTTGCTAAATGTTGGATACGCTCAGAAGTCAACCATTTATTGATTCATAAATTTACGATATTCGCAGACAGCTCCTCAGGTCATCAGATACAAACATGGATCCGCTTTTACCCAGTCATGCTGAGTTTTCCTCTTGTAACACCTGATTTAATTAAGAACTACTCGGTTTCATGTTAATTAGATCTGGTGTGTGTAAAGAAGCAGACTCTGCTCTCCTTCAGGCTTCTCTGACTGTCAAGCTGTTCCATGTTTGCTCTCCCGAACCTCAGGAGGATTTTAATCCAGTTTTAATCTGCTCATATCATCAAACCTCGATGTGATGCATCCTGTCTGAGCTGATTAGCTTGACGGGCTTTTCACGGAGCTACGTCGAGGCAGGACCACATGAATGACGGGACATTATTTTTTGTGTGATCTGCTGTGACGGCTGGGAGCTGATGAGCTTTCAGTCATCTTTTCTCATTAAGATAAGAATACGATAGAATAGAAATCCTGACAGAAGCTGTTTTACCTTGATGGTAAACGTTATTTACTTTACCCGATTGCCTTGCTGCTTTTAATGCCCTGTATATAATTACAACAACCATTCATTATTTTTATAGAGCGTAATTAAATCCTTCATGGTGCCTGATTCAAGTGCAATATTTTGAGTAGGATTTTACCCCCTGACAAGGAGATGAATTTCGAGGTTTATCTCAAACCTCATATCCAGCAATCTTTCATTAAAGGCTTTGTTGAAACATCCTGAGCACTAGCTTTGCTGATCTGTACTCTAAACCGTGGCGTACTTTAACACTTCCTGTGGAATCAAGGTGTGAAGCAGTTTTCCTAGAGTTTGACAACACAAGCCCTCTTGGACTTGTACAAAAATTTCTTCAAAAATTTCTCATCACAAAACTAGAATCAACACTTGAGACTCTGATGAAGTAACATCCAAAGATTTGTTAATTTCACAAACAGAAAATCCTGCTACAGGTGGGATTTCTGCAATGAAGTAGTAGGGCAAACAACAGTTCCAAACACTTGGACAAAAAGTGAAAAATCTCATGAAATTCAAAGAGTGAATAAAAATACAACAAATATTCAACAACATGAAGACTAAAGCTCATATTTCATGATGATATATGGACTATTGTTAGTTAACCTGGCAGTTATTAGCTGGTTTACACTCATTAGCCTCTTTCTGTCATGCTCATGTATTCCCTCTGTCTTACTAACACACACAGACACACACACTGGCCTTCTCCTGACCCTCCTGGTGGCAGTGCTTCATTGCTCTCCTCTGTCCACCTCTGGCTGCATAAAAGTTTGCACTGCTGTAGCACAACACACTGTGTGACCCTGTATGTTAAATTCATGTTACCCAGCCCTGGATAAAACAACAACATTTGGGTTTAGGTGTGTCGTTTGTCACTGATAACAGGATGTTGCCCAAACTTTATGTTTAGAAACTTCTTTTGTAGTTTGAAAAAGTGACACCAAAATGACGTCACAATCAGTCCAGTGGGGTAAAAATATCATGCGTGACATCTTGGGAGGTTTATATATTCAACATATATTTTAGCAGCTATATTCATAGATGTTCATGTGTTACAGCAGCAGGCATAAATTACAGCACAATTATACTGTGAAGGAATGCTCTAGTTTGATTGGATTTCTTTTGAAGGTAAAAGCTCAGGTGTAAAAATAACCATTAATTGCTTCTTACCATTTGGATCCAGGGTGTTCATAAAGAAAAAAAACAGCGCAGCTCTTAGCGGGACCCTGAGAAAATGGAGCAGTGATTTGTTGATGTTCTGGACCAGAATCAATGTTGAAATTTGTTGCAGACCAGTGAAATCATTGAAAGTCAATGACGTCATTGTGTGTGGTTTATGCTGGATGCATAGCAGTTGAGCAGAGTTGAATTTGTAAGAAGTGACACCGCTGGTAAAATGAGGAACAACTCTGCATTTTGTGGACATTAAGGTTTATTGCTATCATAGGTTTTTCCGTTGCTTTTATAATGACAATATATGCTCCTGAAGGCTCTGCAGCTCTGAATAATTTACATTCCTGCTATAGGTAGCATATTTGATCCAATTTTAAGGGTCTGAAACATCACAGTTGGAGACTTACTTTATTATTCAGTGACTCCACGTTTTCCAGGTAACCAAGACCTATTTCTGTATCAGTTATGATTTATCGCACCTCTACCTGCTCCCTCCCTGGACTCAATCAGCTTCTTTGGCTGTGCTGCTGTGGTCCATTGTGAATCTCAGCTACAGTAATCTGTGTCGAAACAATAACCACTATTGTTTATATGCAAATTTAAAGTATTTTACGCCAAATCCAAAGGGGACAATGCTTCATATAGCTGGTGCTGACCTACATAAATGGTTATTTCTCTTGCTCCGACAAAGAAAAGAACCTCCCCCTTGCGCACACCATCCTCATTAATGGCAGTGAATAATTGACTTGCAATGGGGAATGGCTCATTGCATACATTAACTTTGTGAAGGCTGTATTAGCTGTGTAATGTTGCATGAGCAGTCCCTCATTGTCCTGTGAGCCTCCGACGCCTCCATCCCTTTGTTAGTCCCCACAGCGAGTACGAAGTTCTTCAAAGAGAGCGGGACGGCTAATTGGACTGCTAGCGGTTAGCTCTTTATACACCAATAGCCTCATTACATCTGGAGAGCATCAGTGACCCAAGGTCCCTGAAAACACAATCACATTTGGGGTTTGGGGTTATTTTTCAACCTATTTATAGATCGATCCACCATTAGAGTCCACTGAGTGGCAGAGAGGGGCCCCAGAGTGCCGGGCAAAGTCAATGACTCGCAGTTAAACAGACGAACAAGATGAAAATGATAATGATGTTCAGCAAATTATAATGTAGGGTACAGATGTTTCAGCCTTTTGGCTCTCATCAGTGAACTAAAATGTGAGTGATATTTCTGTTATCGTCTTTCAGTCGTGTTTCATCAGTATGGATCTAAAGGCATTCTCGTCAAAGGCACTTTTTCATACTAAAGCACGTGAAGCTCACTCACAGAAATTTCTAAGAAAACTACACATACAAATAATACCCATAGATAACTGGTTAATTTAATACTGCAGATAAACTGAACTTTCAAACAGTAGGTAGTACTGATTAAAACTGGGAGCTCTTTCTGTCTTCAGAGACTCAAACTGTTTTTGTTACAAACATCCTGATTGCTTTGCCATGCTTATACCGCCTCCAGCCAGTGTTTGGACCGTCTCGATATGATGCCGTTTAATTGTTTTAAGTTTCCACAAATACAGGTAAATCTAGTCAATTAAATGTCCCTCTTTGACTTCAGCTCTGTCTCCTTTTCATAAATAATTTGCAACAGGTTTGCAGAAAAATATCAAATCACCTTTTTAGTAACAAAAGCGAATGACTGATGTGAACTTAAACTTTTTCTAAGCTGCTTATATGTTTGTTTTATCATAACACGAACACATGACAACATTTTTATGTGCTTGATTTATCCATGCATTATTTCTGTGTGTTTGTGTCTGTGCATTGTTTGTGGTTCATGTTTTCCTCACTTGTTTGTGTAAAATTGTTTATTATGATGGCGTATTAGATTTTACAGATAACTTGCGTCTTTCGGCTCATCAGCCCCATGTTTTTATCAGAAGTATGAAAAGATTGTACAAAAAACTGAATATTAATCCAATTACTTATGTGTAATTTCTTCCTCCTAATTTTATGACCTTATGTCTGAAAATGTAACTCATCAAGTAAATTGCAAAAAACTGCAAGCCAGCTAACATTTATTAATGATGCTGACTTTACACCGGTGTTTTGTATCATAAAATAACTGAAAACTGTAATAACGCCAAAACAAAAACATTAATTTGTTCTTTACTGTTGTGATTTTTTTCTTCTGAAGGGAGCAGCCCATCTACAGTGCTAGAGCTCATGTCTTCCAGATCGACCCGGCCACCAAACGCAACTGGCTGCCGGCCAGCAAGCATGCCGTCACCGTGTCCTTCTTCTATGATGCCAGCCGCAGCGTCTACCGCATCATCAGTGTGGGCGGGACAAAGGTGGGAACCAATCAGAATAATCATCTAATCAAACATTCAAGTGTTCACAACTTTCACTATACCAAATCACAGACTTTGTTTGTGTTTGGGCATAGGTGTGGATTTTATGGGAATACGTCTGTCTGTCATTTTTAAGAGGTGAAACTGTAAAGAGGCGACAACGACACATTGTGTGACCTTCATATTCTAAAAAGCATCTTTGCATTATCAGCCGCTTTCAGAGAGGTCTATTTATAAAACTGTATTTTTATTGTTATTGCAGTTTTTTGCTAAATAAAGTTGACAGTAGATACAGGATGTGAGCCTTTTATGAGCTTCTACAGGACCGAAATGACCCTTGTTGCGCTTAGCAGTGATTATATAATATTTGCCTCTAAGTGTTACTGTGTTGAAGAGAGCGTTTAGTTGCGCATACATCATATTCCCCTGACTAAGATTTTATTTAGCCTCCTCTTTTCCAGATAAAGAGGAAATAAATCGGTTTCTCTTTGGTTTTGGCTGTCAGGGGGCAGAGAATGCATTAGTCAAAGATGCATAAATTGTCAGCAGAATATTAATAACACACACACTCACTCACACACACATACAGGCAATCCAGCATCCAAAACAACGGGAAGACACCTGGGAATGCAAACACTAACAGCAGATCTTGTTAGCACCAAACTCAGAGAGAATTCTGCACTTTGTAGTTATCAGCCAATTGAGCCCAACTGAGTGCCCTGAGACTTGAAGCTTTTGGAGGAGAGACCAAAGAACTCCACATTTGGCAAAAAATCCACCTAATCAGACCGTTCACCGGAGAGAGGAAGTGAACAGATCATTGCACAGCACAACAAGCTTTTTCCTTAGCTCTTAGTTCTGTGTTGGGATCGCTGGATATTTTGTCTTTATTTGCATACACAGTTCTCCAGTACACCTCCATGAAGACACACTTCACAGGAATATAGTATGGAAGGGATAATGCAGGTTGTTATACTTTTGGAAGTCTCAAAAGATTGTGAAGTTCTTGTCCCAGTCTGTCCCAGCTACATGTTTGATCAGTAATTTTACTCTAAATATTCTCTTTCAGATTATTTTACTGATTTAAAAATGATCATGTTTGATCAAAAATTTCTGCTACAGCCTACAGTTTTATTTTTTAACGTCTTCTGTCAAATCAACCCTACTTGTTTCTGTGCATCAGTATGACTAAAGTCAGCCCAGCAGAGTCAATTATTAAAACTGCAGCATGTTCTGCATAGCAACAGTGTGCCATCTTGAAATAACAGCCCGTTGCTATGAACTGTTGCTATGTACTGACTAATCAGAATCAAGCATTTTATAAATTCATGTTTAAAGAACTTTCTTTCACATAAAATGTTAATGAGCGCACTAAAGAAATAAACACATCCATGTTCTCTGTTTGAGCTGCTGCCCTGAGACAGATTGGCCTCTTTGTAGCAGTGGGCCTTAATGAATTTGGCATTTAAAGGTGACAGAAATAAATCATGGCTGCCTTGTTAGTTCTGGACAGTGTCAGCTCTTTGTTTTTAAAAATTACCTTAAAAAAAATGGATTTTATAGCAGTTGCATGGTTGATAAATGAATGAATGAGTGAATGAATGAATGAATGAATGAATGAGTGAATGCTTCTGTGCGTATGAGTAAATAACCCGGCCATGTTGAGTTGGATTCTGTCATAATAAAAGATACTGAAGTTGAAGTTGATTCCCTGAAAACACAGGTTTACCAACAAATGTGCGAAGTTTCTTAGATTTCTGTTTTTTAATGTTGCTAAAAATTAAAATATATTGAACACCATGTAAAGCCTGAATTAAAAATTAGATACAGATAAAAAGCGGGGTTGTGTCTGAAGTAAAAAATGTTTGAATAAAATCATTAAAACAAATCAAAAAAGACCCAAAATATTTCCCTCCTTATCATAATTTAAATTCATTTCAATATTTAAATAATGAACACCTTCACTGAACATATGACTAACTTTGATTCTCTGAGTGTGAATCATGTTATTTTTCACATAGTGAATCAATTTCCTCCTTGGATCATGTATCTACTCTTTAAGTTCATGTATTCATTACTCTTTGTATCTTCTCTGATCTCAGGCAATCATCAACAGCACCATCACACCTAACATGACATTCACCAAAACCTCCCAGAAGTTTGGGCAGTGGGCGGACAGCCGGGCCAACACCGTCTATGGACTGGGCTTCTCCACAGAGCAGCAGCTACAGCAGGTGAGCAACACACAAAAATATAAACACGTCAGCAGCATTCAAACTTAAATACAGAGAAGAAAAGTGTCATTCATGAGGTATTAGATAGAGCGACGGCAAATCATCATCATGGTCATTATTTGCAAGTCATGATTTAGTCTAGTGCAGCTGTATTGTATCTTGGCATATCTGTACATGTGGAAATGCAAAATGTTACATACCTGTCAAAGATAAAAAAAAAAAAACCTGCAGAGAACATTTGTGCACACCTCTTCTACCTGACAAAACACAAGTGTTAGGTACGGTGTGTGAATTTTTGAGGTTTTCTTATCTGACACAGTTTACCTTCTCTCCTCCTGCAGTTTGCGGAGCAGTTCAAGGAGGTGAAAGAGGCTGCTCGTCTGGCCAGGGAGAAATCTCAGGAGAGGTTTGAACTGGCTAACCCTGCACTCAACATCGCTGCACCAGAGGTAAAGCACCGCTATTCTCTCTAAAAGGTCTTGTGTGCTTTCCCAATTTTTCAAGTTATGTTTGCTGATCAAAGCGAGTGGAAAGCAAAATTTAGCCAGAATGATGAAATTTTTGAATCGTTCATATTATGACAAATGAGACAAGAAGAAAATCAGTCATTCTCTGATAGAAATGAATGCATTTTAATGCTTATATGTCAGTCTTTTATAAATTCACAATAAATCCCTTCATGAAAGCTTTTGCATTTGCAGATTTGAAAAGAAAACCCACCTAAAAATGTTGAAAGATATGCGGGTTAGGGTTGAGGACCAGAGGGTCACCACTTCAGGTCTCTTCAGCTCTACAGGAGCTTTAAAAACCACTTGGCTTGTTTTGCTCTACTTTACAACTGAAATTTGAAAATATAAGACAGCAAGTTTAGGTTGTAATAAGTGGACCTGTGACCTACAAGAGACATGACGGTCTTTCAAACCCTAGAGAAAGAGGAGAGCTGTAATATCCCGATGAACTCTGTCCCTTTGTTTCTATTTTAAACATATAACAGGGATTAGATGGATCCCCATCTGGCTGCTCCATTATTCTCCCTTTGGTTAACTCCATTAAAAGATTTCATGCATGAAAAATGGAGAGGGGAAGCAGAAAGAGACGTCGGCGCTGAAGGTGTTTGAAGGGACGGTAATGGCGGGGTCTGAAAGAAAAAAGAAAGAGGGATCAAGAGTATGGAGAGAAGAGAGGGGGATGATGGGATAGAGGAGGGAGGGGAGCTAAATCATCTATAATTGAGGGAATCTGGCTGCTGCTGAAACGACAATGGCCAGGCCTTATCCTGCCAGCGCTGGTGATTTCTTGGTGGACCTGATAATTCTGCTGCTCAGCCAGAGAGGTGGAAGTTTGCCTGCAGTGGAAACTTTTTGTCCTTCACTTTGTCGTCTTTGCACAACAAGCTGCCCTGTAGTGACCTTAAACACACACACACACAGACAGACACAAACACAGCGCAGTATTTTTAAGGGAAATTCTCCTGACATTTAGGGCATTAACTAGAACACGCCCTGTTTGGATGGCTGTGATTTGATTGTGCAAACATGGGAGGAACAGAACCACATGTGAACTTTGGGAAAGCTGTGGAGCTGCTCTGCTCTGTGTGTGAGTGATTTCTGCCAAGTATTAGGATTAAGAGAGCGTTGAAGTGGCAGGGATTCAAAACGGAAAAGTGTGTGTGTGTGTGTGTGTGTGTGTGTGTGCGCCCACATTGTGAGGAGATCCAAACAAAGCGGCACTCAGCAGGTCTGAGGGACTGCAGAGTCATGGTGTAAACTGCAACCTCGCTGAGTGATAAGAGTTGATGGTCTCTTGTCTATTTATCAAGTGTAGCAAAGAGAGCAGACTCAAAACAGAGCAACAGCATCCAGAAGAGTGACAGGAACTAAATTTCAGAGCAAGAGTTGAACAATATCGAACAAACTTGCTGACATTCAAAGGTTAAGCTGGTTCAATAAGGCCTTTGGTGCTTTTTGAAGTGCTGGTGAACTGCACAGAAGCAGTTCAGGCTTGGGTCAATCCAAGGTCAGCCGGATTATGAGTGTTACTTTCATAATCCTCAATTTTTGTAATATAATGAAGTTGTTTTTGTATTTTAGGTCAAGATTTTAAGCCATGAGGTAAAGTCAGATTTCTGCTGACTTTACCTCATGGCTTCCTTAAGTTTCTCTTTTTTCCGTAAAATGCAATTTGCAATATCTTTAATTCCCAATTTTAAAAAAATCCCTGTAAAGCCTTTATAATGAAACTTTCCTCAAAATGTAAGATTCCTACAAATATTCAAAATTGACTTCAATTTGCTGTGACCTCTCTGTATCTGATGGTGATGAGTGTTTTCAGTCAGGGATGTCTGTCTTTGCTGAAGTTAGTCAAGATGAAAAAAAGTGTGTTTGTTGTTTTTGAGTTATTTTCTTTGTTTAGTTTTTTTTTTTTTTAATATATGAAGACAGTCTTGACCTGCTCCTGCTGGCTGATGCAGTTAAGAGTGCTGAAATTATTTAATTTTTGTATTTTAAAAAAGCGAAGTTCTGCACACCTGAGTTTTGATTCAGTGAGATGTACATATAGATTAATATACTTACTGTGCCCTCCAGCTCTATCTGAAGTCACTTCTCACAAACAACAAAGAACAGTTCTGACTCATCGCTCGTCTTTCTTTATTCTTCTTTTCTCTTTTCTGTACAGCAGAGCACTCTGGTGTATGCTATAATTTCTTTCCCTTGTGAGAGTCTTTGTCCAGCCACCCACTGGGCTGTCAAACTAAGCATACTCCCTGGACTATCATCAGAGGTCCATATGTCTTTGGTGAAATAATAACCGGAATATTCTTACCGGAAGATCTCCAGCAGAAACCCGGTGTATAAAAGCTGCAAAGATCACAAATGTAGTGTGGTTTCTGACCATGCAGCCCTTAAAAACAAGCGGTAAGATCCTGAAATCAGTTTGTCAATTAACTGGTGATCAGTGGAGACAGCAGGTATAGGAGTGATGTCTTTACCTCTTCTGGAAACAGTTAATGCTGAGCAGCAGCGCTCTGAATTTTTCCGGCGTAAAATTACAGTGCTCAGGCCAGTCCATTGCCGACTACAGCGGGGTGACGCAGCTCAAGGAAGAACATTTATGATCATTACTTTATCATTTCCTTGAAGTAATAATCACCATATTAATCATTTTGCACTGCAGACGCGGTAGCTCTTCTGCCTTAGCTTCTTGGTCTGATTGCATTTCCATGAAGAAATGATCATAAATGTTCCTCCTTGAGCTGCATCACCCTGCTGCAGTCGATGGATTCGCTCGGAGGTCTCCGTACAAACAAGCGGCTGCTGGAAGAGAGTAGGTGAGTTGTGTTTAGTCTCTTTGCTAAAGAAATTAGGCGAAGTTAAAAAGATGTTTGGTGGTTAGTACTGTGGCTGGGACTCCATATGTACTGTTGATGAAGTTAGGTGCTGTTCTGAGCATTATTTGTGGCTATAGAGTGGCGTTTTGGTTGAGGTTTGTTTATGGCTCCTCAGACCGCTGTGTATTGCTACACAGTTTTTATTGCTGTTGAATCAGCATTGTGGGACTTGTAGTTTTATTGGTGCTAATGCTAGCTAAAGCCGCTGCTGCAGCTACATGTTTTTTTTTTTTACTTGCATCAATAAATCTTAAAGACCTTTTTCCGTCCTCAGCATATACTCTCAGCTCATGTTTTTTGCCATCCTCCTCCAGCCTCACTCCTGTGTGCTTGTTCTTTAGTGGATGTAATTGTCAGATCATATACACTACCTTTTGTGTCAGAAACCATCTTTTATTGATAGATGTTAGCGGATAAAATTGTATTATAAAAATAATGAATAATAATAAGATGTTCTGTGTACTGGGCTGAGAATGATCAGGCTGATATATATCATGCATCCCCTCCTTGTAGCCCAAGGTTTCTGCAATTTTATGACACTTTCCCTTAACCATTGTTGGAAAGTGCTTTACAGTGCTCTGAATAAAAATGCACAACAACAACAACAACAACAACAACAACAAAAAGACACATTAAATAAATCAAATAATAAAAAAAACATTTCTAAAAGGCAGCTTCGACTTAGAGGCAGTTATTTCCATTGTTCAGACCTGTGAATGCTGCAGTTGTTGACAGTTGTTGTAGATACACTTCTAGTTAATACAAGATAATTATGTTTTTTTTTTAATCTTAGAAATAAACAACATAGAATATCTACTGCAGTGAAGAAATACAACATTCACAGTTGAGTTCATGTCTTCAGTGTGAGGGAGTGCGAAGTGTAGAGTTGAAGTGCACGCGCAGAGGTCAGAGGTCAGGGTCAGTGAGAGAACAGCAAGCAGAGATGTTACATCCTGTCGCCATGGCAACTGGGAACATGTTTGTGCATTGGATGGGGCTCTGCAAAAAAAAACAAACGAAACACTCCTTTTTTTTCCTCGCACAAACAGAGCGGAGACAGAAACAAATGCTCGTGCACACATATAAATTGATTAAAAAGGCAACCACACACGCACGCACGCGCACACACACACACACACAGAAGAAGCACCTGGGTAAAAATGCAAGGTCAGTCTCAAGCGAGCAGCACATACAGATCTCCAGATAACAAAGCGCTCATTGATTATGTGTCAGCTGCTGCACGCTCAGAGGTTGTTGAGCTGTTTCGTGTTTATTATCACGTTTCCTGACTCACCGGCTGCTGCATATAGTAAAACAAAACGCACTACTCACTGTCTGAACCTGTGTAATGTTGAAATAACACCCTATCTCGGGTGTTATGGAGAGTGAGAATACAAGGTTATTGTGCTGTCCTGAACCACGGCCAAGTATTGATCACTGTCTCAGTGTGGCTAATACCAGTTAAGAGCCCCATTTAGGCTCCTGAGGTGTGTGTTCTGTTTGAAGTGATCCACAAACAGGTCAGGCTGAGCATAAAAACGGTATGAGCGCAGTAGAAATCTGAGATATCACTTTTACTTTAGTAAATGAGAAACATGAGTCATACGAGATTCCCTGTTGGAGAGAGAAAGTAAGCAGCAGGACGTCTACTGTCAAGAAACTGAAATAAATTGCACCAAAACCATTTAGAAAGACTGATAATAAACACAGTAAGTTCATAAGAGAAACACGAAGCACAAATATCTCACAAAATAACTCAGACACTAACTTAAAGGGTCCTTGAGGACATACTTTTTACTTAAAGGCAAACTTACTGGACACACAGTCAAGTATGCAAACATTACATAACAATAAATTGATAAAACTGCAGAAAACGCAGATTTATCCGATGCTGGAGGGAAACATTATGTATATTTCAAATATTTTTGTTTCTCTTCTCCTGTCATATCTGTAAGTTTTGCATCACGTTCAGCTGGTCAGTTGTATCGTCAGAAACGCAGAGCTGAATCTGCGCAGCCTCGGGCTGTGCTCCGAAGGCAGCAGGGGATCAGCATGCAGTAAAGCTTCAGCTCTCAGGCTTATTTGCAGAGCTTAGTGATAAGATGGAGGAGGAGATGGTGAGGTTTAGAGAGATAAAGAAGAAGAATGATAAACAGAGCGATACAAAGAGAGTTATATAGAGCTGACAAGTATGAAGACAATAAACAGTTGAATGCAGTGGAGTGATATTTATCTGATAATATTTATGTAGAAACTTAGCAGGAGTTTTACTGTTGAATACTTTGTGGGGAAGGAACCCTTTACCTTGGTGCTGCTCATATCATTAAAGGACAACTTAGACGGATATTCACAACAGTAAAGAGGAAAATAAAGCCGAATATGCACAATCTTGGCTCAGTGATTCAGATTATGTCCTCCTTTGTACAGTTTTAGTGGTAAAAGAAATGCAGTTTCACATCAGTAAGTTCAACACCATTGGGAGACAACTTTTATACATATAGGATCACACTCCACTGTAACTGTATAAACATATTTTATCCAACTATTTATTAAATAACTGTACATATTCCTACTCGTACTCCTAAATATCTTATTGTTTATATTCTTCAGCACACCCACTGTTTAATAGCATTTTCTCTATTTCACACCTGCACTAATCAGTATACTGTATATAAAGATAATGTACATAATTAGATATTTATTCATTTTTTTTCTGTATAGCCTATTCAGACCTGCAGTAACCAACATCATGTATATTTTTAGCATATTCATTGTACTTCTGGTTAGATGCTAAACTGGATTTTGTTGTTCCTGTACTTGTAGTGTGTTTAATGACAATAAAGTTGAATCTAATCTAATCTAAACTAATTGAAACTAATCTAATCGAGTCTAATCACTGAACAGAGAATTTAAAAAATACAAAAACAGTACAGAGCAGAAGCAGCTGTCTTTACTTTGAGCCTGCTGATAGGAGCGTTTTCTCCTTTGCATCCTCCTCTCATACAGTTTCTATGCAGAGGCAGACAGAGAGGCAAACAGAATCTCCAGTCATCAATATTTCAAACCACAGACTTGGCTTTAAAATCAGCCAAAAAGAAGTATATGTCTGCCTGTGTGTGTTTTTGTGTGTGTGTGTGTGTTTTCGTGTGTGTGTGTGTGTGTGTGTGTGGTGGAGGACATGCCTTTCAAGAGAAACCTGAGCGTGCTCCTCTGCTGCATATACAAATGAATAAATAAAGCCGATTTGTTGTCTCAATGAAGCAAAGAGTGAGGAAACAGGAGCTTTATAAAGGCTGCGGGAGCACATGGACTGATGTGTAGATAAATAAGTAAACAGTGTAGATGTACTAAGACCAATGGTGGTGCAGAGACGTCATGATGAAAGCTTGCTCAGGAAGGCCATTTAATATTTCAAGTATCTGAAGTTCCATCCAGCCTCCTCACTGAAACCTGAAAAGGTCATTTTTTGAAGCTGCTGCAGTGGGGTATTGAAGTACAAATCAAAAATCACACATTTCTGGTGTATTTTGCAGAGAGACAGGATGTCCTTTCAAATTGTGTTTCATGTTTTCCAAACCTGCAGTTGGAACATCAGTTTCTGCATTGCACTTTGCAGGGATCACCTGTCAGTCAAACAGTGTGGGCTGGGCTATAACTTATCCTGTTCATAGCAGCTTTTTTTTTTAGATGACTTTTGATACGTTTTGCCTTTATTTGGTAAAACAGCTTGAGGTTTCTGCACATGGGGCGCCCCTTATAGAAGATTTGAGTGTTTGTGTAGCCTCCAGCTGGTTAGCCTGTTGTTGAAATGTGAAATGAATCAACACTTGTGCAGAAACTTGGATGCAGTGTGTAAATGCAAAAGCTTTCATGACTCAGACACAGGGTATTTAATCAATATAACTCAGCATACCAAAATATTTTCATGATTGAATCATATTTTTTCTCTCTTTCTCCCCGTCTCTCTCCCATTTCCTGGTGCATCATTGAACATTTTCATCTCTCAGCTCTCCCAGGTGGGTAAAAACACACACATACACACGCACAAACAAACACACTTTTTTCGGCCCAAGCACCGAACTTGGGGGGATCGGGCATTCTCCTCAGCTGCCCCTACCCTTTGGAACTCCCTACCTCCCTCCATCAGACACTGCCCTGACTCCACTACTTTTAAATCCCTTTTAAAAACCCACTTATTTAAAATTGCTTTTAATATTTAACTGTTTTGTCCATCTTACTGTTTTCATGTCTTTGTCTTATTATCTTGAATTTTACGTACTATGTAAAGCGTCTTTGAGTGTTTTAAAAACACGCACACACACACTTTTACGTTCACCAAAGCCTTATTATAGGAAGTAACACAAAGACTGCCATCCTCCGTTTGTCTCTTATGTACTGCCGTGTTAGCCGTGCATCGTTGTGCTGCATGGTCTATCACACTTAATAATTCATCTGGAGTCTGATTAAAGTTGACTTCAGACCAACTAGCTTTGAAGTGCAGCTGGCATCTGCAACAAAAGAATAAAAGCTTTGTTAACAACAGCTGCAGCGACACCAAACATAATCTGACCTGAGTGTCGCGTCTAAGTGTAGGATGATTTCGAAGTGCGCAGCTTAATTTCCCTTTTTTCTGAAAATACACTGACACATCCTTTAAAAGAGAAAATTCCTTTGAACTCTGGGTGATTAGATGTTGGTTGTTTGCAGGCACATGCGCTTGTATCCCACTCAGCCTGTTAGTGAACAACACACTGAAAAACTGCTGTAAATTTGTAATCCTATTTATGACTTATACATGATCCGCAGTATGAATTATTCAGGGATATGCTCAGTCGATCCGTTGGCTTTGGGGCCAGACTGGAGTTATCTTGGCTTTGATTTTTTTTTTTCGCTTTCTGGACATGGTGCTGGTCCACATGAATCGACTGTGTGTTTCATTTCAATATCCTCCATAAGGACGGCCAGAGAAGTGCTGAGCTATAGATGATAAACCATCCTCCTCAGGGGAACAGGGCCAGGCTTCCTCAAATTAATAATACAAGCTTTTTCTACACTGAGTGCAGGGTTGTGACGCTTCGCCGAGGCGCTCAGCCGTTGACAAGTTCAGGTTTTAGGATCCTGCTCATGAGGAAGAGGACAGAAAGAGGAAAAAGGTTCAGAATTGAGCTCAAGCTAATTTATCTTCATGTTTCAGAGGGAGGTTGAGAAGTCTACAAGCCAACAGCCTTAAAAACTTCACAAAACTGCGCGATAATAAGCTTCAGCCCGTTTTCTGGGAATCTGGGAATTTAAATCTGCAAACAGATTGGTTAGATTTGGCTGCGCCAGGTGGGAGTGAAGCCATCTGCCTGCTGTAATGTCATACTTAAAAGTCCCTTTTCAACATAAGAGGGGGATGAATGCCTCTTCTCTCATTATATCATGACTCAGTTTATTCAACACTTTTTTGTACACCATGCAAAAGCAAAATGCAGATGTAACTGTTTAATTATGCAAATATATGAATGAGTGTTAGGACTCCACTTGCAAATCTACCAGGAACAAAATCTGTTCACAAATAAGCTAATGTCTAAATTTGATAACAAGGCTTCCAGCGAGATAAATGCTAATGAGAATCTCCTCTGCACAACAAGAAAAGATCCTATTAAGAGAAATTAACGAGCAAGCATTAGTCACAACCGACTGTTTGAGTGATATGATACAAAATGATGGGTAGCTCTTCATGCAAACATGCTGAAATCTACAAAAGCAGTCAGAAGGATCACAATGCTACCAATTGTCCCGAGTATGTGCAGATAGACGATAAAGCCCCCGTGAGGAGATTCTGACGGATTGAAATAGACTGAAATAAAAAGGTTATGCTTCTCGAAGACATGTGAGAGCAAACACCCTCGGCATCAAGATTGACAGTCCCTGTGTTGTAATTCTTCATGCCTGTTAGGGGGTTAGTGTCAGACCATATGACTGTTTCTTCAGCATGAAGAAAAAGCCTTTTTTTTCCACACTGAGGGATACATTTAACTGTCAAAAGACTTCAGGAGGAGTTTTTTTCTTAGTCAGAAAACACAAGTAACACTCTTACAAGTCAGCACAGAGATGAGAGGCATCACTTTGTCTACAGCAGGTGCCAACATTTACAAAAAAAAGTGTTAAAGATGCACTTTTTGTAATTTTTTTTGTCTAAAAAGTGAGCTGCTTCCTGTGTACAGGTGTGACCAATATAGCAGCAAAGATAAGAGAGAGGCGTTTCTGTGTTACACTATTTGACCCAGACGATGGCGCTTGAAGAAGAAGCAAAATCAGCTTTAATTTGATTTGATTTGATCTTTATTTCTCTTGAACACATCCAAAAAATTTGGATGCAAAAGAAGATACAAAACTGTCTTCATAGCTTATATATCAAACATACAAGAGAGACACTGTTGATGTGCCAGTCAGGGGCAGGCTGTGCATGGCATGCTGGGTTTATTATGAGGCCACATGGTACCACATTTTTTAAAGGTTTTCTCAACTTTTTTTTGCTTTTTTAAGAAAAACAGCTTCAGAGAGAAATGAAACGGTTGTTTAAGGGAGGGGGTTTATGTACCGAGACTGATTATTGATCCCACAACCAGTGGGATGAGGACCACAGCGTCTGCACACTGGGCGTCTGCTCCTTTAGATGAGCTAAACGGACGCCCTCCTGTGTCATCATTTTCTCCCTCATTCGGCTATAATCAAGCATCTAAGAAAACAGTTTTAGGCTTTTAAGTAAATTAAGTTTTAGGAGTGCTGGATTAATGGAAAAGACTTTTCAGCTCAAGACAACAAGTGACCAGCAGAGGGGGGTGGTACAGGTTTCTGTGGGCTGTTTGAGGGCAGTGGCTCCACCCGCACCTTACTACCATCCATACCCAGCTGTGTTTGCCACCGTAGGCTGGTACTAGAATGAGCTACAGATCTGCATATAAACTGACTAAGTTTTCCAGTGTGACTTCTATAGCAGGTTTTACAATGACTATTTTTTTTTGTATTTATTGATAAATCCAATAAATCTGCCCAGGAGAAAACCTTCAGCTGAACTATTACTTTGGTAAGAGTAAGAGATCTTTGGTGATGAGTCCTTAGTCCACTTTAAAACACCAAACAAACTACTGGAGAACACTCAGTGAATTAGCTTTACATGAGATTGTCTGGAGGTTATTTATTTCACTACAAGATTATCTTTTTTATTGTAAATGAAATTTACTATCAAATTACCATGATACCATAAAAACTGACATATTTTCTTATTTGATAACAGACAGACTTATAACTTTAGTGGCAAAAGAAACATTGCATGTAACAATAGGAAGTCATAAATGCATATTTATTACTTATATAAACACCAGATGAACCATTGGAATAAAGACTTTATGTAATTCCTGCTGAATCATACCCTAATCAGATTTGTGAGGCAGCTGGGCTCCACACATTTGCTGCATGGAGTCTGTCTACGGGAGCCCAGATGGGACATATCAGACTCTAACAGGTTGAGCTCTGTGCTAACCTTCTGCTCTGTCTCGTCTGGTTTTCCTCTGATAACTGGTCCGGATGTAGAGACAGTTATGAATTTAATAGTGTCTGTGTTATCTTTTATCATCAGTTTAAAATCTTATTATGGCGTTTAGAACTGCAATATGAGCGTCACCAAGAACCTCCACTTGCAGTAAAATCATGCGGTGCAGACAAAATACAGCATGTAGCAGCATGCTGTTGTCTTCTAAACGGACAGTTTTCCATAACAGGACTTGTCTCCTAACAGGAAAACTGCAGTGTGGTTAATCCGGATTTTCTTTGTAATCCCAAACACATTTTTTTCTCTAGTTATGAACACTTTTTGCACAAAAGGTTCTTGTGTTTTCAACTTTTTCGTTTTGAAAGGTTAATCACTGTTTAATAATCAAACTAACAGAACTCGTGTCCTTTCTGTGCCGCTGGTTCAGGAGTTGTCTGAGGATCGCCACTCTCCACCGCTGCTCACCGTCAACGGGCCCGGAGAGGAAAAGCTGTTTCGAAGTAAGAGTGCTGAAGTGGAGCTGACAGTGGAGAAGGAGAGGGTCAAAAAGATGCTGTCTGAAGGGTAAATACACTCTTTATTTTACTTTAGCAGATTATTATGAAAGCCATTCCTTTATTTATTGAGGGTAAATAAAACATAATAGTTTCTACAGCTTGGGGACACCTGTGATAGAAGTTTTTATCAGTGGTTTGGTGTGGCACAGAGGTTTGCATTTTGCAGTTTGCAAGCCAGTAAGATTTTTAGTCTGTTCAGACCCTCAATCTTCTGCACATTAATAGAAACATTACATCGACTGAGCTACAAAGAGAACACACAGAGACTGCTTATGTATGCTGAAGAGGGCCAAAGGTTAAGGCACAATATTCTGAAAGAAGAAGTATTTCCCCGAAGTGTATCCATACTGCATGTAAAGTACACTCTCTGTAAGGACAGCTGCAGTACTTCAGTCCATCCCTCCATTATATATACCACTTATGCTTTACTTTAAGGTTGCATGGTGCTGGAAGTGTTCTCAGCTGCTATTTGATGGGAGGCGAGGTATCTGCAGTGCAAAAAGCAGCAAAAAGGAAAACGGGATTTATTTGTGTTTTTTTCCTGCAAAGTACAGACCACTGAACAAAAATCTGTCCATGATCAGACTAGTGCTGTACGCTGACAAATTGTGCTTATCATGCAAATCAGCTGTTCCAGAAAATAAAAGACATTTACAACCTCTATGAGTGAGTAAACTGAAGAATATGCAAACTGAGACTTTATTTCCACAGAGATGTAGTCGTTTAGCCTCAGTCTATGGGTGCACAGTGATTTTAAGTCTCCACCTCCTCTGTGTCTAATGTTATTTTCATAATGATCCTTATTCCCTGAAGTCAAGCAGCAGAAGTTAAGCGAAAATGTGCAAACACTACGGGCCCATTTTGGGTGAATTAGATATTCAAAAGGAGTCCCACATGTCACTGTTCATAACACAGGTTTTCATCGGTTGCTTGTCAGACACGTTTAAAAAGAAATTTAGGGCACAAATTACCCTCTACTCCAGACGCTACGACTCCACTGCTTCTTGTATTTTACATTCATATAAAAGACACTCTACTCTATAGCAGCACAGTCTCAGGTAGTTTACTTTTCAAAGGATTAAATAGCCATTTAGCCTTTCACCTGGTTAATACACCCACAGTCAGAATCTGAAAGAATGGCATTATTAACAGCAGTGTAACAGAGCCGTGAAGTGTTATTTTATTCTCCATATGCTGGAAGTAATACTCAAACATTACAACCAGCTCAATATCAGGCATAAAAACATTAACCACAGATGTTCTTGTTTACCTCATAAAGAGAAAATGTTTTTTTCTCGTTTCTCAACCGTTTTCATAAAAACAAAAAATTGTATTCAATGGAAACTTTGCTTCCAATGAAATAATTGGCCCCAAAACAATAATCGCATTTTATTTACCAGCTTGGATACAATAATGAATATTTCATGAGTACATGTACAAGAGAGCATATACTTAACTTCTGTTCACTTAAGCATATTTTATTTGACAGCAGAGCGGGGAGAAACAGAGCACAAAGAAAGGGAGACCTTGCCGTATAATTTCCCACTCTTAGTTTTTGATCTTCATGAAAGAAAATGCAGCTTTCAGCGCATGAATAAGACACAAATATATGACAATAATTAAGGACAAACTCCAACATTAACATACAGAAACAGAAAGAGCAGCAGATGTGCATGTGTGGGAGGGGTGAGAAGAAATTTTATCTCTTCAGAGTTGAGAAAAGTTCTCTGCAGAGGTTGTGACCCTGTCTCTAACCTCCAGCGTGGCTACACAAGCTAAGACTGAAGTGTTTTCAGCAGTTTGTGGAGTAGTTTCTACTAAATGAAACTTACTCAAAACAAAAAAAAATCTGTTTTCTGTTAGAGGAGGAGAGGAAAAAGCTATTCAGAGCACATTCAAAGAGGTGTGGACCTTCATAGCTCTATGAGTAGTTGTAACAACAAAGATATCTATTTTCCCATTTATGCACATCAGATGCATTTATAAGGGCTTTATAAATCTGCTTATGGTGCATTATAAGAGGTGGGTTCATATAAAGTGTTACAAAATCCATGCAGAATCAATGTTAGGTCATTATTTAATATATGACAGCCAGAGAAGTGGGCAATGAGTTGACTAAATGATGCTGTCACCCTGGCTACCAGAATCACTAGTGTTTTTTTTTGTTATTCTATTTTATCATTACTTTTATTATCATTATTTTTTTGTTATTATTTTTTTAAATCATTATTAATGTTGTCTTTTTTTATTTCTGTGTGTTGACGTTCTCTGCTCTATGACTATTTGTCAAAGCACTTTGTAAACCTCAGTTCTTTAAAAGTGCTAGAAAAATGATGTTATTATTATCATGATTATCATCATCATCATCATCATTATCATTATTAGAAAACGATTCTGTCACCCTGGCTACCAGAATTATTTGTCGGTCAAGCAAGTCATTAATAACTAGTTTTTCAATCATTGTCAGCCTGAAACGCCATTTGCATATTGTGTGTCTGAGCTGTAACAGCTGCCACAAGCCTGGACTGCACCTTTGGGTAATGGTCTGCCATGATGCTATCATGCTGTATAACCTGGATGTAAAAAACACAAAGGAAAGATTAAATCTGACAGTGTTGCACTGTTTGGCAGTAATTTGATTTTATAAACTCAAGCAGAGCAATGCTGGACATGTGGGCGATAACCTGCAGAGGACTGAGAGCTGGTGGTTTGACTTCTGCTAACATAAGCCAAACTCAGTAAACCACTGACATTATTAATGGCAGCCTCTATAATTCTATGTTAAATAGTGTTAGATACATTGCTTTAACTTATGACAGTTTTCTTGTTTGCTTTAACATTCGTTGGCTAGTTGGGAATTAAATTTCTAGTTTAATGTGTAGCCATGGAATATTTCTGCAACATCAGTGTAATAAACAATTTAAAACTTTGCAGAAACACCATAAACTTTTCCTTCATTGTTCGGCTCATCACTTATCTTTACAATTAGATTGCTTTTCACATGACCTACAGGCACAGGAAATTGGTTCTATAGTGAAAGCCTCAAGGATCTACTCCACAAACGTCTCATTTAATTCGATGACAACCTGCAGCCCTCGACTGTACGTCGTTCCAAAATAGGGAAATACCAACAAGAGACAACATTGCTGTGTCAGACGATATTACTTTTAGTGGTAAGTGCTAAGGTCTACAGAACACACCAGAAATAGAAGCCCTATTTTCTGTGGTTCTGGAGGAGTTTAACAAACAAATCCACCCTGTTTATGTCCTAGTTTAGTCGAAGTTCAGGGAAATCCCAATAGTCAGAGACACATTTTTTATGCTTGAGTAGTTAAACGCTAACCACAGAAGAAACAAAACACCAGTGTACTGTAAGACTGTGTCCTTTTCTCCACAAGCTCGAAGTTAAATCTGCCTGGATATGATAGCACACGAGGACTCTGATTGGCTCTGCAGTGTTTGTGTGTGCATCTGAATTTCAGAGCTTATAATTATCATCATTATGGTGCCCATTATTGATCACTCAGCCCTTCATCTGAGACCAAAAGGCAGAAAAACACTCAAACCTGTCCGCTTTACAACCTATTATCCCAGCGATTTTATTTTATGATTGTCAGAATTCCATGAAGGCTTTTTGCTCCTGTTGCTATGGTGAGTAGTTTTATGGTTGCCAAGCTGTTAGGTTGGTCGTCATTGAGAAGACTGTGTTTCCCAAACTCGATGTTCTTGTGTGAAAGCACTCAGGCTTGTTACACATCGCCACTAAAACCTGACCTTTACCAGCTCACTGTACCTGAAGCGTCTTTCCCACATGTTGAAGAAGATAAAACGTCTGTGAAATACCCTCTGTACCACCCTGTTGTCTCTGTACTTTCTACTTGGCAAGATGCTCTTGTCTGTTTTGTTCTGTTGAGGGTCATTTTACAGACAGGGTTGTAGAAGAAAAAGACAAGTTGTTGTCTCTTTAAGCTACAACATCCAGAGAAAAATAAACCCTATTATTTATGAACTACAGAGGAGGAATTTAGGAGCCCCACAGCCTGAGGAAAGAAGCTGCTTTGTAGTCCGTTTTTACAGCAGATGATCAGTTAATTTTTTCTGTTTCAAAGACACACAGGGGGACTGTTTTCATTTCATTACCAAAGCTGGACATTGTCAGTTCTGGATAGGAGCATCTGAGAGTTTATTAAAATTAAGAGTTAACAGCACCATGTAGATCTGGGTGCTGGCACTTCATACCTTTTATCCCTCTGCCCCCCAAAAGCCCAGAACCTTGAGGTATCAAATGTGTCCAATTAAACAGACTTTCATTCAGTGTTTTCCTCTAATTAAAAAAATAATAATAATAATTTTAAGGTTCCCTTTCTCACCCAGTCCCACCAAGTGGTTTTGGATCAAATGTGCAGCATAATTGTTAAAGCTCCTGTGAGGAGTATTATTTATCATTTATGAACTAGCCTGAAAATCACACTGATAAGACAATATCAACAATTTAGTATTTTTCCATTTTTAGTGTCTGAAAACAGTGTGCAGAAACAGCTCTGGTTATACAATTTCCACAAAATATTCACAATAAATGATTCATTTGACTGTCATAAAACAGCAGGATGACATTTAGGGTCCTCAGGCATTTTCCAAGCACACAGAGGAGAATATAAGCAAAGATTGCTTTAGCCACAAGGGGGCGCCAACTGAAAGTTGCTCACTGGACCTTTAAATTAGGAGAATGTAGATGAGAACATTACCTAAACTGCAGGTAAAATTACAAGGCGCCTCTCAAAGGCCTGAATGAAAAGAAAAACGAAAGATTTAATACTTCAATCATTAACAGCCAATTAATAGAGAGAAATAAAATGTCACATCTGACGGTAATTAACAAGAAAAAGGCCTGATAAAAAGAAACAAATTTATAATTAAAGTGATTTATCTGTTTATATATCTTTAAAACTAAATTACTTCTTTGTGCCTCAAAATCAAATTATTTATATGAAATCCCTCCAAACATCTGATACAGCCTAATAGAAAAAATTACCATATCTTTATCTATTTTATCTACAAAGATGCTCACATCAAAGATCGTTTTCTCCTGTCCTTCCAGTTCTTTAGAGTAAATTCAGCTCATTGTTTGGTTACAGGAGGAAGTTAAAGAAATGTAACCCTGACAAAAACCACTGCCTGCTCACTGCTTAACAAAAGCAAATTGATTGTTTTTCAAGTTTTTGTGTTTTTTTTTCTCTTTTTTTTCAGGTCCATGTGTGAGATAAACCTGGAAGCTGAACTCTTCACCCTGCAGGACAGCAATGCCAAACTGGTGGAAGCTCTGCAGGAAGCCAACAGCAGTGTGGAGCAATGGAAGAAACAGCTCGCTGAGTACCAGGAGGAGACGGATCGCCTCCGAGACCAGGTAGGCGACACACAGGGTGGTCATGACAAGAAGCTGGTGAAATAACACCTCATAACATAGAATCCCTGCAGCATGTGGAGTTTTGTATGATTTGATAAAAGCTGACGAGGAGCGAGATCAGTCACAGACATTGGTGATGGGGCATGTTTGTTATTGAAATGGTTTGTCCCTCTGGATATGATTAAAGGGTGCTATCTAGCTAATTAGAGTTCAAAACTGTGTTAAAAAATTCAAGGTTTTTATGGTTCAGCTTGTACATCCAAGTCATGTCGAGGCTTGTTTTAATAGCATCTCTCCGGAAACGGTTCTGCAATTTCTCGCAGTGTCAGCATTATGAATATGGTAAACTATGCTTGGCAGTTACAGCCCGCTCCCTATTTATAGAGGCCGTCGTCTACATTGCATGGGTTGCTGGTTTGACTCCCAGCTAAGAGCTCAGAGTGTCCGTTAAAATATGTAAAAAGGTGTGATACTAAATTTGTAAAGCATGAACATTCAAAGCTAATAATGACTAAATAACAGCAAAGAGTTTGTCTTGATAAACCTGGATAAACCTGCTTTATATAATCACACTTACATGAGTGTCTTCATGCAACTTTTTGCTTCTTGTCAGCTACTCAACACCCAAAGGAGGAAAGATATCCTCTGGCAAATCTCTCAAAAACAAGTCACACTTTAAACTATTTTGTCACATCCCTGTCTTTAAAATAGGGCATCTAAACTGCCTGCAAAGTAGCTGTTCTCTGTGCTGTTTTGAAATCATAAACCTAACCCAATTATATACAAGGAGTCAGCTGTCAGTAATAAACCAGACATAGATTGTGGTTGATTACTCAGACTTGCAGGATCAGCTTTGACTAAATGTTTGGGGTCATAAATTAGGCCAAATACTTTATAGTACTTGTTCCCTGGAATACATACACTGCCAGAAAAAAAAGCTGTTTACTTTAACAAAGCAGAAATACTATGCATGATTTTATTCCATGAAACATTTCCAGGTCAGTCCCTCACTCTGTCACCACTCTGGTATCAACAGCATATCACGCTGCTTTCTTCATTTTCTCACATCTGAAACTTTCGCACTGAAATCCCCACATGGACTTGGCTTCAGTCAAACTGCAGATGCATTTTCCACACCCCGTACCCTGCTCCCTCCCCTCCTCGGGATATTTCTGTTGACAAGCTCCCGTGATAATCATGGGGCCAGAACACAGACATTTCATCTTTAATTTACAGAGAGGAAATTCTGCCCTTGGTCAAGCTTAACAAGGCTTCTTCAACACGACAGAATTAAGTGCTGCTGCAACCGCCCTGCAACGGAGCTATTACCACCGGTGACAGCGCACTGGCCTTTTATTTTTAGCTTACGTTAGGGTTTCATCTATCTCTACCAGTCCAGGTGAAGGTTACACACACATACACACTCATGCGGACACGCTCACACACTGCAGCAAAGTCAACCAGGTGGCTCTAAGTGGAGCAGGCCTCCAGGGTACGGTAACGGGGTGTTTAGGGGGGATTGGGGTTTTTATTTTTTTTATTTTTTGGGACAGGACACCCCAACTGCCCCCTCCCTTGCCCCAGTTAGAGCAGGAAGATAAATCATCATAGAAGCAGAAAGAGAGGGTTTGGCTGGCTTTTCCTCCCTCGTCACACTCTCTGCTTCAGCCATATTTGTGCTCCTGCACGGCAGAACGGCCTGGGTTTATTTTCTGGGTTTCTGGGTTGGCTCTGACCCTCTGCTAAGTCTATAGGAGAATAAAGCTGCCTTCACATGATGAAAAAATATACTCTTAACCCACCAAGAGGTTGGGAGCAGAGCAAAGTTGCAGACCTATTTCTCTGTGAAAAAATGGACATCAGGCCCTCGTTTTACCCCTTTTGGAGTTCATTTTGAGACTTAAAACGGTTTTGATAAACGCACTTGGAATTAAAACAAAGTAAAAGACAGTTAAGTATCACTACACAGCCATCTATTGCAGGACTATAATATATCAGTCTCAGCCATAAGGCATGCACAAACATACAGAGAACTCCTCTCCAAGCACACAAACACTGGGAATATTTATTTGAATCCGGAGCCATAGCCTGACTTTTTTGTTTGTCTGTTTGTTTGTCTCTGAGTTTTGGGGATTTTTTTGTCAGCTGTGATTTTTGGACATAAATCAAATTTCCAGTCGCTGAACAAAGTTAATCTCAAAGATAAACACTGCGTAGACTCCATCTCCTTCACATGCTGACTAAAGAAAATGAGCTGAGGGGGCGCAACTGTACCTCCGTCAAAGCAGCAGCACTATCAAGATGTTTCTGCTCAGTTTAGTTTGAAAAAGATGGGCCTGAATTTGAGCAAATTAGAGAGTTAGAGTAGGATAATCATAGAGGTGGTTGATATGGAGTCTCTTATTATGGTGCATTTATTTTTGAATAATAATTTTGATACACTTACTTTAAATTCACATTAATTTCTTTCTAAAAAAAATACATACATGTGCACAATCCTGCTCATTGATGTAGATACGGTTGTCTACAGTTGTGAAAAGATAGAAACACTACCTTAACTGTTTCTCTAAAACATTAAACAACATTATAAATACCTTATCTTAAAATGCACACGATTCAGGCAAGTACACTGTACTCAAGTTTGAAAGAAGAAAATTAAGATAAGATATTAAATCCAGAGTTTCACAGCAAATAATTTATATTTCAAAGTGTATAAATGTAATTTTTTTGACCAAGAAATGTATACAGTGTAAGCTACATTTAAAGGAAGATTATCCTATGCAATTATTTTGTAATTTGTAGTGTTAGGAAAAACGCTTTTATTGACCTGAGCGTATAAGTGGTCAGCATCACACTTAATAACAAAACAAAAGATCCTTGAAAACATAAAGCGCGGTGGACAGTAATATTCTGGTTTGATAAGGAAAACTTATTAAATTCACAGCTCTGCGTTCTGGTGACAGTCTTGACCTTTGTCAGCTGGTGGCATGTCAGAGTCTGGGTGCCTCGGGCAACGACCCTGATTTGATTGGCGGACTGGAGGCAGTGCAGAGAAAACACTGAAAACTGAACGAAAAGGTGTTTCTCAGAGTGAAAATATGAGCCACAGAATGGATTTATATATATATTAAATTATGATTTATAACAACTGTTACCTAATTGGAAGACTATTGTAAGTGATTACTATTGGCTGAGCTACATACTTGATTCTGACTGTCGATCAGTCAAACATTTTTGCATGTTGCAAGCTGGTCTTAACAGTCAGAAAACAATGACCTTTACCAGGTATAGATATAAGAGCAGCCTGACATGCTGCTAGCCCCCAAACATCACTGATCAAGCAAAGTGAGTAAAATCCTGTCTTGCAATCCAGGCAACAGCTGCAGAGTTAGTGTGGTGAGGAAATCTTAAACCAGCTGGAAAATATAATTACTATTTTTAAAAATATCCTTTTCTCTACACTTCTATCTGAGCTGACTGTCAACAATCTGGAAATAACACTGGTTTACTGTCAGATGTGACAGCAGTAGTGGATGCAGCTTAAACAAAAACAACCTCCATGTGCTCTTATGCTCTTATTTGACAAGTGGATAGTATTTGCAGTGAAGTGTGGATAGTCTACTTATGTTGTAGTTTCACACACTGAGTGAGTGAACAAGAGAGACTTTGTATTTGCTGTATATCTGCACTGATGTGAAGCCAGCTCACTGCTCCTATAGCATTATACTGAAATAAAACACTATTGTGTTTCAATCGCCTGTCAATGCAGTGAGATCAAACATTCATGTGAACATTTATCTATCAGAGTTTTTACCGCCTTGTCTCATTATATATTTAAATATATATTTACATCTGTGTTAAGCTCAGGAAGTAAAGCCTCAAGGGACAGACCTGTCACATATAGATAGGAAACGATGGGGTTGAGTCCTCCTGGATCACGTGGACTCCCCCCTTCAACCTGCGGCAGTTTTCTGATGGTTGGCTTGGATGTCATGTTACGCAGTGTAGTGTGGAAACTAGAAAGGGCCACTTTGAAAATGCCTGTGCTGAGGCAGAGTGTACGGTGAGGGGATGGAAGGGAAAATATAAACACTGGAGGAGTAAACGCTCTCCCTCCTCTTTCTTGATTTTTATGTATTTTAGCCTTTGTTGATAGGACCGCAGAAATGTGGGGGGTAGAGAGTTGGAGATGACACTGAATCATTATTTGATGTCAACAGAGCCTGAAAACCATGTGAGTTTTTCTCCACTGACACTGACACATACTTTACTAATTTTATTCAGTGACTTTTAGACAAAGCAAACATTGATACACAGCTTTTCCTTTGTTGCGAATCAAGTCCGGTGGGAAACTAACTGTTAACCATTGCAGTGTAAGTGCCTTGTGCGGACTGTGGAGAGCTTCAAAGCCCTGACGGATATCCGAGCAGATACTCAGTGAAGCACAGACTCTAAATCACAGCACGGTTAAACTTCAAAGGCTCAACAGTTTGCCCTTTTTTAGTCAAACTGTCACTCACCAGCTTTCTTTGGCCTCTTGTTAATGGAGTGGGTCAGATTGGGAAAATATTTTTCATGTTGTTTTTTTTTCACAAAGTCACACGCCTCCAGCATTTTGAAAAAAGACCCCCAGGCAAGCGAAAAATATTTTATAACACTTCTGTCAAATGTGTGGTGTGTTTGTTTGTGTTTGATTTTAACAGAGATGAGGGTGCAGAGAGTAAACACAGGGAAACGTTCTTCATTCATTGGTAAATTGCAAAGCTGATTGATGATCATCAATGAATGCTGCAAAGACAATCTGAGTTTGATTACTCTTCTTTCAGCTTTGGAAATCACTCTCTATTTGTGTATGAGTGTTGAGTGGGTAGTAACCTTCTGATGGTTTTTTCTCTTTTCCATAAAAAGTCATCATTTAATAAGTGTGCATTGTGTGTTTCTGTGTGTATGAACTATATTTCTGTACATGTACGCTGCTACCTTCATCCTTTTGATGCTAATCAAGCTGATTTCCACTATTCACAGGAGGTGAGGGGTCACGTGTTGTTCTCTGATTGTGGAGGATATTATCACACATCAGGTTATAAAACCTCTCAGAGCCCATTCAGTGAATATTAATCATGGCAGATGAAATGAGATCCCGCTGCATCTTTCTCCCTATCTCTGTATTATCATGGATTCACCCGTTTCTTTCTTTCTTTCTTTCTTTCTTTCTTTCTTTCTTTCTTTCTTTCTTAGTGGATGTATTTCTTAATATATCTAATATTTAACTGATTTTCCACATAAAGTTGTTTCGTTACTGTTATGTCGTGCTTAATATAACCTGTGTACTTTTCTGCCTGCTTGTTAATGCCCGAGGGATCACTTCCCTCAAGTCCCCCCTGACTTCCTCAAGCTCACAGTCAACATTTGTATATAATTTAATCCTCCTCCACAGCCCCCCTGTCCTCGGTGTTACCGCCCCCAATCCCTGTTGCCTCAGGTCCAGTGATGGTAAACATGAGGTGACAGAGTTGCTCCTTTTCCAACTGCATTACAGAGCCCCCGCTCTTTAAATATTAAACAGATCGCTGAGATATGTAGGATATCTGAACCCTTCACTTTTCGTGATATCCAAAAGCGAACAAGACCATCAGGAACAAGATTGGAGATTTTATATGTCCCAATTTTTAATCCCTGAAATTTATGCAAGGTGGTAGGTGTCATCCAAGCAGCCGGAAACTACCCTGCCTTTACATTTGCAAAAATATTCATGATAATTGATTGATTTGTTTGCCAAAAATTAGCAGTTTGAGATTTTTTTAAAAGATTTCTGCTGAAAAATGTAAAGACCAAAGTTAGCAAAGATTGCCCTGCTTACAGAGGGCACCAGACCTCCTCACAGGTGCTTTAAAATGAGCATTTTCATTGCAAACATGTTTGCATGCTGACTTTGCTCAAGTCATCAAATTAATATTTATTTTGATGGCTCAGTAAACACAATAGATAACAAAGTAAGAAGACAATAAATAACAGCAAATAAGAGTGTCAGAAACTGTAACACTCAGTAAAGATGAAAACCACCTAAATGGATGTGTTTTAAGTGATGATTAAAAACTGCAGAGGGACTGGACATGTTCTTCTGTTAAAGGTTAAACTGTTCCTCAGCATGTGAGCAGCCTCTGCAAACTCTCTGTCACCTCTGGTTTAAAGCCTGGATCCTGAGACCACCAAAAGCATCTGGTGTGTTAACCTGCTGCAGCACATTCATCCAACAGTTCAGACGAGTAAGAGGGTGCCGACCTATAAAGAGTTTCAAAAACAAGTGAGAAAACCTGAAACTGCAATGCATGACATTGTTTGGAGGAGTATATACTGGCCTTTACCGTCCCAAGAAGCCTAAACTGGAAGTAGCTTTTATTTACAACTAAATTACTTACTCTGTTGGTCAAATTTAAAAGTGCCTTAAAAATCAGGCCTAGTTTCTTTACAGATGAGTGGGTGTACAAGTTTAAAGGACCAAGAGCATCATAAATTCATCCAGGAGATCAGGTTTACCAAAAATGATCATTTATGTTTTCTTTTCAATAAAATTCAAAGAGCTGAACTGCATCCATGATTTCATGTCTGTCAGGCTTCAATGAGTCATTATTTGTTTTTATTGGCAGATGCAAATAATCTGCAAATCAATAGAAAAATACAATTTTTATTGTTAATTGTGTATTAAGTGGATGCCTGTGTGTGTTTTTGTGTGGGTTTTTCAGGTGGCAGAGCTTGAGGCCCAGCTGGGGCGTCCTGCTGCCATTCAGACTGGTAGAGAGGAGCTGAGTCGCTCTCTGGAGGAGCTGGAGGCTCTGCTGAGTGCCAAAGACAAGGCAAGACACCAGCTCGCTGCATGCTGCACGGCACACTGTCCAAATCCATTTACTGTCCTACAGAGGACCTTTCATTGAGAGCAGGCCTAGAAAACAGCAGCACACATACCGCTAAGCCTCCAGCACACTCATTCACGTGGTGTCGCAATAATCGTGAAAATATGGAAGAAATTTACATTAAAACTTGGAAAGTTGGAGAAAACTCTTTATGGTATTGTCCTGTGATCTATTTACACATTTAAACAAGAGGTTGCTGAACTTTTTGTTTTGATACTATAACTTCAAACACATCCAAAGTCGGAAGACTAAATCAAAGCAGCAAATACCAACAGGGTTAACCTCATTTCACATTTAAATGAAGAAAAATGTAGGGTGACCAAAAGAGGACACGACTGCACTGGGGTGGAGTCACAGAGTTGCATGAAGTTAATTTTGAGAGTTTTTTAGCTCAGATCGAGTGTCTTTTCATGTGCTTCTAACTCAGTAAGTCCACGTGACCCAAAATCAAAACTTTCGTGTGAAACCGCAGACATTTGAAGGATTTTATAACCTTCCTCGGACAAAGCTGGACAAACCGGGACAGCCTGGACAGCTCCCAAAAAAGAGGACATGTCCGGGTAAAATAGGACGTATGGTCACCCTATTTTAATGGCGATATGATCAATTTTATTTGGTAAATGTCTGAAATTTATACTGTTGCCTTTCTGTGATTTACAAAAGTAAACAGGACCATCAGCAGCAAGACTGATGATTTCTATTTTGTCATTTTTAATGCTTTAAACCATTGCAAGGGTTTTCTTTAAATATTTCTGCATGTCATATACAATAAATCATACATGAGATTTTATTGTAAGAAAATGCCACTGAAGCATGTAAAGGACAAAATTAGCAAAGATAGTGGGCGTCACAGTGGGTGCCAAAATTGACTCAAACTATAAAAATTCCTTACAAGATCTCTAAACAAGAGCGTGAAAGCTAAATGCCAGTTTAAGAGTTTGTTCCCTGAACTGTTTTTACGCCTCTAATCACATCTCTCTGCTTCAGTACACTTGTTTTTGTCCTGAAAAACATTCTTACTCGACACGCTGTTATAAAATTCAAGCAGACATTAATGAAGAGGATGTCTTTTGCTCCTATTTGCTCCCTTTGGTTTCTCTTTCCGCTGAGACCTCATGTTAATGTTCAGACATGGTAATATCTCCTGTTGAATCATCAGTTTGGTTAGATGAAGGGGCCTTTGATAAAATGTCACATTCCCTGTCCTGCAGACATCCAGAGCTGTCGCCCACGCGTTAAATGAAACCTGTGTTCTCTGACTCACCTTCATCACTGTTGCCATCCGGCTTTAAAAAGAGTCTTTATGACGCAAAAACCACCACCTTGTGAATAATTTTGCCTTCATGAGCCAACTCACTGTCCGTCAAACGCACTCTTGGCCAACGATATGGAGATGAAAGTTAGATTTCCCTTAAAAGCAGCTTCCTGCTGTGTTTCATTTACATAACTGTGTCACACCCGTCATCCAGACAAGTTCCCCTCCTGACAGCAGAATCTGTCACTTTGTTTTTTCTCAGGCGGCTGAATCCTCCGTCCTCCCCCGAGACATCAAGGTGTCCCAAATTTCATCACCAACCTGGTTTATGATAAATGAGTCAGCTTCTTCTGAGGCCAAACAAAGCATTTGGTGCAAATCAAGATATAAATGTCCCATGTGCTGATAAATGAGGAAGGTGGACATGTGGGGCGCGGTGTGAACACAGCGTTCTGACAATTTGATGTGTCTTGTGTTTTCAGGAAATCCACAGTCTGCAAAGTAAGAAAACAGATGTGAGTGAGCTGGAGAAGGAGAGAGAGGAGGCCATGCAGAGACTGCAGGTAAGCTGATGACAGGATGAGGATGTTTTTCTCTCCATGGGAAAAAACCGAAGTGCAAAGCCTCAATAACTTTATTTAGCTTGAAAGGTATTTGGGACGTGGAAAAAGCCCGAACATTATTCAGGTTAGATAAGCAAAAAGAAGCACTCAATATACTGGTTAGGTGGACACATGGAGCATAGACTGTCAAGTTTAAAAGTGAGTCTAAACAACATTTTATGAATAACAAATAACATAAAACAAGTGAGAGCTTTTTAGCAGGATTTTCTGTGTTAAAGGGCTGAATATTTCCTCTTCGAAACAGTCCTTATAAATCAATATCTTCTATTTCTGTGTCGTGATGCAGAATATTACGCACAGCTGAGATTTCTGTTTAAGTTCCTGTGGAGGTTTTGACCGGTTATGAAACTAAGTGACATTAACAGTGATTCTTTTTAAAAACCTGCGAAAGCTAATGAGACCATTAATCACAAGATTGACAGCTTCTATGGAGCTCTTATTAACGCCTGTAACCACTGTGAGGGGGCAGGTGTGAGACCAGATGACTATCAGCAAACTGGAGAAACATTGATTTTTATGATTTTGTGCCGCCAGTATTCACAGTCGTACATTTTTTAACATAATTTCACACATAATAGAGATTACCAGCGTTACATTGACTCCTCCCACCTTCAGCAGCTGACCGACTACAAAAGCGGAGCTGTGCACTGCTTGTGTACTCCTAGTTTGTGGCCCTCAGGTTCAGCTACCACTGAGTAATGACCTTACTTGTAACTTTGAAGTATCTACTAATTAGCCTGGGAGTGATTCAAATTACAAAATGTAATATATTTTTTGAATAATTATCATTTTGGAGGAGAAAAACTGCCTCACAGTTTGGTGCCAAAGTCTCAAGATGAGTTAGAAGCGCAACACTTTGAAGCCACCCTCAGCAACTCTTCAAGATAAGAGGAGCTTTCTTGTTCTTGCTAAATAAATTTGTTCAGCAAGAAATTGGCTCTCCTCACCTATATTTCTATCCTTACTTCATCTTGTAGAGCTTGTATTATATCAAAGAAAAGGAAGAATGACTATTTCATTGAGATAGGGGGAGGTAATTGCTTTTTTCTTAAGTGAGAACCGAGATCTTTGTTTGCCATTTGTGCTGCAGATTCAGAGCACAACTCTACTCCACACTACCACTCTCCTTCAGGGATTTTCCTTTTCAAGTCTTCACTGTTTGTTTGTCTTTGCAGATATTAATTGCAGAAATGTTGCAGGTGTGTCTTTTTGCTGAAATTGAATATTTTTGACGTACAACTGTCTTGACAAATTCTTACGCTGAAAAGGACCTCCCTCATTAAACATACAAAGAGATCAAACATAGTCCTAACCTACCAGAATACAAAGACAAACACATGCTTGTTTTGTTTGTTTTTCCCCACACTCACTAAGCACTGTAGTCTCAGCATGTCCCAGACCTGCAGCACAGAAACACTACAGGTGAACTGAGGACTTCAAGGAGAAACTCAGATTACACTGGTTTCTCTATGTTAATGCTGGAGGTTACACCTGATGCATATTGCATAGCCTTTATGAGGTCTTTTATCATTTTTAGTGGGGCTGTCAGTTGTGAATGATGCAAATTAATATGTGACCTTCTCTGTCCTTGTGTTCACTCCAGAATCTATTCATTGGTGCAGGAAAAACTTAAACAGCATTGAGTTGCACATTTGAATTTGCAGCATCCCAGACAAGCCAACAAGTGCCTAACTAATGTAAGAAACAGACGAACAGCAGCTGTCTAAAACAAAGACCAGCAGCACTTAAAAAGGACAAGAGGATCATCTGCAGGTGAAATTCACAATTCAAGAGGTTCAATCTGACTGAGTTTTTGGTCACATTAAAATTATTAAAATTATACCTCCATACTTCTGAATTAGTAAAGCAAACCAGACCACCAGAAATAAGAACAGGAATCTCTATTTAATTATTCTGTATTCCTGTCACTGCTCCCGTCGAGTCTGTATCAGAGCAGACAAACTGCAGTTAGAAAGTAGTTCAGAAACGCTGTGAGTGAGTCATCATCAGCCAATAGACAGCAGGAGGCTTTTTGCTGTATATACAGAACTGGATCGGCTTTAAAGGTACAATGTGTGGAAATAAAAAAATACTGCTCACAACTCTTGTCGTAAAAACTCCAGAAGTGAGCGTGGCCTTCAAGGACAAAAGCTGCTTTTGACTGTGATTCTCCATCTGTCAAGTTTCTACTATCAAAAACTCCCATCTAGACAAATTCTCATGTGCACAACAACAACAACCATCCTCTTCTTCTTTTCCCTCCAGCTGGTGCATTTCTGGCCACCACTCACTTTATACAAATACACATTCTTTATTTGTGCTCCTATAGAAACATGTCAGTGACATCCTTAGAAGAGGACCAGCGCTTATGTAGTTATAAAAGGCTCATTTAAGTTAAAGAAAACAAAATAAGTTTCTGAAAATACTTTGTTGACCTCAGTTTTAGTACAAACAAATTATATAAATAGCTGCACTGATGGCTTAGCAGCTGAAGTGGACCCAGTGTGCAGAGGCTGGTTGCACTTCCTTTTACTGTAGGACTAAATTGTTAATATCTCCTTGCCTTGACCCTTTGCTGCATGTTTACCTCTACTCCTTATTTCTCACATTTCCTGTCCCTCTTTAGCTGTCCTATCAATTAAAAGCAAAATTATATTGTCAAATTATACACATACAGGACATCAGTAAGACAAAAAACAATAACTTGTCAGTTCATTGAAGAAAGTCAGCATAGAGAGACAAATAAGTAAATATGAGTGAATTAAAGACAAATAAAAATAAGAGTAAAGTAAAATAGCACAAGAAGTTTAAACTGGGTAAAACACCAAAGTGACTGCATAAGCTCATTGTTTTTTACACACTGTACCTTTAAAATCAGCTCACACCATGTATGCAGCCTGTTTCACTAACAGCCATTCAGCTGAACCAAAACATTATTCAGAACAGGGCTTGTTTTAACTCCACTAATTAACTCTAGTATCACTATTAGCAAATTAAAATCTGCACAGAAGATAGAACTCTTGCGACCCTCCTCAATTTATTAAAACATTTCTTAAGGTAACATTATAGAAGAACTTTCAGTGGTGATTGTTTTTGCCTTTGCCTTTGTGTTGTTTGCATGAATTGGCCCTCGTTCAAAATAACCAACAGGGGAGCCATTGTGTAAAACAAATAAGCCAGACACAAACTTACCAATTTTATTACAGTCATCAGCCACACAATGCTACTGAGCATTTGCAGACAATAAAAACTGAGCTGTTATTGTTTATTCCTGCAGAACGGTCCAAATGCCTTCAAGCAAAATGCCTGACTTGCTCTGGTTGTTCACGCTGTTTTCACAATTCTGAAATACATCAAGTTGAAATATCTGCTTTACCTTCTGTTTTCAGGATCTGGAGAGACGAAACAATGAGTTGGAGGATCAGGTTCAGAGTGCAGAAAAGACGCTCGCCTCCAGCTGTGAGGAGCGTGAGCAGGCGGAGGGCGAGGTCAGACGAGTTATCGAGGTCCTGGATGTCAAAATCTGCGACTTGAGAGACCTGAAACAGAGCCTGGCGAAACTCATCGACAAGTAGTGGTAGCGGCATCAACAGCAGCATTCAGGCTGCGTCTTCACAGTCAGCACTGGTTGCACTCCTGTAGTATTGTCCTGGTGTTAGAGCTGATCAGAAATCAAAGCAATACTGAAGAGTTTACCTTCATAGATCTGTTTTTTAAGATCAGTGCTGGCAGACAGCAGGTGTCAGTAACTCCTCAAAGAAGCTGTCTGCAGAACAAATCACTATCACTTCATAACTGCGACTTTGGTTATCTCAACAGTGCACAGGATGGGTCATTTAGCAACTGCTCCTTGTTTGTATTAAACATAGTTCTCAGCAGCGGCATGCCCTTTAACTTTAACAACAAAGAGATTTTTGGACCTGATTTTCTTTATCTACCATCACCAGAAACTCTGAAAGCTGCTGATTAATTTGCTCTGGAGCAACAGCGCCCTCCTCCTCTTTTCTGTACCATAGCAACTCATCAGTGTATTCTTTAAACCAACTTGATGCCAGAGGCAGATAGTCTTTCCAGAGATGGTCATAAATAATGTTTATGGTTTTTATACTGATGTCTCGCAGACCTGAGGCCACCACTTGCAAATAATACACAGTAAACAATGAGAAAAGGACTTGCACCAAATGCAGTATGAGGTTGTTATTTTGTAAAAGTGGACATTTTAAACGAATAGCTAAAGGTTTTCTGTTTGTTTTTCTTCACTAAACACAGTCTACTTGTCTGAATACATGCCCTCGATATATTTAAGAGGGAACAAATAAAAGGCAATGGCCTCACAGTGTTAATAAAAGGCTCTGAAGCTGTACTTTCCTGCTGAGCTGGAGGTCTCAACCATTTAACGGGGTCTGAGCTCAGACAATTAAACTACAGTCCAGTAACAGCAGGAAGTAAATAAGGAAGTTTTATGGGTGTATAGCTCTCTAAACACTCCAAAAAACCAATACTTTACCTGATGTTTGTCAGATTTTAAGACTTTAAAGACACAACAAAGCAATTCTCCTTAAATGTGTTTTTCACTGCAGTTTGGCTTCAACTCACATGTAGCCTGAGGCCGACATACTCCGATATTCCTGTATGGATGAGGCTTTTCTTCATAGTGGTGTAGGTCTCACAGGCTGTACACACATGATAAGCAAGTAAAATGTCTGATTTTACACAGTAACAACCTCAAGTTCATGTCGGTGTTATCCTTCCTTTAACACCTGGACTGGCGTCACAGAAGTCCGAACATCCACAAACTCAGAGATGCAACAACCTGCTCAGATCGCCAGCGTACAAACATTTAATTTTTTGTTTAACGAGGATCGCTCTTTCCTACCACTTATTCTATTATTCATGTTCATTGATGGGTTTCACTCACAGTCAGGGAGGGAAATCAACGATGGCTTAAGGCCAGATCACTGCTAAACGCCACATTGACAGGTAGATCAGCATGTGAAGGACAGATTTGGATGTGTTGCTGTGGCCTGCAGACAAAGACACTGCTTTCCCGCCCTGATTCTTTTGAATTTAATTTGAAATTGCACTCAATGTTTGTGCCAAGTTTTATTTTGTTTACATTTGTCAGTGTTCACAAAATGATGCAGTTCCACTTTATGTACCTCTTTTTTCTGACACTATAATTTTACCGTAACAGGAACAATAACCCTTAAGGGAGGCTCAGAGAAGCTGCAGAGCATAGATCACAATGAGAGCACTGCATGAGCTCTGCAGAAGCCCCAAACCTGCCAAGAAATGTGAAGCTGCGTGTGTGTGTGTGTGTGTGTGTGTGTGTGTGTGTGTGTGTGTGTGTGTGTGTGTGTGTGTGTGTGTGTGTGTGTGTGTGTGTGTGTGTGTGTGCGCGTGTGTGTGTGTGTGCGCAAGTGTGTGCAACCTGAGACTGCTCGAGTCAAAAAGCACAACTGCAGTAGTTTTAGTACTATGTTGTCGGTACTAAATTGACTTGTGCGTTAGCTTTGTATGTGAACCTCAGATGCACAGTAACTATTGATCTTAACTTCTCACCCCTGATGAGTTATTGATTTCTTCTTATGACAGTTCTGTAGGGAATATTAAGGTGCTTTTTTTCGGCTGATGATGCTCTACCAGCTAGGATCATGATTACATGTCAAAATATGATTTCAACAGATCATTATGAAAACTTTTGATTAAAAGAAATCTATCTGATAATGTGATCGCCGCAAATTATGGCAATTCGCTTTTGCAGTTAGCAGTATTTCCCTGAACAGGTTGTGACTTTTCCAGCTGATGGTGTATTTAATACCCGTCTCCTCTATAGTGTAAGTTGGATTTTCAGGCCAAAATAATATCACCTCTGTAGTTCAACAAGCTTAGACGATAGTTGTAGTAATAATGTTACGGCATCATGTCTCTGTAAAGGGTTTATCATTTAGACTTCATTGTTTTCAAAGTTACTACACAGCCTGGGAGCTCTGATATCAGCTGCTACGTGTGACACCACAGAATTAGCAATAAAAGACTAGCATAGATGCCTGTTTATATTTGATAAAAGTAATTCATAGGTAATGAGAGATCTGTAAAGCCTGCTCGTAATCAATCGTTTCACAGATTCACTAGATTATAACAGATTGCTACCGGCGTTTTTCAAGCATGAAGGCAATGCAGAGGCTGTCAGCGCTCCAGCATGAGTTCCTCACCATGACAGAAACACTTTTTGCTTTCCAGCAGCCTTACTCCAGAGTATGTCATACAAAAAAATCCTGAAAAAAGACCATTTAGTTCCTCTATAGGCTCCAATTGGGGCAGGGATAGTCTTTTATAAGTAGCCCCAAGCTTATTTTTTCTATCTAGGATCAATTACTTGTGGCGTTATTGTTCTAAAAACATGGTATAGGTACACTATCTGATCAGCTGTGTTTGATTTAATAAAATGTATAAAGTATCATCGGGTGCCTGTAACAGTTGAAATGAGAAATACAACATATACTGTTTATTCAGGAATATTGGGCAAAATAAAATTTACACTTTAGTCTCGAATTTGTTCTCTTGATGGGTCAGTTTGAATCTTGTTTCTCTCATTTGTGTGTTTGGATGTTAGGGAGCGATTAAAAAACTTTGAGAAATGTAGGAGATGACCCACGAAAGCTTAAAAAAGAAGACATTTTTTTAACACTTGGTTTCATGTATTGGAGAATGCAAAACCAAAGATACACAACTGTAAACTGGAATAAACTATTTCTGTATGATTATTATCTCCATTAGATTCTGTGATTTAGCTTGATTTTAAATGCTTTTTGATCTGTGTGGACGACATCTGACCTTGAAGCAAGACTCAATACCTCAGAACTTGTCAGTCAGTAGAGTTCAGGCTAGTTTTCATGAAGTAGTGAAAACATTCACTAGTGTTTGTGAGTTAGAGGCCCAGGTTTCTTTTGTTTCAACAGAACCACTGAATCAAAGAGCAGGCGTCTGTAGGATATGACAATGTGAGATGAATTCCTTATATTTGTACAGATCTGTTTAACATTAAAAACCTGTCATGCAAAGTCACAGCTGTGGTGTTTGTGTAAAAAAGAAAACTGGTATTATGCATTATGTGTGTCCTACATCTTTGTATTTAAATTGTCTATCTGGTATCCCGTGCCGACTGAAAATCACTGCAGATCAAGTTGACTGTCCAATAGGCTGTGGGTGCAATAGTCAAAATCTTGCAGGATTCCAATTAAATTTTAAGTTGCTTATTATCGGTGATATGTTGTAGGATATCTTAAGTTTTTGTGACTGCAGAGGCAGCTGTCTCTTTTGCTCTTTGCTTCAAGCACTATCATGTCAAATGTACTTTAGTCTGTATTCTTAATCATGCGAGAAAGGCCTGTTTTTCTTTCTGCTGCACAGTCCTGTTGACTCAGACTAACACCGCCTCGTGTGCCAAATTCAGCTGAAAACATGGCCAACCAGTACAAACAGACACCAAGCTGGTCAGGTTTTGGTGTGGGCCCAGTGTTTGGTTTTTAAACCAGAGCCAACCATAAGGTTTACTGCTGTAAATCTACTTGCCCAAGTCTTATTTAGATATTTTAGTTTGGGAAACCCTGTCAAACAATAACTTCAACTGTTTGGCAGTCTTTCTGCTTCTGTTATAATCTGCACCAGCTGAGCGTGTATTGCACAAAAGGAGATTATGTCACACCAAAAATGTAATGTGCTGCTGAATAACACAGACCAGACAGACTGGATCATTTTCTTACATTTATTTTAGCACAAGTTGGCTTAAACAGCCGATTTTGTAAAATGTCTACTTCAGCTTCTTCTTGGGGCGAAGGTTGTTGGTGTGTCCACACTTCTTCTTGCGGCAGTTGACGGCACGGGGGTGCAGACGAGCGTAGCACCTGCAAATTGAATGGTAAACTGAGGTCAACCTTTTTGGATTTACAAATAAGTCCTTAAAATTTTTAAACATATATGAACATTTCTTCCTAACTTTAGATTAAGGTTTAGGGCACAAGAAATGTACATCCCAAATTTCTGATCACTGGTGAAAGGCTGAAAACTCTTTCCGTAATGTATATTATTCAAAAGAATGACAGTATAGGGCACCACCACACCTGTCAGTAAGTGATACAGCAAATCTTGTTTGTCACCTCTTATTCATAGTTAACTAAACCCACACTTTGGTACCATTAAGAGGCTCCTCATCTTCATGTCAAATCACCAGCTCAGCCAATGACAGCAGAGCTCCACAAAATTATTCAAACAGCTGGTTGCTATGAAAGTCTTAACTTACTTGCGGCAGATCATCTTGTCGCAGTTGTATTTCTGGGCCAGCTGTCTGAGTGAAGGCTCGATGATACCACCACGCAGACGCAGAACCAGATGCAGGGTGGATTCTGGAGAGAAATCAAGACGTTAGAGTCGACCCAAAGTTCAGTTACATCCACATGCAACCTGATAGTGAGCTGTTTCTTTCTAAATTGTTCCTATTTATTAAGTGTTTTACAAAAGTTTAAAGCTGGGGTTTACTAGGACGAATCAAAGTTTCAGCCAATGCGCCTGACACCAACCCTGGTTCATTGGATCAGTGATAACAACTGTACTAATTTAAGGTACTGTTCTTGAGTCCACTTGAAGATGTAGTCTCCAAGAGGCACATTTTAAGTGCACTCTAGCACAGTCGATGGGAGATGTAAAAGCGACTCAAACAAGTTAGTGTGCTTCTTTATTATGTTGTGAATATTCCTCTGAATGCTTCAGAAAACATCTGTACAGGACAGGAAAACTGCTGAAAGGGTTGTTGAAGGAGTCTTCTTACAAATACACAAACAGCAGCAGGATGGATGCCACTCTATTCAGGGAGCATGTCACCACAAAACACTGCTTTGTTTCTTATCACGGAGGATGTCTGCGTTAGGACAGTCAGTACATCAAAGCTGTGTTTAGAGTATACTGTTACCTTTCTGGATGTTGTAGTCGGACAGTGTGCGTCCATCCTCCAACTGTTTGCCAGCAAAGATCAGACGCTGCTGATCGGGAGGAATTCCTGCAAACAAAACAAAACTTATAAAACACACAATTTTAACCAACCAGTCATACAGTCACATAAGAGAAAGTAGAATATACAGTACAGCTCTTGTAATGGGTTGATTTATACTGAAACAACACATGAAGACATAAAATAAAACCCACTTTACAGCATCTGATAGTTATCTAAAATCTGGACCTCTGTGTCTTTCCTGTCTGAACTCTTTTTGACAGTTACACTCAAGTTATGTGACAGCTTACCCTCCTTGTCTTGAATCTTTGCTTTGACATTTTCAATAGTATCGCTGGGCTCAACCTCAAGGGTGATGGTTTTCCCCGTCAATGTCTTCACGAAGATCTGCATGTTTGCAGGCTGGAATAGGAAAATACCGCTGTTAGCTGAAACACCGCACCACAGCTACAGCTAACACGCTCTTAATACCTGACAGCTCTGAAATTATGAGACCAGGAGTGTCCCACACAACTTCTGAAAGGACAAAATGACAATATTATACTTTCTCTTGACTTCTGTTATAGGTTTCTAAAGATTTTTGGGCTAGAGATGTTAGCCTAGTTAGTGTTAGCATTAGAGGACTGCTGGGCCTCGCCACATGCGGGAGGTTAGCACGCTGCTAAAACAACTAATACGTTATTTTCTGCCCTACAGCTGGGTCACTATTGAATAACAGGCGGTAACTTCCGAAACACAGAAGAGATAAAATGTTTCAATCATATTCTACAACATATATTTGACTTAATATCGCATAATATGTCCCGGACCAAACGTGTACCCACCCGGCCGTTAGCTGAGCCTCAACGAAAAGAGAGCGGAAAAGGTTGACACGAATATACGTCACTTCCGTCTCTTGGGTCGCGTATTAATCGTTTTAACGTTCGTGATAAATTTGACACGTATTTTCTTAATAGCTAACAAGTCGATGCTAATCAATCTCTTTCTCATCAGCTTCTATATCGCGAATTTTGCTCTGATAAATGTTAAATTATCTGGTAGCACCTGTGCATTACTTTTAATATCTTTCTGACCCGGAAGTTCGTCACAAATTAATCAAAATTATAACTTTTTATTAAGTTTTTACTATCTAAATGTCACAATTCAGAAAAAAACTGATTAAGCTAATAAATCATTACATACGTTTTCGTTTTCATTCTACAAAAACAGACAGAGGAGGGCGACGGTGAGCCTCAAACTGAGATTGAGCAGACTGCTCCATATGTTTTCGTGGTGAGTTTGAAGTTTTGTTTTTGTTTTATTTTGGATCCACCGTCAGTTACAGCAAAATATGCAGTCACTACTCTTCTTGGGATCCTTATCTTCTTTTCCATTTTCATTAGACATTACAGACATTACATACATAACACTCATTCTACACTTGATTCATACAGTAGCTCTTATTCTCTCTTGCTTGTTGAAAAAATAAACAAATACATAAATAAGATGAACAAAGAAAAGTGAAAAGACAAAAAAGAAAAACAGAACTTATTTTAGGGATAACAAGAAAACTTAATCCATCAGAGAGAAGAGCTGAACTCAATTTCATTTGTGGTACTCCATATGTAAGCAAATACACCTTTAATTTTTTGTTAAAGCTACTTCTGTTAATGTTTAAAGTTAAAAAGTTAGGTAATAAATTGGGTAAAAAAAGATTGTAGAGAGATAGATGACAGCCCCTGCGTCATTCAGCTAGCCTCCTTTCTGCTGCTTATGTCTTTTCAAAAGCTGGATCCCTTCTAGTGTCACTGCATGTCTTGGGTAAGGTTGTCCAAATATTTGAAGAGTTTTAGATACAAGAATGGACATTTATTTACACCTTTAACAGTCTGAATGTTCTGCTTTTTGGTGTTGAGTTTGTCCTCAAACAACCATGTAATCAAAGATTTATCTCTTTGATAGAGCTTACCAAAAATTTTAAGCATGAGCAGCAGACAGACATGTCCATCACACCAGAAGTTGAGGTCCATAATATCTTCACTCACCTCTTATTATTTTTAGTTCATCTTGCTGATATTTAGGAAACAGTAATTGTCAACATGCTGAAACAGTAAAAAAAACATGACAGTTCTGTCTGGAATGTACAATTAATGCAGCCAACCAGACATTGTCAAACCACATTCTGCTGGTATTACAACATACAACAACATGAATCCATAGAAGAAGGGGTTGGTTGCTAAAATGACTCACCTGCAGACCTGACTTGCCAGTTCTGTTTCTAAAATCAGAATTGCACTTTTCAAAATGGGCAAAAGATATGTGATGTTATACAGACAAAGAGAAATATACAGCTGAATGCTGAAATCATTTACTGACTTACAAATAGAAACGTGTCATCCTAAAAATATTAAAACAAAAGTAATCAATAGTCCTTTGTGCGACTTATTCTTGGGCTCTTTGACCTCTTAAATCGATTCAGGAATTAAAAAAATAAGTTAAGAGTAGAAATGAAAGTGTGAAGAGAATATTTCATGAATCTAACAGTCAGCATCCTTTGAGTCTGAGCTTAAAAATTACCTCACTGAGACTTTGCTCTCTGCATATTTTTGTGCAAGATAAAAAAAGGGTATGAACTCCTTAAACTGCAGTTTAACTTAAATGTCTCCTGCAGAGCTCAGAATTCTCTTAAACTACTCATGAAAAAGTGTGACTCTGTTATTCCCTTTTCATGACAAGGTCTTCAGCTCAGCAAAAGTCTTCATTCGTTAAAAATTCAAGTGTATATCAAAGTTAAACTATGCAATCTTATTTTCTTTCTAATCACAGAGAGTTGTATGTTTTTGTAATGAGTTGAATGCCGATAATCTTATTCAGTTGACATGTAAATAAGTTTTGGTCCAGATCGGTACTGGGTCCATCTGAGTGTGAACTGTGTGTTGAAAAAGTTTGAAAGTCCGGCTTCTGCAGTCAACCAGTTTAAACATAAAACCTGGTATGTCATATTTAGGCCAAGACAATAATCCACCTCATGTGTAACTGTCCTACTTCAGACAAAGGTTAGTGTCTGTTTCACACACAGTTCTGATCCACTCCATCACGCATGATTGACCACAAAACTCTATAAAAACAATCTGTGTTGTGGCAAAAACAGAGCCTTGACCCAGAGATGCGGGCTCTACTGATAAAAATTGGCAGTAAAGGAGATGCAAATAAACTGAATTTGGAGTTCATCACCCTTGCAAAAAGGCAATAGGACAGGTATATGAGCGGGAATGACATAGCAGCCCTGCAACTCCAGGTTCAGGTCCAAGGGTTACACATACAAGAACGTGCTGAAATTCAATATTTAACCCCAAAATAAACAAGACAGCTCTTGTCTGGATTGCTGTTGTTTTGTTCAAAGGACCAAGTCAAATATATGTTTATTTTTGGAGGATGATTTAATGAACAATTTTAAAAATGTACAATTTTCAGTCTGTTTTAACCTTTATTTGGTTATTTAAATAGAAACAACCATAAAAAGGGCAGAGATGGGTCCGACACAATTACTTGCTGCAGTATACATTTATCATTTGAGCATTGAACTTGACAGAGCACTGCGTGAGGTGAAATGAAATCTAATAATTCAGAATTAACAGCAAATCACACAGCAATGCACAACTCCTGCCGAATGTTATTTGTTCTCTCTTAAGATTTCATAAAACCAAAGGTAAATAAAAGAGATCTGAGGAGGATCTATGCTCAGTACAAATCAACTTAAGACACGTTTTTGCCAAAGTGTACAGTGTGTATATTGCAATAACCCGATGTAAATGATAGTATTACGGTATAATTAAATTGTCTGACTTGATATAGCTTATTTATCATGTGAAAATTTATGGTGAACCAGATAAGTTTCACAGACATAACAGCTGGCTTTAGAGATGTGATTGTATCAGTAAACTCTGGTCAGCATGTGACATAATGATCATGTGAAAGACTTTCAAAAGCTGAGGCTAACAACTTCACAAACTATCCCAGTGAACCACATTTTTTATTGAGGTGACCCAAATTCCTCTTCTTTATGACTTACAGATTTTACAGTATCTTTTTTGTTGTTGTAAGCTGCTGACTACTTGCAAGTAAAAGATATTGTAAAAAGTAGACCACGCTCTCTGTCGTTTTTCTCAGCTGGGTAAGTCAGATGCAGTAGGGGAGACAGGGGCTTGTTGTCACACTTTTTACATGCTTGTGTATTTCTTGCAATCAGTATAATATATATGTATATATATATATAAACAAAATGTGTACTTGATGACAGACCAAAGTCTCTCTCTATGTTAATTTTAACCCCTTTTAAACATGTGACAACTAACCCTTAAACTACCATGTTTACAAAATAAAGCGCTCGCTTAAAGTTAGCTTAAAACAGAACAATGAATTCGGTATGACAGGACGCCTTCATCTCTTCTCCAATAAGTCCACATGTTTCACTGCTAGTATTTTATCTTGAAGAAGCTTATTTTAAAACAGTATAGTATAGTTATAGTATAGTTAAATTTTTTCACTTTGGGTTGTGCGAAATGGTTAATTGGCGCTCAGCATAGCTCACAATGTTTTTTTAACTCTCTGAATCCCTGCCCGATTTTCACACTGTTTGGTTTGTTATAATGGCAGGGATGTTGCCATAATACAGGACAATGTCCCACATTAAAAATAAACCAAAATATTTTTCAATCGTATTTGTGAAATGTAATCCTACATGATCTGGTTTCAATACTGTGTCAGTTTTTCAACCATTAAGAGCAAAAATACGGGCATAGTTGCTCGTACTCCGTTTGGCTCTTGAGCGAGCCTGGAGTGGAAAAAATATCCAACATGGCAGTGACGCTGGATAACGCTCCAGCGTGTAATGAGGTGTCTACGTGTATAATGTCTATGTCACAAAGTGCTCTTCTCTTCTCAGACAGGACACGACCCCTGACCATGTAAACGAAGAAAACTGGTATTCCACTTTTTTGTTGCGCCCTCTGGTGGCAAAGATAACTGCAATGTTACAACTTACCTGTGTGACAACAAGCCCCGGCCTCCCCTATTATTTTTCTGCCATCTACTTTCAACTTTCCCCTGATTTCTTTGAATCATCTTCAATCATTTATCAGATTAAATATAAGTTTTTAAGAGTATGTTGCCTGTTTGTTACCCGAGGCATTCTGCTTTCAAAATAAAAGCCCCCCTTCAACAAACTGCGAGTCAACGGTCAATGTCTGAGCGATGGATAAACTGTCAAAGTGTAAAAGATAGGCCACATAGAAAGGGTTTAATGTGAAATGTAGAGCTGGGAGATGACTTCTTTTCATTGTCAGTCCACGCGCTGTCCTCCCCTCCTCCTCTTCTGGTTAAGTGGGCGGGCGTGACTCGCACGTGCTCGTTATCATTGGTGTAGGACAGAGAGCAGTTCTGTTTCTGGGCGTTGAATCCGGACACCGTTTAAGAGCTCCTGAGCTCCCACTGAAAACACAGTCGGTGTAAACATTCAGTACAACCCCAACAAGTGTGGACGTTGACTTTGAAGGGACGACTGACTTTGCTCTTGTACTGCCGGTGAGTTTGAGACTTTTAAAAATGTCTGCTCGACGTTTACAACTGTGTATTGAACGTATATCCGGTTCACTGTCCTGATTGGCTGACACGTATACTTTCGAATTCATGACAGACACGCACGAGCTGGATAACGGTACGATGGATATCACTGTTAACCGAAATAGTCCTCTAGAAGTGTTGTTGCCCAGATCATAACAATAAGTTATGCATTATATAATTAAAGTATTGTATTAAGTACTTTTGTATGTATTTGTTATTACTTGACATATTACTGTAAGAATTCTGCATTATTCTCACCACAAAACTTTTCAGAATCTATCATAAGACAGTGGTGTTTTTTATACTTTTGTGCAATTGAATGTGTGCATGGCCCTGTTAATTTATAACAGATTAGAGTCATGCGTGGCATTAGTTTGACACAAATTTGTAAAACGTATTTGGAGATGACAGAGCAGACACTGGAGTGGCTATAGCTGGACTGGCCCCATCCTGTCTGTGACCCAGGGTAGAGCCAAGCAACCCCACCCTGAAAATAAGCTCTGTGTTCAAAAGTAAGAAAACTTCTGTTCAGTTAATAGAAGTTGTACTCTCAAAAGGAACTTAATTTGTGTATTATTATCATTAAAACTGAATCCAGGCCGACATGAGTAGTGTGCCTGATTAAGGGTCCCTTGAAGTCTACAGGAGCTCATGATGCTTGAATTATTTATGCCTCCACCTGGTTGGAGTGGCACATTAAAACTAGCTACACACATACAAACTGACTGTACTGAGAATAATGATATTTATCCCTCAGGTTTGTCCAAAAGTGTGTTTGCACTAACTGTTCTTTTATCACTCTGTCATCCAGGCATGACGTTGAGCTCCATCAAGACCTTCACGCTCGAGCTGGATGGTGCAGCTGATGCAGCATTCACCGGAGGAGAGGTGGTGTCTGGCCAGGTGGTCCTGGAACTCCGGAGGGACACCAGAGTGCACTCCATGAAGGTGCAGGGCAGAGGGGTGGCCACTGCACACTGGCTGGAGAACCGTGGAATGAACTCTGTCTATAATGACTACACCTCCAGGATCACTTACTTCAGGAAGAGGCAGCATCTAATCCGAGGTTAGTGGATAAGGATGCAGATGGTGTCAATCCTACACATTCAGATATATATGATGTACAACAGTTAAAGCTCAGGAGAATTACAGCAGCAGCTTAAAAGGAAGCACTGAACAACATCCATCCTACACTGTTTATTTTTCATGGTGAATTTATGATCTTATTTCTGTTCAAATGTATTAAAGCCTCTGGCTTGAAAACACTGTACATTTTCAACACTGGCAGTTACAGGTTAAATTTTGGCTATAAGCATCTCAAAAGCTGAACAGGACTAATGATTGAATTTCCCTTCAGGGATCAATAAAGTTCTTTTCATCATATTTTATCTTATCTGAAAGTGTCCAGTTGTATGGATCGATCTGGAGTAACTTTAGTCTAAAGGTCACCAAAAATAAAGACTGTGACCTGTGAATGAAAATACAGAGAAACATCTCTGCTGTTTTAAAAAGGACTTGAATATATCATTGGTGCTGGGCTTGTTGTAGTTTTATTTATTTTATTTTTTTTTGAGCCTCAGGGTTATTTTCTTGTAAGATGTCATCCATCATTTGTACTCTGCTGTGATATACATAGTAACAGTGTTCCTGCATGTGTTGCAGCAGGTGGAGGAAAAATGTCTCCCTGAATAATGAGGCGTAAAACTGCTGATTTGCTCTGCCATGTGCCAGCTGGTGGCTACTGCATCTTGTAGTTGCTGCATTTTGCAAAATTAGGCCACCTGAGTCAGATGCGTTGCATGGAAACCTTAGAGATAAATTGACACTAGATTATCAAGATACATCTGCCAGATAACGCAGTATCATAAAACACTCTGCTATGAAGAAAATAATACTGGGAAGTCTGACTTCCCTCAGTGTGGATAGAATCAGACAGCTTAAAAGCAGAGAAGCATAGAATATAGGTCAAAGTGACAGAGTAAATAAACTGCAGACAGCGGTTAATATTTTGTTAGATGTTCTTTAAACAAAATATGTGGTTTGACAACCTGCTTTGGTCCATCTGCAGGGTTTCAAATAACTGCAGGATTTGTTGTTGCTTAAGTAGAACACAAACAGCTGATAATGTGCCCGACTGTTGAACCCAAATGAACCACAACTACAGTTTGCATAGCAAATAATTTCCATAACATTTACTGCTGAAATGCCAACTTCATGCTGTTTTAGAAGAGGCACTATGCAGGTTTGTATGATAATAACCAGCCCACATTGTTGCCAAAAATACACTCTGAATAAAAGATGGTGACAAATGATCCATTAACTGAAATGCTCTCCTACTGGGCTGAGATTGTGAAGTATCCATCACTATTTCGGCTTTATTTTGAGTGACATTTAAAAAGAAAATGTGTTCATTACAGTTACTGTTCACAAAGTTAAAACTGATATTGTTAAGCTTTGTAACGAACCACCTCGAGGGTAACAATTTCAAAACATCTGTGAAAGGATATCATGTGTTCCTCTGTCATTTTGAAATACCTGCTGCTCACAATTCATTACCATTAATTATATTATCACATATATTTTTATGAGCATATTGTTTTAGCAGATATAATGCTAAAAAATAACCTCAAATAAAAGTAAAAATAATAAAAAACTGCAATCTTTGGACACGTCAAGGTGACCTCAAATTTTTAGGTGTTTCATAATGACAGCATATGCTATAATCGGTTGAATGCAGTTTAATGACAGTCAAACAATTAAACACAGCAGAACCAAACAGCTCGACATAATATTCTGCTGAGTAATAAATCACAGATGTTAATCACCTCAGTACTTGTAGAACATTGGGGATTTGACCTGGGAATTTTTCTTTCACACTGACTTTGTGAATAGTCCAATCCAATCTGCAGGATCTGTCTAATAAACAACACATCATACTGTTTTCTCTCTCCTTTATAGACCCTCAAATCTCCTCAGGAAGAAAAAATATTTAATGGATTTAGTTTATGTTTGTACTTGTGTGAGTACAGTTTGGAAAAGCTATAAAAATGTTTTCAAATAAAGCTGAAACTAGGACGTGCTGTTTGGGTCTATTTACTCAAGACCGGGCATGAGGAGAAAGTGGAGGAGAAAGGAAGTAAGTAGAGAAAGAGGAAGGGGAGGGAGCTGTTTAAAAAATGCAGCCCCTGTCACCCTGGCAACAAGGAAAACAACACGTGGCTGCTCCTTGAAGCCGCCCTCCCCCTTCACCATACAGCCTGCCTCTTCACTCCATTCATTTTACAACATGGTGTCATTTCCAGCTCATTTATCTTTTAGTTTTCCATAAACACGTCTATCTGTGATTGATTGGTTTTCCCTTCTTAAATTCATATGCGTTCCAGTCTGGTTTTGGATGAGAGTTTCAGACTGTTTTAGGAGTTGCCCCAATTTTGTGTTTCTCATGCAAACACCAACTATTAGTAGCTACTCTTGCTTAAGCTCCTTTGGCTCCAAAGTATGATAGCCTTCCATGTAAATATTGGCTTCACTGTGCAGCTGTTGAGTATACAAAGACACTCACGTGGATAAATAAGTGTACTTTAGTCTGCAGCAGAAGTAAGCGTATTTCCACCCATGATTAGGCTGATCACACTGAGTCATCTGCACAGCATGGTACACTTATCAAGCCCACCAGACCGTGTAGATAATGACTTGTTCTTCTTATCAGAGCTAAAAAGGAGACTCCTCACAGGAACAGGCTGCTTCTCCTGTTCACCAGCAGGTGGTGTGCTGGGATTTTTTTGACATTAGGCTTGGGCTACATAACACAACACTGCAAGCAACAACCTAGAGATTAAGGCAGAGACAAAGCAAGACATAAAAACCTGGTTAAATTCTGCTGTTTATGCATTTTCTCCTTGAAATGAGCTTCTTGTCGTAAGAAAAGATGAAGACAATCGTTTCTCTTCTAACCTTTCAGCCCATCAGAACATTAAAGTTCACCCAGAGGCCCAGTGTTATGCATTCTCCATCTGTAATAAGTCTGAAAACTTCCTTTAAGTACCAGATTTACAAACACCCCAACTCAATTTCAGGCTGTGTGAAAGCATCCTGTCAGTCTTGCAGCTGTGCACAATGCCTCTATATCACCAGCGGGTGGCACTACAGAACCAACAAGTCAGCTCAGAGAACAAAGGAGTAAACAACTTTGTTTTTCTCAGCCCACACTAGTTTTCGTCCTATGCATTTGAGATTGAATGAAAAGTACAATCCATTTTATAAATCAAGCTGTTTTAGTTTAGCTTGTTGATTGCTGATGGTTTTCTGGGAAAGTCTGTTCTGAATGGGGTCTGCTGTGTTTGCAAATGTTAAGTTTATATTTGGGTGTGAATAACAGCTGCATGGGTTCTTCGATTCATGCAAGTGGTATATCTGTTGCACCGCTTTATTGTTGTTTTTGTTGTTGTTGTTTTGCAGTACCTGTGTAGTGACACTTCAGCTCTAAAAATGGAAAAGTTGTTTTTCAGGAGAGGATTTGGTGGCATAAGTTGCATGCTCGGCTGCATAGTTGTGTGTTTTCAACATGTGCTGCAGCCCGGGCTGTACAGTAACAGTATGTTCAAAGCAACATGGGTAAAGTGGAGTAAACAGCTTTGGTTCAGAGTAAAACTATTTTCTTCTGAGCTGTGCAGGGGCGGATCTCTGTCACAGGGAGGTATGCCCAGTAAGCCTGTTTTCTTCTAAGAACCTGTAACCATCAATCATCACTAGGGCCTGTTTTCCTCACTGCTGCCTCCACACCCAGTCTGCATGTTTGTTGTGCTGCTTTCATGTACGGCTCGGAAATTTGAATGTATCACATAGAAGTTATTCAAAAAGTTGTAAAACATATAAAAAGTGGTGATTTACATGACACACAAGTTATAAAAGTCATGAGAGCTGCTATCATAAAACGTCTAGAGGACTTTTTAGTTGTGTTATGATGGTGATGTTGGTGGTTTAATTTTCAGGTTTTGCCCTGACATGTTTTTGCTGATGTGTTCACCTCCTGCAGCACCAAAACACATTAACATAGGCCTACAAATAGAAAAAAACTTAATTTCAGCTTGTAAATTGAGGAACCTAACCTTTTTAAATCCAGTTGAAGTGTTTTGTTAGATGTTACAATGCAAAGAAAAAGCTAGAGCTAATTGCATTTGTCATATCCACTGTGTAGAAGTTTATTGTCACTTAAGACAGCTGCTTTGGCCTATATCAAATTATAAGACTAATATAGAAGACTTTTATGATTCTGCTGCAAAGTTTTATCTCAAAAAGGTGACTAACTGTGGCCACATGTCTTGTTGACATCTTTGGAGCTTCAAGTCGGGGCCAAGGAGGAGGCCCTGAAGGCAGCATCCGCCTTCAACCCTCTCCTGAGCCTTACATAATAAAATCAAGCCCCGCCCACCTCCACAGCCTCAAAATAGGGCTGCAGAGCGAAAAGGTTCAACAGTTTAAGCTTTAAACACGAGACAAAAGACACCTGAAGACGCTCTTCAGCTGACTGGAAGGATCGAAGGACAAGGATAGAAGAAGCCACTAACTTTTGAGAGGACTTGTGCATCGTGCAGAGATGATTTTCGACAAGTTAAAAAAGTTTGACATCGTCTTCGACTCTCCGGAGGTGGACAGTCCTCCAGTCTTCAGCAGCGGGGACGTGGTGTCCGGACGGGTGGTGCTGGACCTGTCCGGGGAGAGTCGGGTAGAGTCCCTGAAGCTTCACGCCGAGGGATTCGCAAAAGTTCACTGGACCGAATCCCGGTCTGCGGGTTCCAGTACCGCGTACACCCAGAACTACAGCGACGAGGTGGAATATCTGAACCGGAGAGAAGTGCTGCTGCAGGCAGGTCAGTGCGCTCTGCACGCTGGGTGATCTCTGATGGGGGATGAGAGCAGAGATGGAGCCTGTCTGGAAAAGTTCTCAAACTTTCTGATAGCTGAGCATAAAAACAGGTCAGGTCACTAAGAGGTAGTTTTCTCTGCAGAGCTATAATATTGTTTTTGTAAAATCAACATTTAGTCCTTCATTTTCTGATTGTACTTCAAGTCTGCGAAAGTCAAAATAGTTGGAACTCTTTTAGGGTTAGAGTTAAAATGTGAGTTTCTTGTTGTTGCTAAATGTCAGATAAACTTTGTGAATCAGACAACAGTCGAAGTTACTTGATCAAGATTTGTCGTTACCTACTTCCTAGAAAACAGTGAACAGCTATATTTAGAAAAGCACCAAAACAGCTCCAAAGATCCACTCATTCATTCCACAAAGAAGTCAAGAGTGCTTTCAGCATTTATTCAACCATAAGATAGGTTTGGTGTTGTTAATCACTATCTGATAATAAAAAGTTGGAGCTCGTGCAGCAACAGCTGACTTTGCAGTTTTTCTGACTTTGGAAAACATCTGTCGAAAGAAAACTGCGCTGACTACTTGGAGGAGTTGTTTTTCTCTTGAGTGAAGTGGGAGAGCCTCCAGTCTCTGCCTTCATTCATTGGGCACAGAGATGTTTTGGTTTAATGTGCAGGCAGGAAGTTTACTGCCAGAACTTAACAAGTTTGGGCCTTTTTCATGCAGTTTTCAATCTCACTGCCTCATTTGGCATTTTACGAATAAAAGTTTTGGGAAACTTGTAACTTTGTTGTATAATTGACTTAAGTTAGAGGGTTCTCTGCCAGCGTGCACAAAAACAAGCAGCAGAAAGCGCCCAACAACCCACTTGACCCATTAAGAGGATTTGACAGTGACAGTATTGTTATTGAAATGAAGTTGGAGCCTCCAGCCAACAAAGGGGACTCAAAACACATCCAATCTTTTAAACACATGTTCCCGAACCTTTGCAGCAAGATTGAGAAAGAGAAAAGAAGGGAAAAAATACAGGGCAGTCGAGACGTCGTTGGCGAAAACATGTTCTCCCTTTGCACAATGAAGCAGGAACCGCCCCTCTGAGCAAGCACAGCAGCCATGTGACTGCGCACAGACAGAGAGATTTCTATTTCAGAGTCATGCTTAACAGATCTGTTCTTACATTCCCAATAAAAGTGTTCTTTCGGAGGGTTTCCAAAGAACAGTGGTGGTTATTTGCTTTTCAGAGTTTGCATGAATTGTGCTGGTTAAGCAACGCTTAAATGGGGCCTCGTTTGTCGCCTTCTCTTCCTTGTTGTGTGTGAATAAGCTAACAGAGTCCAATACTCAACCACAGCCCAGATAAAGAGACTTTTATGATGTCATTCGCAAAATAATTCATTTACCTCTGTGATTTATTACTTAATGCACTACTTCCTGATGCACATAGTCATCCTGAAAGTAAAAAAAAAACACTTTCTGTCCTGAACTTATCAAATTAAGTATTCAGAACCAAAACCAATAAACGATTTAAAACTTAAATTTGTTCTTTTTTTGCTTTTGTTTCCTCAGATAACGGTGAAATGACCATCCTCCCTGCTGGCAGACATGAATTTCCATTCAGTTTCCAGCTCCCTGAGGAGACACTGGTCACCTCCTTCGAGGGAAAACATGGTAGCATCCGATACTGGGTCAAAGTGAAGCTCCACAGGCCGTGGGCCACCGTCAAGAAGATCAAGAAAGAGTTCACCGTCATCGAGCCCATCGACATCAACACACCAGCCTTACTGGTGAGCCTCTCAGCAGTCACATTTCAGAAATCAGCACACACTGCATGATTTTTCTGGGTGTTTGAGGCTCATTTGGTTGCATTCTTTCTAGGCACCACAAGCTGGAACAAAAGACAAAATGGCACGGGCATGGTACCGTAACTTTGGACAGGTGTCCGTGACTGCAAAGATTGACCGCAAAGGCTACACACCAGGTAAGAACCAGGAAATAAAAACACGATTAACAAAAACAAGGTCTCTAACCATTCTTTTAATGAATGTTGGTCATTTCTAACATGTTCTTTCTCTTTGCAGGTGAAGTGATCCCCGTTTTCGCAGAGTTTGACAACTCTACGTCTAGATCAGTCGTTCCCAAAGCCTACATCACTCAGACACAGACGTTCATTGCACGGGGCACCATGAAGCAGAAGCGCTCAGTGGTCGGGACGCTTTGTGGTGATATCGTAGGGGCCAGAAGCAGGGAGACGTGGCATGGTCGAGCCATTAAGATCCCACCGGTGGGGCCCTCCATCCTGCAGTGCCGCATTATCAAAGTGGAGTACATGCTGAAGGTGAGCCCAGTCTTGATGTAACCTCTCATTTAAAGCAGACTGTTGCTGTGTTTTTGACTGATGTCATTAAAAGCCCCGCCTTTTTCTCTTCCGCCAGGTTTGTGTTGATGTTCCTGGGACATCTAAGCTGTGTCTGGAGCTTCCGCTGGTCATTGGCACTATCCCCCTCCACCCATTTGGCAGCAGGACCTCCAGTGTCAGCAGCCAGTACAGCGTCAACCTGGAGTGGCTGCGCATGGCCATCCCTGAGCAACCTGAGCGTAAGTGTCATTCAGTACTGCATGACAGACTGGGAGAGGTGTCGATCTAGGTTTACTGATATAACAACTAAAACAATTTTAATGTTATGGCACGACAACGCAGGAACATCTTGTTCTTGGTAATATTTGTTTATGGGGAAAAACATGATTATGCTTTGTTTTTCTCCTCACATAGTTGAAGAATCCTAGCTGTCAGTGTTTAGACTCTGCAGATAAAAACACATGACACACAGTCTGCGAAGCAATACAGCCTCATTATTGTTTATTTTTCAAACCATAGCCAATATTCAAGGATGTTTGCAATCTCGAAATGAAGCGTGCAGTGCGCCTGATTCATAAAAACAGAACACTGATTGATTCCAGAGGCTGAAGTGTGATTGCCCCTTTTTTGTTCTTAAAACAAATTAATCCTTTGAGGGACCTCTTTTAGCTTTGTTGTTAGGTCTCATTTTTAGCTAAAGTTCCATTTTCTGATGCCAACACGCACAAAACTCAACAACAGCAGCATTCAGCCGAGATTCATGTGGGATTAAATCAGTGTTTGTTGGTGCAAAAGGCAGAAAATGTTACGTAGGGGTTTTAAGAGTTTTAAGTGATGACTCAGCCGCTCAGTGTTTGGACCTGCTCTGTCGAGTTAGACCAGCTGACTAATCCTGCCTGTTTCCCTGCAGCTCCTCCAGATTACAGCTCTGTGGTGACAGAGGAGGAGGCTGAGCAGCGAAACAACACGGCGGTCCCGCCACCGGCCGAAGACCTGAGCGGGATCTTGGAGCGCCCCCTTATGGCATTTGTCCAAGAGTTTCGCTTCAGACCACCGCCAGTTTACAGCGAGGTGAGCCAGCACAAGCGACTCCTATTTTTATTTTTTTATGATTGACTTTAAAAGTTTTCTTCTTTAGTAAATAAGTTTTTTCTTTTTTTTCTTCTGGCTTCGATCTAATATATTTTGTATTTCTGTTTTCTGCCCACAGATCGATCCAAACCCTCAGCCCTTAAACATGAGACCCCGCTGCATGACGTGTTGAACCATGAGTCCTGCCTGAGTGTCAAGCGACATGAGTTTTAACAAAACCAATCATGAGATTTGTCTTCTCCTGGATTATTCTCTCCGGTAAATGGCACCTGGTCCCACCAAGTGTTGCAGAGGGGGACCGGAACGCCAAGGAGAGGTCAGGGGCGAAGCTCACAGGAACTGGACTTTCAGTGGAAGAGCTGCCACTTCGTTTTCCAGTCAATGCAGTAAAGTGGACTCTTTCCTGTTCTGTTGCGAGAGAAGAAACTCCTTCACATCAGTTCCTGTCCTCCCTGAGTGATCAAGCTATAAATACCTCCCAATCAATGGTTCCCTATTATGAAGCGGATTTTTGAGATATGGGACATACCTGGGGGGGTGGATCACTTTGTACCAGTCAGTTGGGGAGTTTGAGATGCATCTGGTAGTCAGATGTTTTTTACAAAACGCTCTTGATTAGGTGGCACATGGTCCTCCTTTGAGTGGCGTTTAAAAGAGATAAATGCAGTTATTACCTTTAACTCCTTGTTCTGGTTGCACAGTAGACTTTAACAACTTGTATGGCTATGCATTGTGTGAGAAAGCCGCAGAGTGCCTGTGACACTTTCTACTGTTACTGAAGCATAAAGTGTATCTGAAAGTGGACAAGTGAAGTAAGCAGATGTAGACGTATTTTAATGCATGCAGGTCACAATATTTCAAAGGGAAAACTATGTATGCCTTAATTATCTGCCGTTGAAGATTGCATGAGAGTTTCAGGAAGTCGTTCTCTCAGAGGTGAAAACAATTTAAAGCAAAAACGCTTCAAACTCAACTAGTGTGTGGATGAGTTCCAAAAGAAGTGTTGTGTTAATGGAAAGCTTAACGCACTCAAATGTCACATAGCTGTGGTTGTTGACCTTAGCGCGGTGATTAAATAGGATGAGCAGTCTGTGTATAGAGCTGCAAGAGGCTCATAGATTAGCTCTCCCAGCTGCTAAACAAAAGGAGGAGGAGGAGGAGGAGGTGAACTCGGAGCTCTTGATGGGAGCCAGATGCCTCGGTGCTGTGTCGTTCAAGTCGAGCCTCAAGCTGGAGATGCCACTGAAATGTTTGTGCGCGAGGAACATTCCAAAAACTGACTCGAGGATGATACTTTACTCCTCAACTTCCAAAAAAGAAAAACTGTCAGGAGCATGAAAAAAGTCTTCAGGGTCAGCTGTGCGACGTTGTTGTCACGCACTGAAAAAACGACTGTATTTTTATACAAATGTTATTGTTGTTTCACAATCTTACCAAAGTTTTGTAATTGATTTTTATAATAAAAAAGCTGAAAATTATGTCTGCACTCAGTGTTTCATTCAAAGTAGTTGTGTAAGCTGCGCTGTGTTTGAGAAATAGCAGAGGGCCAGTTTTATGCATGTTGCGTGACAGTGAAATGGTACATCATGTTTTACAGCATGAGTCAAAGAAATATCAGTGCCAAGAGGAGGGCTCAGCACAGAAACACGGAACAGCCAGTGAATCAAAAACAGTAATTAGTTCGGTCTGTGACAGCTCTAATATTCTGCTCTGACACAATCCAGATTTACTCCGTGTTTTATTGCTTCTCATCCTGTTCAATCATAAAAGATTGTAATAAGTTTTTAGTGTTAAGACAACCGTAAATCACTAGCAATCAAGAAGTACGATAAACTTTATTTTTCCTTTTCATGGGTGACAAAATCTTTTTTTTAATTAAATAAAGAAGCATCCCTATTGACTAACACAAAAACCAAACTTACATTAAAGTTATTAAGAAGAAAGTTAGCAACAAATTATGAACTCTAACAATAAGACTAACAGACAAATACACTCCCTGCACTCCCACTGTCCCTTACAATCATGACAAAGTTAAGTACGAGGCTCCTCCCAAGTACATTTTATGATGTGACAGTAATTGTCACATGAACATCTAATCCAACAGTTTGTATTGAGGTGAAGTCAGGTGACAGTTATTCTGCACGTCCAAGAAAAGTGAAAACACAGAGCAGCCAAAACTAATCCTCTCTCCTCATTAGTGGATCATCAAGCAGTGATAATGTATGTATGTAAAGAGTCATTTATTAGGTGATCATAAACACAATCAGCTGATAATTCAAGTAATTTTCTAAGATAAAAGTGTGTAGTCACAGCTTTTTCAAGATGTGAACAGATAAGCTGAATGTGGTTCAAATTTAAGCAAGAGAATAATCTTCAAAAGGAGAAAAGAGAGATGTATGCAGAAGAAAGAATACATTGAGACTTAATTAAGTAACACTGATTATAAAAGTAATATTAAAAAATAGATAAATGACAAAAGGCCTATTACAGTGCATTTATCTATTCATAAATTAGGCAAGAAATCAATCATAAGGAGTAAAAACATCACAAAGAAAAGTGTCAAATAATTAAAATGTGATTAAAGGATGGAGCACTAACAGTATCATAAGAAGGTTAGGGGGTGAAATAAGATGTACGTAAAATTCTACCAATAAGTGCAAAAGATTACTTAAATCTACATAAATACTAAAATGTGAAATTTTTAACATATGATACTATGAGAGTTTTTCACAACAATTATATAATATACTGTAACATTTTTTTCATACTTAAGTTTTACTATGACATTTTTAACATACTATACTGTGACATTTTTTAATATACCATACTATGATATTTTTCCAAACTAAAACTTGAAAGTCTTATCATACTATACTATGACATTTTTTTCATAATAAAATTTTATTTTTTATCATAGTATACTATGACATTTTTTTACACACTATAGTATGACATTTTTTAACAAGAATTTGAAATTCTTAACATACTATACTAAGACATTTTTTCTTATTAAAATGTAGAATTTAAATCAGACTATACCATGACATTACTATCATTCTATCCTTTTTTCATACCATACTATGGCCTTTTTATTAGACTATACTATGACATTTTTATCACACTAAACCATGATTTTTTTATATCCCTCTATACTTTGCCTTTTTTTTCATACTAAAATTTGAATTTTTTATTAAAGTATACTATGACATTTTTAACTTACTCTACCATGACATACTATGACCAAATTAAAAAATGTAAAATTCTTATTATGCTATACTGACATTTTTTTTTCATACCATACTACGACATTTTTTTTCGAAATAAAATTTTAAATTTTTATCATAGTATACTATGACATTTTTTCACAAACACTGCTATGCACTCCACCACTGTGCTGCCTGTGTCACAGTAGACCTTTGAATTGTACTATTCTTTAATTACATTCACATACTATACTTTGATATTTTTTCAGACTATACTATGACATTTTTATTGTGCTATACTATGTTATTTTTACATACTAAAATTTAAAATTGTTATCATACTATACTATGATATTTATATCATACTATACAATGATAATTTTATCTTACTGTACCTTAACTTTTTTTCATACAGAAATGTGAAATTTTCATCATAGTATACTGTGACATTTTTATCACTCTATACCATCCGTATTGTTTACACTCAAATTAAAATCTTTTATCATAGTATACTATGACATTTTTATCACTCTATACCATCCGTATTGTTTACACTCAAATTAAAATCTTTTATCATAGTATACTATGACATTTTTATTGTGCTATACTATGTCATTTTTACATACTAAAATTTAAAATTGTTATCATACTATACTATGATATTTATATCATACTATACTATGATAATTTTATCTTACATTACCTGAACTTATATTCATACAGAAATGTGAAATTTTCATCATGGTATACTATGACATTTTTATCATTCTATACCATCCGTATTTACACTCAAATTAAAACCTTTTATCATAGTATACTATGACATTTTTCATCATACTATACTATGATATTTTAATCATACTATACAACAACATTTTTTTCATACTAGAATTTGATTTATTTTTTTAAACTTAATTTACTATGACATCTTTGTCATAGTATACCATGACATTTTGAGAACACACTATACTTTGTCATTTTTACATCAAAATCAGCAAGAACACTTAAAGGCAGTCACAAGCACCAGCCATCACAACTGTCCTGGCTGCCATGTAGAGCATTCCATGGGGGATGACAGGCAGTGTGATAGTGCCGTGGTCTGCTGGGGAGGCCGTCCATGGAGGTGGCGGCGCGACACGCCTCAGGCCCGTTGGTGCCTCAGCTATTTGTCACAAACAAAAAAATTCAAGCACACAGAAAAGCTACTTAACTACAGTAATTTGAGGATGTAATTTGTTATTTCTCTGACTGGTTCTTGATTTGACCTCTTAAGATAGGATTGTATGAGGTTAGTAAGAGCTCTAATAGAGTAGTTTTACTAAATGTAAAGGATGATGCAGTATACAGGTCACCCCATCAACACAAATTACACCCAGCTTTAACTGCAATACAGCATCCTAATAAAAAACAAAAAGCCAAAAATAAAGTCCTCCCCTCCTGCTGAAAAAAAAAATGACGTAATGCATCAGTGTTGGAGGTAAACAGCAGAGCAGAAAAACATCCTTAAACACACAAACCTAAGCCTTAACATGTTGTTCCTGAAGTTCTCAGAACTTCACCTCAACTTTCCTTTTTTTTTTTTTTTTTACATTAAGCTGTTTAAACAAACCCTACAGGAACATGCTCGCCTAGAAAACATTACAGTAAACACAGAGAGCCATCAAGTCAGGTTTTTTAAGGATCAGTTACAGTTGTTTACTCCTCAAAAGTACCGGGCCTCAGTGTTCATATGTGACTGAAGGGGCTTAATTGATGGTTCAGCTCTTTGATAAATGGCACCAAAAAGTTGCACAAGTGTTCCTCAGACTCATCAAGGTTAAACTAAGGTCAGATCCTCATACATTAATCAACAAACACCTCTTTGAGACCCTATGTGCCAAAAGTGAAAGAGGTCTCGACAGCCCGGGGTCTTTCTAGTGTTTACCAGTGACCTCACTGTGATCCTGTACGGCTCTTTTTTCAGAACAACAGTATAACCTCCAGCAACATCCAGCATGTTCCTGTCATCCTGGTTGTTTTTTCGATGATGCATCAGCTGATAGTTAACCAGAATGACTCATCTGACCTTTGGATGTTTTGTAACTTAACTTTCTCCGATTGACAAACCTGCAAGTCGGGTTTGGTGGATGCAATTACAGTCCAGATATTCAATGCCTAGGCATGTCTAGGCATATCTTTGTCTGCCAAATTGTATTGTTTTTTTTTTTGTTTTGTTTTTTTTGTTTGTTTTTTGTTTGTATGAAATGTGCCTTACTGTTTCATGACTGATGTACTTCCATGTCTGTGTATCAGACTGTCGTTATTATTAGTCCTGTCTTATTCCTGTGTTTGACTGGATTTGTATTCTTTAATTTGACACAGAATTTACAGCTCTGTCAAATGAGGATGTATTTAACAAAGTTATGTAGAGTGGTTAGATTCAGTTTTATGCCAGAGGTCTTACTTATCTATGCCTGGACTTGTTCAGAGTTAATTCAGTGGTGCAATGTCATTCAGTTTTGTATTGAGAGGGTTCAAATTAAGGGCACCAATGTTTATCTTTTCCATGATGCTTTACATTTGACAAGAACTAATACAACTAAATTTGTTCACAACCATTTTTGACAGTGTAAGCTGTATAAAAGGTTCAGATTTCAAAATAAAGGTACCATGTTTGGTGTCCACATTAAACCTCTGCAAAGTTTCAAAACAAAACAAAGTGATACACAGATGTTGATGAGATCCCTGGACATGTTTTTCTGGTTCTATAAAAAGCCCGTTACAATAAATTTACCTGGCCTGACCTCCGGCTCTGCTGTCTTAATAGGTCAAAGTTGAGGGGCATGCCCACCCAGTAGCTGTGATTCAGCTCTTTCAAGGACACGCCTACCCAGAGGTTCCTTCAAAATTTACCCTGAAAAGTCAGCTTCATCACTCGGCTTTTCCTCTGCTCTGCACTTTTTGATTCAGTCTCAGAAAGCTGCACATGTTCTTTTGGCCGTGAGGGAAAATCAAAGTTTCTCTTCCAAAAGACAAAAACAACAGAAAACAGGGACGTTTTTCATATTTTTGTGCCACACTGTAGTTGTTTTGTACTCACCTCTTCACTCCCTTCTCCCCATGATTTTTGTCTCCTTTCAGCTGTCCTGTCTTTAAAGCAGAAGTGCCCAAAAAAATCTATTTTAAAAATAAATTCTTAGTCTTGTCACTGATGGTTGGGTTTGCTTTTACAGGTCAAAGGGGCATCACTGTTGATTACAATCCATTTCACAGCCAATATTAACTCTTTACTGGAGCTTTATGAGTCTATGAAAATAGCTTGATTTTATTGAATGCCAGGAATAATATTGCTCTGCTTTCTTTTTGCTGCTTGTCTACCATATTTATCTCACATACCAATCATTTACCAGTCGACCTAAAAATAATTGACAGATTTATCCATTAGTAACATTGAAATTAAGGACTGTTTCTTTCATTGGGGTGTTTTTACACTGTAGTTTACAGTTACAGTAAAGGATCTTCAGTTTCCCTGATACTCCCTGTCATACTTTGAGGAGTTTCAAGTCTTTTTTTGGAGAGACACTCCTCCTGTATCTTTACACATTGTAACCTACATACCTCCCCTGTAGCCTCTGGTTGTTTTCCCGGCCCAGATTCAAGGTGGGTATGCCCAACAGGTCTTTAAGAACATCTGTTTTCCTGACCTGATTAAGCAGGAGATAAAGTGTACAAGTACAAGTCAAAAAATTACAGACCTGAAGATATACAGAACCAGCAGTCAGAGTAAAGAAAACAACCAGGAGCCAACAACAACACAAAAACCTTGAAGAGCATATTTAGGGCTCATAATACCATACATACACTATAAACAACAAACTTTGTTTTCTAAAATGTGAGCGTGAAACTTCTTTAAGCGTGTGGCCTCTGCTACAGCAGTACCTGTGGCACTCTAGAGGATAATTTGGTCAAATTTCTTAGAAAATGTAGTACATCATGTTTGCTCCAGAGCAAATATGTAAACAAACCTCAGCTTGACAAAAACGGTCTCTGACCACTAGTGATCATTTCCTCTGAAGTCTCTGTTCAGAGCAGAATCAGGTTAACATAATCACATGAGCCAAACAGAGACAGAGTGTTTCCTCAGCGAAGTGTTTTGGATGAGTTTAACTCGAGCAGTAACGGTGCACTGATTACATTTTCTAGGGTAATGAATTATTAAGTGCTTTAATGGCAGAGATTAAAAAAAAAACTTGTGAATTTGAGTGCGTGGATGTTTTTATTGGCTTAAGGAAAAATGTAAAATTCTGACCAATCAGCAACGCCAGTCTATTAACATTTCTAATACATAAAGTCCCCTGTGAAAAAGAATTAAATGGGGGCTTCTGGCACTTCCTGTGGTTCATGGCACAGTAATATGATGCAGTAACCATGAACAGGGGACAACAGTATTTATTATAAATACAGCAACATGAATAACCATATTTATCTGTGTGCTTGTATGAATGCTATATCCTTAATGTGGTCCAAACCAGGATTAGGCTCATAGCTGGGACACTGAAGTTACCTTTCCTGTACTCTAGACCATAACCAGTCACAAGACCACCAAGCAATCAGTGTGTGGTAAATGAGAGGTCAAAACCCAAACTTCACCTCCTGAAGTTGCAGTGCTTACTAAAGCTGGTGATGTTCAAGGCTCAATGATAACGTACTTCTCGTCGGACGCTGAAGGCCACACAACACTAACCCACAGTTCTAGCAAGTCAAAGTGAAACTTAGATTTTATTAAGGAGAAAACATCTGAGATTTCAAGAACTGACATAGTATTCTAGATGAAAGCTTGACGTCCTAAATATCTTTATTCTCTTCAAAATTTTTTTCTTATTAACATTGTGCTGATATTGCGCTACTGATGCAGACTGTGATTCATAACACGAGCAGCTGGTGTGTGTTTCATGTGAATGAAGAAGTTTCTGGGTACAATATGATGCCATCACTGTGGTCAATCCAAAGACGTCAAACTGCATGTTCCTGTTTTCGGGCATTAACATTTTTTATTATTATCCTGAAACTTCATTGTTTGAGTCACAACTTTAGTTTTGCTGACTAGACGACTCTGCCATCAAACTTTGTGACTGATGTCACTATGGGAAAAGGGAAGATGATTGCTCAATTAGTCATATTTTGCAATAACTGTAAAATACACACTTATTTTGTTTCATTGTGCAATTAATATGTGCTGGTAAATGTCGTTTTTAAAGCTCTTACAAGGGACTTTCAGTTTGTGTCAGTTATGGCACCCCTGTGGACAAAGCAGTCTCTGCTTATCATGTCCTCTACATGTTTATGGCGTATCCTGGTGACCTTTGATAGACAAGTATATTGATATTTGAGAATAGGAAATGTCAAAAATACAGAAACTGAGCTTTTTTCCTGAGCAGCCCCACTGACACCTGCCCACTTGCACTGATTTAGATGTCAAAATAACAGCATAAAAAACATCAACCTTGTCACTGATGGTATTGTTTGCTTCTGTATAATATAAGAAAGGCTTTAAAATGAATTTCAGTCTGTTTGATAAGTGACAAAAAACTCCTTTTGTCACTTATCAAACAGACTTTAACCATGATGGAGCTATTTGACAGATTAAGGCCTTTTAAGGCTGAAATAAAGAGAAACAAATCTCTTTATTTCAGCAGAGTGATAAATTACACGACACTACAAACAGAGTTTTTTTTCATTGAAGTCAGACTTTTGAAAAGTCTCAAAGGTGTTTTAAATAAAAAATATAAGACTTGAGCATTTTTATGAAATGGGTGGGTGATTAAGTCCCATACACTTCAGGAAAATTTTATAATTATAGAAATACAGAAAGGTGAACTGCAGCGGTTTGTTAATAAAAATCTAGCTAGTATTTTAACACTTGGGGTCATAAGGATGAACTCACCTTTGGAACAGCCCCAAGTGGCCATTCAGGGGAACAGCAACTCTCTTTATCAGCTTGCTCGGTATCTCACTTTGGTGCTTTACATCCCATCACCTCAGTTCTTACCTCTGAAGATTAAATTCAATGAGGCGGAGAGACCGGTTCCCATCAATAGATCTGTGGGATGCTTGTTTTTATACAAGCATGTATCCAGCTCAGAGAAAGTTTCTGAGGTTTACTTTTCGGGCTGTAGCCTACGCATATCATACACTCACTCAGTTTTCAGAGAAATGGGTTACCCTGGTAACCAAAGATTTTTTTTCCCATTGCCTTCATCTGTTTTCTGCAGAAGTTAAAGACCCCGGTGATGTTTTCTTAAATCCACGTAGGCAGACAAGAGAGGGATATTTTTGTTGCTTGAATTTTTCACCAGCTTTTCTGTTTTCTCTGTTTTTGAGTCTGATTTTAGACTGGATGCTTTAATACCATTAATATTTACAACAATGCAGTTGATTGTTACATTATTTAGAGACACTGAAGCTCGCAAACAGTCAGCAGGCCAAGTACTGTTGATACCAAACATTCTCTCTAACTTATACCAGAAGGGAAGCAGACGGACAGTGTAATCTTTGTATCTGCAGTTTGTGAAAGTAGCATTGTTCAGTCGTATCAGGACATATTTTGCACATCTCTACCTGTTTGTTCTGTAAATAAACTTGACAATAGACAGACACAGTGAGGAGAGGAGTGAGCAGAGACAACTTGTCAAGGCTGCCTGGAGAAAGTTTGCCTGTCTACTTTGTTTTCCATCCGACATTTAAAATCAGTATCGGCTTACATTCCAAACAGATCACAACCAGACAGAGGGGAACTGTGGCAGACAAACCAAAACAATCACTTGTTGCTTTTCCAGTAAAAGCTGAGGCGTCTGAATGAGAGGACAGATCAACAGGTTATTTTCAGAGACATCATAAGGCTCAGTGATGTGGTGTGGTAGAGGGGAATGTAGGGAGTGTGATGAGTGTGCAGATTTCATCCAGGGCCAAATACAGTATGTTTTGTCTTTAGGGGCCAAAACGCTGACTTCAGTCTCTGATCTGTCTTTTGAAAGTCTTGGAGTTTTCCTTTAACAGGTCAGAGTAATATGAAAATCTGTGAATACAAAACAGATCTAAAATGTTGAAAAATTAGCATCATGCTGTTTATGTAAAGTGAAAATTGCGCTGACTAAGTGTGCGGAAATCCTCTGTCCTACATGGTTTGTTTTTTTTTCAGGGAGGAGGATTGTTGTATTGGTAAAAAAAATGAAAGAAAAAAAAATTGGTGAAAAATTAAAATGTGCCATTTTCTCAAAAAAAGTTTGTTTTAAGCCAACCGGCCTACACCCATCTCACCTAACTGATAAGTAAAACTCATTACAGGTGTGCAAGCCACTGCTGACAGCAGCCCTGAAAATGACCTGAACACGTTGGATACATAATCATCAGTATTTTTTAAAGCAACACAAAAATCTGTACAGATATGTGGTACCTCTGACGGTTATCATAAGTTTTCTGTTTGCTTTCATTGGTGTGACGAGTGTGAAGTCGATACTGTGGCTACCAGCTCGATTGTTTCAGCGTATGACTCCGCTCAGAATAAGTCGAGCCAAGACAGTGCAGCATTTCAGCGCCTGCTACAAGGGTGTTTTGGTTTCACTTTACTTATGGGAGTAGATGAGGTGCATCATCCATCTGTATCTAAATCCAGGGAATAATGCATGAAGGTAAAACTTGAAGATGAATTTTATGATGAAGAAGAGGGAATGAATAGTTTCAGCAAAGTCTTGGCAATATAAAAACTTTGTGAAGAAAACAGTAGCAGGAGCTGAAGTAAAACAAAGACTATCCAGCATGTTCACTACCTTAGTTTGGCACATGACGCTAGGTTATCGTGCAAAAGTATTACACAATAAAAAGAAACCGGAGTTGTGGCTGATCAACAAAGTGATTTTAATTCATCCTGAGAGGGACATGATCCACCCAATCCATCCAACACATCTCTACTCGAATACTTTTAGAGACTCTCTTGGGTCAGTGGGTGATAAGTTCTGACTTTTATGTGTGCAGTGACTTAGCCCTTTGACATTAATATCCAGCCGATGATCCGGCCAATGAGGTGTGTCTTGCTGCAGCATGACGCTCACATGCGTGGACGTATTCGCTGTGACATCAGGACGTCTGTGCTGGTTCAGATCAACACCTTGTTGACTCTAAAGAGAGGGGGGATCAGCTTGCAGCGCCCCCTCCCTTTTCCAGACTTCATGGAAATCAGTGTAACTTCAGAGGGGTCAGGGAGCAGGCAGCAGAGAGCGGCACGCCAAGCTGCTCTCCGAGGTATTCTGAAAGGGGAAAAATACCGTGAGGGGAACGAACAACATCCCCAAAGAACCCGCAAAAAGAGCGGCTTTTGTCTGTGTCTGCTCCTCCCACATTTGTAATTTAGGTTTCCACAAAATCGACTTGTTTCTTTGTGTTGCTTATGATCTGTCTCTCTTTGTCTGAGGCTTCTGTAGTGCTCTTTGTTCATGATTCTTCCTCTGCACAAAGGAGGCTCCTCATGAGGTCCAAAATGCATGATGTGATCAATTTTAGCAAATAAATAAATCTTCAGATGTTGGGGGTGGCGTCACCAAAAGCCACAGCTGGATTCAGTCAGAAACAAAACAAAAGGTGACGACTTTGAGCTAAAATCTGTAAAATCAACCCCTGCTGGGAATCAAATACTGACAAAAAAAAAGAAGATTTCATTTATTAGTATTTCAGACAAAAATTTTAGACTTTCTCTTGCATGATTGGACAGTTAACTACAGCATTGCACTGCTGCTCCATCTGTGAGGGGAAAATATTAACATGAATCTGGCTCTGTGTGTAGTTGTTGGAGGGCAGATTAGGATTTTGTCCCTTTAGGATCAATTGGCAGGAATAAATAGACGCAAACTTAACATACTTTATCAGACATTACAAACACTTCGGAATGTGTGTAAAGAATGAATAGATGTTGAAACTGCACTTTATCTTTAGGGATGGGCATTTCCAGTAATCCTAAATCCAAGCTATAATTAACCCTTTCAGCCCATTTCAACCCTTATTTGAATGGTTAATGTTAATATAACACTGATTCTATTATTAAATATGCTTTTATGGTTATTTTGAGCACTGCAGCCATTAATCTGTTTTATCTGCTGATGTTCTCTTTTGTTTTACTGTTTCTGTTTGTTCTGCAGCACTGCATTCAAGAGGACTGTCTTTCTACTCAAGGTTTCTACCTGCTTAGAGAAGATTTCCTGTACCACTGTGACCTGCTTTTTCTGCAAAATGTGTTGAACAAATTTTTTAAACGATTAAGGAATAATTGATAATGTGTGTCACTGTTGTTTTTTGTTTTCTTTGTCCATTGCTCTCTTTGTGAACTTCCCTCCATCTCAATTTTTTCACCCCCTCAAGCTAAAGCAGACGGCTGCTCACAGATAGGTTCAACCTTGCTTGGGGTTTCTTCCTGTCAAAAAGGAGCTTACTTACTGATGATAGTTACATGTTGAGCCCCAACCTGCTCTATACATTAAGTGTCATGAGATAAATCATATTAATTATATGAAGTAACTTAACCAGATTTTGATGGTGTGGACGCCGGCTTGGACTGGGCAGCCACATGAGTTGTCATTTGAGCTGTAGGATGAAGCTGGCACATTTCAATGGCAAGAATGACTCTTTTGTACCTTCAGCCAGCTCAGATTGAGGTTACCTGTTTAAACACACAGCGCTTTGCCAGACAGTGTGAATATATTCCTCCTGTGTTAAATGCGTAGAAGCCATCTGCAAGTTATTTCCCCTCCCATACGATATGCACGTGGCCCGGTGTTTGGCTGGGAGAGCTGGCTGTCTTCCAGGTCTGCAGAGAGAGACTTTCTCCTTCATAATGTGACAAACATGAAAGCAGTGTTCAGGAATGTATTTTTCTTGGAAAGAGCGGCAGATTAGCACATAGTGTAGCTCTCTCAGAGCTGCCGTGCACAAAAACAATGGCGGAGCTAAGCTGATGAGACAAGCAAGTTTTGACTTGGATGTATTTCCCAATCGTCTTGCTTTTCGGTGCCAAAAGAACATTTTGTCCCTTGAAGGCAAAACAAGGTGGATTTAAATAGTCTTAAAGCAGAAAAGGGGGGGTGTGGTGAACTTTGGTGTCAGATATCCTGGATCATGCTGAGATGTATAGAAGGGGGGGCTTTTTGAGATGTGTTAATCAGACCTCCATCTGAAGTCCTTGCACGTTCATGTACATTTAACACAGCTAACTTAAGATTTTATTCTTTAATAAGTTATTTGGCTGAAAGTGCTGAGCAGGTCAGGATTTAAACCCACCAGAGCTTAGAATCAAATCCTCTGATAGCAAACAGCAGCTTTAGCACTCATCAAATAAGTTAATCAGATTTACACCTCTGTGTTATACTAATCTAATCTAGAAGGAGAGGGGGTTTGTTTTTACTCTGCATGGACCAGATGTGTCATCTCAGCCATGAGGATTGAGATAAATAACTGAAAATAACCTAATTATTATAATACTTTCAGTCTGTATTTGTCTGAGTCAGCTGCTGTTATTGTGGTTGTGCGGGCTCTATTTTAAAACTAGGTCTCTGGCTTCAACATGTGATTCAGCTGTTTATACCTGCATCAGCTTGTTAAAGTTCCCCCACCTTCTCGGCATGGCAGTATTAGACATCATATGTGTGTACATTTTAGTTCTAAAAATAACCGTACGAACCCATGCAGTGTGCGAGGTCTTATTTTTGTCGATGCATTTGAGATAAAATGTGCAGGAACAATCGCCACCATGTGTGCAAACATCTTGAGCGTCTCCTCCTCTGCAGTAATGAAGCAGCTGCGTTCAGCGATATCAGCAGAGAATGTGGAAAGAATGGCATGAGCTCGAGGCAACGATCCAACAGTTTGCATAAACTGACATAGGACCTAATAACTCAAGTGTCGGTAAGAATAACGAAAGGCTCGGGACAGTAAACTAAATTCACGGCATGATTAAATACTGATATGACATTGAAAGAAAAAAAGGAAAAGTGGCAGCAGTTGTTTCACTTTTGGCAATTAATCAGACTGCAACTGATGGAACAATGGGGGAGCTAATTTAATGGCAAACACCATCTGCCTGGAATGTGTGTGATTGAATCTGGTATGTCAAATCAAAAGCGAAAGCTGGAACTTTGTTTGAAAAAGACTTTGGCATTGAGGCTCTTGATTATATTGTAGATACAGAGTCCTTTAGATAGCAGCCAATCAGAGGTTAGCCAGTCACGGACAGGCCTCTTGGCACTTCAGGTTTGGTTTTTAACATATTAAGTTTGTCTTGAAGGAGTAGTCATGTGTCTAAAAGTTGTTTTTATCTGACTGTTCATATCAGCAAAGAGCTGTTTTAACTTTGGTTTCATCACGGGGAAAAAACCTTGGAAAAATGTGGTAATCTTTTCATAGTTTCAGCAGTCTGAGTTTGATAGTAGTTTAAGTGAAAATAGAAGAAGAAGAGGCTGTTGAACAAATTCTCATTTATGATCTCCAAAAGTGCTCCCTTGTTTACCTGATGTGCAACGTGACACAAAGAATTCTGGCACATGAAACTGCTGCACAGAGGCAGTAGTCCTGATCAGGGGCATGCCCACGTTTCTTTTTTTTCGACTGGGGGAAGGAGGGCTCAATGGGTGTAGACTTTGGCACGGGTGGATGGGGGTCTACACACAGACACACATATAAATAGCATTAAACTGCTCTATCTTCACTATCTTAATATATATTACTAAAGTATCGTTCCTACTTTCATGTTTGTTCTGATCTTAAACTGAGGACTATGTAATGGCAAAACACAGAGGTAAATCTCCTTAGCTTAATTCTTAAGGACTCAGAGGATAAAGACAGACAAGACCACAGCTCAGGATTTTGAGGAGGCACATGTGGTCTGATTACAAAGAGGGGCAGTTCCACCTCTGGTCACCCCTCCACCTCTGGTCGTGTTGGATGTAGGATTTATTTCCAGCCACCACAAGGTTTTCTTAATTTTATCCCCCCCGTACTTAGAGTCTCTATCAAATAAAGACTGACAGCACAAGCCTTGTATTAAACCGAAAGAAGATTATTTTGTGGTTATTTACACAGTTCACACCCTTCATTTACACCGCAGAATGATCTCGTATTGGTGAATAAACAGAATAATTATTGCAAAACTGTTTGTTTTCTGCTCACCTTACAAAGGAGAAAATCCTGAACACTAAATGTTTTCCTTCAAAGAGAATTCCTGGATGCTGGGGAGGCTTGTGATAATAAAGTACTGCAGATAATCATCTTCCTGCCTGAACACTCCTTAAAACCTTCACGTACTCAACTCCTCATGCATGTTTGCAGAAAAATATATCACATTAAAACTTATCAGCTCTCTGTGTTTATCAGCAAACATTTACTGACCATGTAGGCAGGAACCACTGTGATAATATTTCTGCTTTTTATGAGGGTTAATCTGCTGCGTGTCTAGAGCTGTATGTGGATCTTACAGGAAGGTTGTTGGCTCTTTCTTTTCCCTCTCAGACAGAGAGAAGTACGAAGAAAATTCTCCAAAAGTGCTATACATGTGCGACTGTTTCTGTCCAATACAGTTCACTTGCACTTTGGTCTTTTTAATATAAAATCATGTTTTTAATGAAATGTTTTTGTGTCAATGATATACCCAACATGAAAATATCGCAATAACAAGGGGGTAGCGTGGTAATTTTTCTTTTTTTCTTTGGCTATTTTGATCGCTTCTCTTCAACCTCCATGAAATTGCTTCATTTGATGTGTTGAATGTCTCCCCTCAGCCCCTTGTTCTCGCTCAGTTTTGCACGGCCACTCCTTTATCTCTTTTTGACCTTTGACCTCCCTGCATCTGCTTTCCTGTGGTGCTGATTTACTGTAGGAAACGCAGCTTACCTTGTTCCTACACACTTTGCCAAACACTCTGGATTCAGTGTCAGCAAGATGTCTCGAATGTAAATGTTATTGTGGGCGTAATTTGACTCGGCCGGTCCAGGACTTGTTGTTGGCCCACCATGAGAGGCTCCTTGTTTGGAGTGATGTGATCCGCCATGGGGAGGTGTGACTCCCTACAGGGAGAGGTGAAGGCTGTGGTTGGTTTAGACATAAGGGATCGATGTGAAGCCGCCCTGCCTGCAGTCAACAAGAGCTAAGAGAAGAACGAGGAAATAAAATTTTAACCACCTTGTAAGTGGGAAAGACAGACTCCTTTTAGTTTATAATTGACTGTCTGATATTTTTGTAACAGGGAGACACAGAGATACTGCAGAGGTCTTATAAAGAGCAGAAAGTTGAATGTTTTCAAAGAGAGCCAAAGAGGTCAGTGAACTCCTTTCATTAAATTTAGATCACATGACCTATTAGACCAGTCTTCTTTAGAGAAATGCTATGTTTAACACTCTGAGTGCTTACATACTAACTATAAACAACAATAACTTCCTGGTGGAGCTTTTCTCGTAAATTGTGAAATAAATCAATTTTCAAACCAGAACGATTTGTCATGGTGGATTCTCGTTACCATTGGGAAAAGTCCCTAAAACAGGCTTACTGATAAATCCGTCTGTCTCCATGGAAGATGCAACTTCTCCTTAAATACTTTTTTTCTATTATTGTGGCATGTTGTTAGGCAATGCATCTGAAACCAAAAGGGGGGAACTTGTGCTGTAGCCAGGTAAAAAAAAATGGAGACATACAGTTAAACAACACACTCATATACCTAAAAAATATAAAAACACACAAATACAAGAGCAGATCAAATAAGAACAGGATGACATTAAAAAAACTGTGATTGAAATACAAGATTAAACTGATCATTGGTCATCAGAAGTGAATGAGAAAATGTCTGATCTACCGGGTCATTAGGAGAAACAATGTTAGGGCTAAAAACAAAATCCAACTTTTTTATAACTTCATTTTCTGCTCTCCTCCTTTTTGCTGATCTCACCTTGTGTGCGCTCACAGTATTTTAAGAGAAAAGTATCTTCTGCTGTTTTTTCACTGACTCATCTACTACTCACCCAGAGACATCACCTGAGGGAAAGTAAACACATGCTCTGCTGATCTGCTTACCATAAATCTCTTTTTCGGGATCCAACCCAGTTTGCAGTGCAAAGCAGTTAGAATGTAACTTTCGATGTTGATCTGGAGCTCTTTTGGCTCTCCTTGGACAAATGAAAACAAAACTGTTCTGCTGTAGGATTATTTGAGCTTTGCTGAATGTCACTCAAACCTGTTTGTGAAAAGATAAAAAGTTTTGGCCTATATGCAGGTCTGGATCTGTGCTCCACAGCTCTTTTTTTCCCTACAGTTTGAGGGTTTGATTTACAAGAAAGGGATACAGAGTGAGCTGCTGCTGCTGACCTATATACATCTATTTTTGCAATCATTTTTGCACACTGGGTCTTTTCTTTTTTTTTTACCATTTCCTCTATAAAACTCTTACAAAGAGTTTATAACACTTTGTTATTGGTTGCAAGCCTGTTGATATTTTTCAATAACTGCTTAGTCTTCTTTGGCTGACAATAACATCACATTGTACACCACGGTATCCCTTGAGGTCCAATTTATGCTGAGATGAGTATTGTTTTCAGTCCAGCTCTATATGTTATATAACACATGTGACAAAGAAAACACAGTAACTATCTCGTGGGTTTTAAATGAAGTTTACTTCTCACAGCTCGTCCTCCTGTAGTCGTCCCCCGGGAGGAAGTCCTATCCCGGGCTCTGACGTCAGCCTTCATGGGTAAGAAAAACAAAGACTAATCAGGGGAAGAGCCTCCATGTAAACAGAGCTGTTGTGACTGTCAATGAGATTTAGATGAAGAGACAAACATGGGTCAAGGTCAAGTTTAAGATCTGAGAAAACAAGGAGAAAAACTAGCGGATGAGAGCGAGAGCTGCTTTTCTGTCTTGTGCCGTTTAAACAGCGATTGACTGTGAGTGGAAAATTTCTCTCGGTAAAAAGCCCCTCCTTTTAATAACAAATGCATCACTGGGTTCCTTTTGAAATGCACTTAAAAGCACTCTAGAGGATTTTAACGTTGGGTTGCTTCTGGCAACACCTTTGAATAAAACTGGTGGTGTTTTTCCAGGATGTGGACTGCATTTCTCAGGAGCACCCTTACCCTGCTATGGCTCTTGGCAAAGTCTGCATTTGTTGGGGAAGCAAATGAATACAGACATCCTTTTAAAACTAATTTTCTTTGTTAAACACTTTTTTTTTTCTGCAGGATGCAGTGATGAGGAACTGTATCGACTCGTAGATAAGTATAAAATAGAAGTGTGTCATGTGAGATATTCACCAACTGATGCACTCTTGCTTTGAGCTGAACTTTGCTTATGAGCTTTGAAATTACGCTGAACTGTGGATGAGCGAACTGGACAAAGTAGCAGCACATGAACAAATGACAAAATGGAAATGTACTCTTTAAAGTGGGACAGTTATCTTAAGACTATAAATTTGATGGAATGAATGTAATATTTTTATATTACTGTATGTTATCTTGTTTTACTGTCCCAGCATTATTTCTTTATTTTTATCTTTTTAATTTATTTATTTTTATTATTGTTATCTTTGTGTGTATGGATGATGTAATATTTGATGTCCTGTCATGTATGAGAATGTTGGAAAAATAAAAAAATGTATAAATCGAAAAAAAAATTTTACACTCACTCGAGGACTAAAAAAGGCCGGTTTGTAAGTCACTTATGTCGACTCATTCAAAGTTATACTTGGAACTCATGCAGCCCCAGTGACCTTCTCATATGTTTATTTTGACATGACTGTCTGAATACAATCTTAATTAGATGAGTATCTGTTTAATCTGTAACCGCACACAGGCATGCCAACTTAATAGGTTAAGAGTTTGTTTTATCTGAAATCAATCTTTGTACTTACTTGTAAATCACAGCGCTGAATATGAACTCTTATAACAACTGCTTTTTTTTTTTTTTTTAGGAAGGGTTAAATTTAAGGTAGTCACATTTCCATACAGTCCTCTAATGTGCCCACTGTCACTTTCAAGCAGAAAGTCAAAACTTTATTTCAATGAAAGGTACACTTACCAGGGTGGGTCTGAGTGGATCTCCTTTGACCACAGAGGTTTCAGTGGGTGAATTCTTGTGCTCCGTGAAGGACTTTATGTTGTTCTGTGTGTGAGACATTTGCTGGTGTTAGTTTACCCAAATTTCTAAGCTAACACTAAGAAGCATTGCACAGGGTTGATACCAGGGGGAAGCTGGGGATATAGAAGGCACTGGGGGGCATATACTGTACCTGAGCGAGTCAGGGGGTTCCACCACCAAGATTATTAGAAAGACTTCACATAAAATAGACTACCAAGAGAGACACATCACATTGTATTCAGCCATTGGAAATGAAAATGATCCAAACAGACAATATAAGGCTGTCTGCCAGGACAATTTTGTTTTCAGAGTATTAAAGTTATTAGAACCAGTGGAGGTGGTGATTTTCATCAAATTCACTGACCTCAGTTGTATTCCTCTGGTATTTCTCTGCTCAAACAAACATACTGTGATTGTTTGTTTTCTGACCTCAGGCTGTGTTGGTATGTGAATCTCCAGGACACCACAGCACAAAGGTGTGGTGTGCTTCTCCCATAGCCTCAAATGGGACACCGAACAATTGTTGGTTGCATCCCTGACTCATGACACGGAGTTTACGTGCACACGTGCAGCTTTGCTTCGGCCTGCACGAGTCCCCCCGGGAATGTTAGTTCAGCCAAGTTTACTGGGTCACCTTGAAGATTGGCAAGGAGGCTGTGGTATGTTCAGTGTGCAGACACGTAGCCAGGTTCACAGTGCTGACACAAGTAGTTTATTTCAGCTTTGTTCACACCAAGGCTGAAAGTTTCCCTGTCTTGTGTCTGGTTTCCTGCCATGTGACTCAGGTCTGTTTAAACAGGAAAAATCTGCACAGAGATGCATTGTTATAGAGGTGTGAATTCAGTCTGTTCAGCCCAGTCGCTACAAGAAAGACCATAGAAATAATCCTTAAAGTAAACCTCTGCACACATGATTAAATCTTAATAACTGGCACTTACATGACAGACATTTTGATTTAAAGGGTGAAGTGGGTCCTTACACATTACTGGATCCCATTTCTGTTTTACACAGATGATGTGATCTTGAATTATCATCAGAGTCTGTCTAGGAACTCTGCTTAACAGTGTCTGCCCTGAGGAGCAGTGGCAACATCTATCCCCCTCGTGGAGTTCAGGCACTGATGATGGAAATGTTGACCAATGATATTGTCTGAGGCTGATAATATGATGCATGGATGAATGAAACAGCAAAGACTGGGCAGCCACTGGGAGATTGCTTGTGTTGCATACCCAGATCAATGAAGATGAATAGGCAGTGAAGATTGCGTGTGATCAGGAGATTGCTGACAAAGTCATCTATGGCTGATAAAACAGATGACACAGCAAAGACTGGGGTGATAAGAAGGTCTGGGTCCCACATAAAAATAGCATGAATAAAGTGCAGGAAAAGACAGCCATATTTAAGAAACACAGCAGCAAAGTGACAAAGCGACAATGAGGGTGTGTTGCAGTGCTGTAAGGACCATGCATGGAGTAAATGAACAAAGAAACTACAAGATGCTGCACTGGCTTGGATGGTTGGAGCAATGTGAAGACAGAGAGCATGTGGCAGGGACAACACAGCAGCAAGACCAGCAAAGGTTTTCAAGGTTTTGAAGACAAGCTGATGAGCAACGTCTGCGAATATCATCACCTATATGATGATGATCGCAGACTGTTAATAGTCGACTACTGATAAATTCCCTTTTTGAAGTTGTAACCTTAAAAGCTAAATGGAAATGGGACTGGGACTCCTAACGACCATGCACAGAGCAAAACACTGGAAAAACACAGCAAGGTAATTGCAGACGGTGCGCTCTGTGCACAGATCACCGGTCACCTGTGCCAACTATGGATATTGTTAGTCACCAGGCTACTGGGTCATTTTTGAGTGTTTTTTTCAGACAGTAACCTCCCTGAGTTTTGCCATGTCTGTTTTTTATATTTTGCACATCCAGAGGTTGGATACAGTCCAACGATGTATCCTGGAAGTATGATGTGCATAGCCAAGTATGTTGACAATATAGTAGTATATTGTCCACAAGTATATCTCTAGTCTTTGAGTTCTAATGATGCATGTTTGATATTATTAGGCCATCTATATTAACCACAAGATTTTCTTTCACTACCTTTGCTCTGCCTATGACACAGCTGCCCTGAGCCAGAACTGTGCTCAAATCTTCAGCCCCATCACCTCCCCACAATCCCTGTGCAGGCTTCAACTGGGGAGTTTCAAATCTTATCTCATCACTCCTAGATCTCTGCATACAAAGTTAATCCACAGGAGTGATGAGGTTTAGATTCTTGACACTTGATCTTTGAATTGGAACGCTGGACGCTGTTCTGCTGCTGAAATAGTTTAGTTGAGAGTTTTATTGTAGCTTCGTATGATAAAATTGTAGGTGCTTTTGAAACTCCTTGGGTTTTATGGATGCAAAGGTCACAGCAGCATGAATTTAAAGTCGGACTGAGGTTTATATTACACTTGTAAGGAGTGGTTTTATGGCCACTGATGTCTGCCCTTCTTACTTCTTTAATGTTGGCTTCATGTAAGTGTTACGTAACTGTGTTACTGTAAAGAATCAAGAATCCACTAAGTGAGACCATCCCAACCTTCTTTTTGTGTGCACAGTATCTCAGGTGCATTTCGACTCAAGGGAGGCATGCAGGATAAAAGCTGCCCAAGCAATAAAGTTGACCCATGTGTGAAATTTAAACAGGCTGTGGGGAGGAGGAACAAAAAGAAGAGATAAAGAAAGTGAAGGTAGAGGATTTAAAAGGCCCCAGTATCACAGTCATGCCTTGAAGTCAAACATCCTCAAGTCTCGTGTATTTTATCATTTCCAACCACAGACTCTATTTTTAGTCCTCGGGTGCATGCTGTGACCTGACTCTGACTCTCATCACCAGCCCTAACATGTGAGTTCAGGAGGATTAAAGACTTGTTAGCTGCACATTTTGTTCTGTTCTTTAACCACTTCTTCTATCGATGAGAGGAAGTAAACGCACGCTCTAACTTCTTTACCACATCCTCTCAAGTGACGTCTTCCTAAAGCTGTGTTTACAAACACTTGTCTTTTTTGTTATACAGCCCCATATACATACCAAAATACCGAACTCTGGATACTGATCATGTACTATTTAAACCACATGTAGCCAACCATATAGCTATTATTGGTTTGTTTACCTGACAGTCACAGAGATAAACTGAACATGAGTCTATGTTGAAAGACCCATCCATCAAAACAACGGCACACAGGGACAGAGAACTTCACTGACATGGCTATCATGCTACTCGTATGATAGCCATGACTTCAATGATTTAGTGGTTGCTACTGAAAAACACGAGCTCAAAAACGGATCCCAGGTGATCGTTCTCTGGCACCATAACATGGAGCAGCACATGTAACTTAGGTCTGTTTATATTTAGCAGATAGGCTGGATGTAAAATTGGATTTAAATAGTAAGCTGGGAGGTTGATGCTTAATTTAAAGAGAAAACAAAAGATTAATGGATAATACTTTTTATTAATGTCATTCTAATAAGCATTAATTAATAGTTAATAAACAACTTATATGACCTTATACAGTGTTTATAAACATTAATAAGTGCTAATTAGTGTTAAAAAATGCATAATACATACATGTTCAGGTTCTCATTAGAAACTTGTCAACAGTTTATATATCTGTCATCAAATTTAATAGGAATTTTATTAACACAAATTAGACATTAAAGTGTTAATTAATATTATCATAACTTACATCCATTATTGGTTTTTGGCCCCCCATGAGCACTTGAATTGAAATATTATCAACAATAGAAAAGCCACTTTTTAGCTTTAATTAGAAGTCAACGTGAGTAAGACTGTTGAGGGGTTTAGTTCATGCTTTGCAACCATTTATTGAGTTTATTTACTTTATGACAGCTAACTGTGCTCATTTGCAGTAACTGGATCTAAAGTTGGATTGAATGTAATAAGCTTGGCTGTGTTTCGTGTTTTCTTTACCATTACTTACACCAGAACCATCTGAGAGTTTTATTCAGTCAAGTGGGGCCTCCACACAACAACAACAACAACAACAACAACAACAACAACAACAACAACAACAACAACAACAACAACAACAACAACAACAACAACAACAACAACAACAACAACAACAACAAAGACCTCTACTAATCCTCAAGAAAGGGAAATAAATCCAAGAGCATCATGTGGGACAGCATGAACTTCATGCTAGGGGCACTTTTAGGGGACTGTAATTATCTGTAATACTGGTAGTTAGTTATTGGAAGTCATCATGCTTCTTAAAAGTGAAACCAAAAGTGTTCTCTTCTATCTTTGCTCCAGATAAGCTCAATCCATGGCCAGCATGTTCACAGAGTGCTGCAGAGGGATGTGTGTTTGGAGATAAACCCACAGTAGACGGGTCATGTGTAGGAGAGATGACACAGCTCCAAGTCTTATAAATCAACCCATAAACCCTCTGCTGATCCCACTTTGAGTCTCTGTTATTGTGCTGAAAATGTACCAGACTAGGTTTGTTTGCACTAGACTAGCTCACCCTAAATCTGACCGAGATAAGACTCTCTATTGTTAAGTTGGCCTTACTGGCATGAGAGTAAACACAACCTTGGAGTGTTTAGTGCCAGCTCACCTACTGAAGACCTCGGTTAGTGTTCAGCTGAAGCTCTGCTTCTGATAATAGGTGGAAAATGAACTTCCAGTTCTTCATCACAGACATGTAAAGCAGTCAAAACAGGTGTGAGTAAATCTGTGAAGATAGATTTCTCCTTCCTAAACAAGGACACATAGATGGCAGAGGAATACTTTGCCCTCCACTGAAAGTAGGAGTGGGCCTATCTGATCATTATACATTAACTCGGGATGATAAATCAGCCAGACAGAAAAATGCTGTGTTGACTGTCTGCTATGAAAAGATGAATGTCTTGTATGGATCAGCTGTGAAATGATAACACACTGCTGCTCTTGGGTCCAGACTATAAAAAAAACAACTTCAATCATGACCTCAGATGAATAAAGTTACTCAGCCGAGTGGA